TTTTTCATGATTCTCACTTGCTAAAACTCTCTTTTGTTAGATTAATCATTTATTCTTGTCCGATCCATTCATTTTTTTTTTTACATTTTTCAACTGAATTCTCTATTGTACCAAACAAGAGAATTAATTTCCATTCTCTCCTCAATTTCTTTTCTCTCAAATTCTATTCTCTACTCTCGTTTCTCTGCAAACGCCCCACAAATGTAACACATCCAAATGTTTCAAAATATTATTGTGTTTGTTTGGGATTTTTTTAGGAGATTTATTCTATTAATGAAATTTTGCTCCCAAAGGATATTTTAAAAATATATTACTAAAATATATTACCTCCGTCCCACTTATTACGTCCATTTTTATATTTCCATCGTCCCATTAATTTTGTCACATTCTCTTTTTAGAAAAAAATTACTATATGTTTTAATCTTATTTTAAATTATTTAATTTATAATTTATTTAATTTTAATTAAATTAATTAATTATCTTAATTTATAATTATTTTTATTATATAATAATTATTTTTACTAATATATTTTTAATTATTTACTAATTATACCACTGCTAAATTCATGTATCTATAGTAAAACGGACGTGATAGCCGGGACGGGGGAGTATTATTATTATTTTTTTATATAAAAAATTATGTTTAATGCATTATTAAAATCAAAATTTAAAAATAATGACCAAGTAAATTTATGATGATTTCAATTATTCTCAAACAACGTTAATAATCATTTCGATCGAGAAATTCAATGAAAGCATGTGAATGTGTTTTCTTTGAGGTTTGGATTGAGGTTATTTTTTATTTAAATAATACTATCTTCGTCCGGTTCTAAGGATTACATTTAATTTTTGCGTGTTGATCTCTGAATATTAATTATTATATCAAAACGCAGGTAAATGTAACCATTAGAGGCGGACGGAAAAAATATTTAATATGATATTTTTGTAAAATAAAAAATTATATTTTGTTCGAAGAATATAAGTCTAAATAATAGAAAATCTGAATAGAAACCATCAAGAAATACAATTACGTCTCAATAAATTTCTAATGTAATTAAGGCTCGGGCGACGAATCTATTTCAAAACTATAAAGATATCCGTTATAAATAAATACTCCCTCCGTCCCACCACAATTGACACTATTTCTATTTTTATCTGTCTCGTAACAATTGACACATTTCTATTTTTGGTAAAAATTATTAAATCAAAACATATTTAACAAATATAAATCAATTTAATTAACTGCATACATACAACATCATAAATGAGGTAGAACCCACTCAAAACTCTTTTATTTATATCTCTCTCCAAAAAAATAAATATTTTTATCTATATTTAAAACTACACATCTTTTATAAAATTGATTTATGTTAATTATAAATAAACAGAAATATTTTTTTATTTACTTATATTATAGAAAAGTTTATTCTCTACAAAATGATATCCATATTGCATATATTTTTTAATTTCTATATAATTTTTAAATTTTTAAATATATATTTTAATTTTTTTAATCATATATATTAAATTTACTTTAAAAATATAAATATTATTAATTATACAAAAAAATAATATAATAATATTATAATTAATTATTATTATTAACTAATTAAATATATTCACCTTATATACCGTGTCTCTAATTCAATTGTGGTGGGACTAAAGGAGTATTTCATTACAATTTCTTACATGTTTGTTGATCTTTCATTGCTTATTTAGATGACAAGGAGCTTTAAATACCCGACGTCTTACTTATCCTAATTTGTATATAAATAGCTCGCAAAAAAAAAAAAGAGTTCGAATACGAAAGGTTATTATCATTTTTAATTTTTTTTTCATTTTTTTTTTCTATCAAATTTAGTATAACTGTTTTGGTCATTTCATGGTCATTGTATGGAAAATTTGTAATGTGTTCTTTTTGTATTTTATTTTATATTGTTATTTATTACTTTTAAAATAATTAAATTCAATATTTGTTTTCATAAAAGAAAATAATATATTAAATAACTATATATATATATATATATAAAGAAAATATCCAAATCACTCAATAAAGGTGAGTGGGTGAGACAGTTTATATTCCCTCCGTTCTTCAAATATAGGGGTTGTATTCAATTGAAATTTTAATAATTTTTTTTTTTAAAAAAAATATTGATGGATTTAGAAAATTCACAGAGTATACGCTAGTTTGATGAATTTTAGTAATTTATTTATATTTGAATTCTTTATGAATTTATATGAATTTCGTAGGATTGTAAAATAATTTTTTTATGAATATATATTAATTATATAAATTTATATCCGGCACAAATTTTATAAATATAATATATAAGTATTAATAAAATAAAATTTAATATTAATAAATAATATATAATTATTAATAATGTAGAAATATTGTAACATCGGTAACACCACTATATTGTAAATTATTAATTTTAAAATTTTAGTATTATATTATCATTCAATATATCAAAATAATTTTACATTTCTTTATTAGTTATTATTATTATTATTTATATAATTTTTTTATATAAAAAATGAATACCTATATAAATCAAATAAAAAATATAATTTACGATTTTTGAAAAAATGTTAAAATAAAATACAAATTAACGGTTCAAAAAAAATATATTTTAATATCTATTTCACCGTCATTGGAATGATAATATAATGTATTTGATAATTGAAAAAGGAGAATGACACCGAAATGACAGTATATTATATTCGATAATTGAAAAGAAAAGACGAGAGCAATACATATTCATTATGATAATAATATTTTTTAAAATTATATTTATAATATAAAAATATATTTTAAAAAAATTCATAATAATTTGCTAATATATTTTAATTTTAAATTATTATTTTTATTACAAATTATAATAATATTAATAAATATTATCATATTATTTATCACAAGAACAACAATAAGAAAAACAACAACAACACCAATAATAATAATAATAATTTAAAGAATCCACCAAAATCTCTACTGATGATTCTATTATATACAAAATTTTCACAAATTTTCATTAAAATCTGTAGACTTTGAAAATTTATGGATTATTGAATATCTCAAAATTTTAAAAAGAACTTTGAAAGTCAATACCTCAATATTTTAAAATACTTTAAAAAATTTCGATTGAATACCTCCAAATTTTTTGATTGAATACATTCAAATTTTGAAAGTCCAACAAAATCATACAGAGTCTAGATTGAATACACCCCCTTAGTTTCACTTTTCTTTTTAGTCTATCTGATTATTAGTTTTGACAAAATAAAAAAATTTATATTTAATTATTATCTTTCCTTCAATATTTATTTACACCAAAATCACTATCTTTATTACATTCTCTCCTCATTTTTTTTAATTATAACTAAATTTTTAAAAATATCATCAACTATATTTTTACTTTTATCACTCTTTTAATAAAATATCTATTTTTCTCAATTTTCGTACCGGACATAAACGCTCTAATTGGGATGGAGGAAGTAACAATTTATTTATTTATTTTTGAAAAATTAGTGATTAAAATATTTATCTTTGATTTAAATAATTATGTCAAAATTTATGTACTTTTTATTTTGATATTTTAAAATAAAATTATTATTAAATATATTTTGTATAAAAGTAATAATATTTTTAAAAAATTAAAATTAAAGATATAAAAGTATGAAATTTTGATTTTTTTTTTAAATGGTAAAAATCTAAAAGAAGTAGGTATTTTATGTAATTTCTAAATATTATTAATAAATAATACTGCTTCCATTTACTATCCATATATCCTATTTGTCATTTTGATGGTTTCAAAATCAATTTTTCCTTTTTATTTTTAATAATAATTGTACTTTCAATTTAAATAGAAAAAGTAATACACTTTACATACTATTATAATACTCCATCCGTCGTTCAAATCTATGTTCATTTTTTTTGTCATTGAAAAATATTTTCGTTTCTTTTTTAAATAAAAAATTATTACATTTTTGTAATTTTTTTTTACTATAAAAAGAAAAAATAACTATTATTACTCACTTTTATTAAAATTCGTGTCCGATCAAATTAGCACACGTTTGGACGACGGATGAAGTAAAATATTATCAAAAACCAAATGCCTTTAGGATATTTTATATTGTGCTATTTATTTATAAAACTACCTATATTTTAAAATCTACAAAAAGCAAATAAATAAATAAATAAAAGTGGACCAAAGGAGTATCCAAAGTTCTAAAATTGTATATGTAATTAAATAATTTCAAAATATCAAGATATATCACTAAATGCTTAAAATATTTCATAAAAGGTTTTATTTCCTTTCGTTTTCTTTGTATATATATACATATATATATATTTTTACTATGCAATGTACAATTTCTTTATAAGAATACATTAGTTTATTTTATAAAATATTATGTAAAATTATTATTTAAATTAAAATTAAAAACTAAACAAAACGTTTCAAAATGTCGCCCAAAAACAAAAAAACACTTTAACAATATTTTTTATGTAAAACATTTTAAAATAAAACATTTCAAAACACAATCAATTGAACAAAATAAAGAAATATTTTCTAAAAGAAAAAAAAATAGTTTTCAATTATATACAAAGCTTAAACTCAAAATCGTTTACTTAAGGACGAGAATTCTTTTACATCGTCATCAACTTATATAAATATAATTTCTCATAATAAATAAAATATATTTTGTGGCAAATGTTTAATTAGGACTAAAATATTCCAAAAATAGTATTAATCGTATTCGCTTTGACATACTAAGATAATTGAACACAACACGCAAAAACATTATGTATATTAACAACCTAATCGAAAAAAAATCGACAAGTTGATGTCATTCTCTTGTTACAAAAAAGTAAAATTATGAAGAGGAAATTTCAACTATTATATAATTGTTAAAATTTAATAAATTCAAATTTTCGATGTAATTCCTTCTATAAATATAAGTGAAAATTGCGCACATTTTCATTTACTCTGAACTGCAACTCAAAGTACCCTTGTTTATAAGTACACAAATTAATATTTTTCCATGGAAAATTCAACGGCTTCTAAACTTGCTTGCTTGGCAATAATGTTTTTTGTAATAACTTTTACAAAGGTCGAAGCAACTGTTAAATGTAGTGCTGTCTTGGCCGATCTTAGCTCATGTTACAATTATGTCCTAAATGGAGGACAAGTGCCGCTACCTTGTTGTTCCGGAACTCAATCACTCAACGAAGCCGCCAACGATACACCAAATGCACAAGATGTTTGTAAGTGTATCAAAATCATTGTTCCGAAGATTGGGGCCAAATCGGATTTTGTTAACAACATCCCAAAAATATGCAACGTTAATATCCCCTACACATACTCAGACGCGCTCGATTGTTCAAAGTAAGATATATATATATATATATATATATAATGCACGCTATTGTTTATATACGAATGTAAATTGTTATGACTCAATCTATATGTGCGCATTTAGGTATGGTTTAAAAGTATTTTTGAAGGTTTTTAGAAGATGAGAAATATATAATTAGTAAAATACTCTCTCTGTCCGGTTAGAAAGTATACATATTTTTATTTTGGGACGTCTAATTACAAAGTAAACATTTCATTAAATACCTTACTTTTTTCCACAAATACCTTTACTTTACATCACATCATTACTTTTACACCAAAAAATTATGGCAAAAATATCATTACACTATTTTTAACTACCCACTGTGAGTGTGTTTGTTTGGGGGTTTGGATTTTGAGTTGGAATTTGAATAGTAAAAATTTTGAATTTGAATAGTTGTATGATGTAATATAAATAGGTGTTGATGTGATGTTTTGAATGTAAAATTGATTTTTAGGATAATATAAAAAATGAAAAATAGATATTTGATTTGATATTTTTGGGAGAAAATTTTTTGATGAATAGTAAGATTTTAGTAAAATTCTTCAAACGAACAAACCCTATAATTAAAATACTACTCCCTCCGTCCCACATACCATGTCCACGTTGCTTTTCCGTTCGTCCCACATTTCATGTCACTTTCCTTTTTTGGAAAATGATTACACATTTTAATATCATTTTAAACTTTTTAATTTACTTTTTTTTATTTGAATTAAACTAATTAGTTATCTTAATCTTAATTTATAATTATTTATATTATAGAATAATTATTTTTACTAATACATTCTTAATTATCTACTAATTACACCCCTCCTAAAATACTGTGTCTACAGTATAACAGACACGGTATGTGAGACGGAGGGAGTATTATTTCTTAAACATCGCGTCAAAAATAAATGTTTACTTTGTATGTGATGGACGGAGTATAATTTTTTAATACAATATAAATAAAGTTACATGTAATGTCTTGTATATAAAGTTATTTTTTTTTAATTTAATAATTTTAAGAAAAATCCAATGGTTGATCTTATATATTATAGAGAGATAAATGTTGAGTTAATAGTATTAAAATATGTTCAAAAATATATCTAAACAGAGTCTATGTTATGGTCATTTACGACCACTCAAAGCATATATTTATATACATAATTTTGAAAAAAATTGACACTATTTATTAATATTACTTTTTAAAAAAATAAACTATATATATCAAAGTAGATATTTATTTTTCTTCATAAAATACCGGACATGGATTAGCTGTTGATCTGGTCAATTCAGAATTACGTTGAATTTGATCAGATCAACCTATGTGGTACTACGTGTAAATATATATTGGTTATGTGTATGACATATGCTAATCCGGTCAACACCTTGTTGACTTAGCCGGATCAGCATAGGATCCGCATCCTAAAATATCACATTAAGGGTGTGTGTGTTTGGGAGATTGGATTAGATTTCCACTATTCATCCTATTTTTTATCCCCAAAAACATCAAATCAAACACCTATTTTTTTTTTTTTTATATTATACTAAAAATCAATTTTACATTCAAAATATCACATCAATATTTATTTATATCACATCATATAACTATTCAAATTCAAAAAAATTTATTATTCAAATCTCAACTCAAAATCCAAACCCCCAAACAAACACACCCTTAATATATAATTTTTTTTTTTACTATTTTAAAACATTTTAAAATTTCAAAACTCAAAAAATCTTTGTCTAAATAATTTATTGTCGAATATGAAATCTTATGTTTTTCATTGCAGGGTGGAGCGTTAAATCAACGAACTTCGACAGATATATATATATATATATATATATATATATTAAAAAGTGCAAATAAGGCATCGATCCTCGGCCACATTACTATATATGTCCTAGAGTGGTTATTTACTTGAGTGTTTACTTGTAAACTTGTGCTTCATATTTTCAAATTTTCAAAATTTAAGGATGGTACTAAATAAAAATAATATAGGATGTGTTACATATATATTCTTGTCTTTATTTTGTTTCCCAATACCAAAATCAAAATAAAATAATGTATAGTTCCCACAAAGCCATTTCTCCCAAAAAGTCAAATGTTAACAAATTCTCCCTCCGTTTCGGATATTTTGTCCGTTTTACCGTAGACACGAGAATTTATGAAATGTATAATTAGTAAATAATTAAATATATATGAGTGAAAATAATTATCATATAATAAAAATAATTATAAATTAAGATTAATATAACTGAGTAGTATAATAAAAATAGAATTAACAATACGTATTAATACTTTATACCAACATGTATTGTATATTATATTTTTATATGCTATCTATAATTTGTGTGATTAGAGGATGGTGCTAATGTTCAATCATGGCATTGATTGAAGCAAAAAAAAATAATAAATAACACATACTTCCTCCGTCCTATTGAAATATTGTCATTTTCTATTTTTTTTAGTTATAAAACAAAGTTACTATTTCTTAATTTAACAATTGTACCATTTACTTAACATAATAAACATCATTCCAACTTACAATATTGCACAATACTAACAGAGATATTTTTGTCATTTTTACTATATTCAAATATAATATTAATATTAAAAAATTTACGTGCAAAAAGTAAACGTCAAGTCTCCAATAGAGTACTATCATTTATAAAATGCCACGTGTATAATTAGGATTATTAAAAAATCTAATATGCTTAAATGACTAAAATAATGAATAGCATTTATAAAAAATTAATAGGAATGCATAACCCTCATATATGTAGTCAAATTATGACTCCATAATGGGCTATGATATTGTACTTTCTCTACCATAAGTCATAAGACTTTTGCTATAATTTGAAATTTTCCAAAAACTTATGTAACTTTTATTTCTACACCTCTTTTTCACATTTTATTATTCTAAAGACAATTTGTAAAAATATTTTAAACTAGCAAAAAAAAAAAAAAAACACTATAAAAATTATACTTTCTCCAAATCACTTGTCACATTAAATTCCGTTATGACCACGTCACCTTATTCCGTTGAAATTTTAACGGTGGGACTAAGGATTAATTTTGATAATTTTTTTTTTTAATGAGACAAAAATATAAAAAAAAAAATGAATTTGATTGGGACTAAAATTGATTTTTACTCTATTTTATTTGAATATGTAAAAAGTTTATATTGTGTTCTAAATCAAGTTCATTTAATTTAAATGCAGTAATTGCTTACAAATAAAATTTATTCCTTATTTTACTAATAAGAAATGGATTCAAATATACAATTAAGCAACTATTTTTTTTTTAAATAAAATTGGCCACATTAATATTAATGATCAAGCAGAGAATCCAAAAATATTAAAATAAATAACTTATATGGTTTTAGTAGGAGGAAGAAGAAGAAACCTTAAATAGCAATTTGGGATAGAAAAGTAAAGTTTGTATTTATTTTAATTCCGAATAATAAAATTTTGAATTGAAATAGTGGTTTAATGTGATATAAATATATATTGATGTAATATTTGAAATATAAAATTAAATTTTAATATAATATAATAAATAAAAAAGAAATACTCCCTTCGTCCGCCTCTAAAAGTCACATTTACCTTTTGCGTCATTGTATTTAACTTAAAAAATATTCTTATATATATATAATTTTTTGTACAAATATCATTCTATTAGTATCTAATGAAAGTATTTTTTTCTTAATTTGTACTATGTTTTAATATAATAATTAATATTTAAAGATCTAATACCAAAAAGTATATGAAACCTTCAGATATTTAATTTAATATTTTAAAAAATATTTTTTAAAATATAATAAGATTAAAACTAAAGTTTTACAACTAAACATGCCAAAAGAAACATCAAAATAATAATAATAATAATAATAATAATGATAATAATAATAATAATAAGCTAAAAGATAAATTGAAACTAAAATTTAATTAGAACACCGGATACTATGAGAGTTTGCTACAGAGAATGAAATTGCGAAGAAATGAGAATAAAATGAAATTGGAAAAAGAATTAAGTAGGGAAAGAGAAATGTAAAATAATTTATTTCTTTAGTATTTTAATTTGAATTTTTTTATGTGAATGATAGGGAATAATGTCGATAATAAAAAAAATTTAATATTTGTATTGAATTATTGATTTTTGTCAGAGAATAAAATATAAATACTCTCTCCCCTCTATCCAGGCTGATTATGTTACAATATTCGAACAAAAAAACTAAAAATATATTGTAATATTTTATTGTAAAAATGAAATAAGTAAAAAAATAAAATAATGGCATTATGAGAACTTTATTGATTACAATTTTATTGATTAAAGTAGAGATAATAAAATTATAAACGAATAAAATTATTTCTTATAAATAAATTATGTATAAATATAACAAATAATAATAAAAAAATATGACGTAATTCTCCCGCACAGAAAGAGAAAGTACTTTATATATATAATCACATTAAATTATCATGTCATTTTGAAAATAAAAATACAAAATAAAAATAAAAATATTGCTTATTTTTAAAAAAAATTTATTATATAAATTCATATTGTGTTCAATAAAAAATATATATATATATACAGAGGCGGAACGAGACCGGGAGGAAAAAGGGGGTTTATTTTTCAAATTTCGAAAATATTATAATCTACTTGTTATTCAATAATTTGATCAATGTAATTATCATATTTTGAAAATTATGCAAAATATCAGTAACAACTACATATTACAATATTATTTTTGTATTGTTTGAAATTGATAAATAGTAAAAAAAAAATTATTAAAAAAAAATATTATCTCCTATCCATTTGATTGAGAACTTTTTGAAAAATATTTTTTTTATTATTATTATTATTTATTTTTTTATTCATATTTATTTTTATAGACTCAAATAATTATTATGATATAAATTTTTTTATTATTCAAAATTTAAAATTTCACAAATACTCTATCAATATTTAGCAATTTTTAATTTATTTATTATATATATTATAAAATATAAATTAAATCTTAAAAGGGGTGGGGTGGGGTGGGGTGGTGTGGAGTGGGGGGAGGGATCCTAGAGTCCCTTGCTTCCACGTACATCCGCCTATATATATATATATATATTTCATATAAAATACTGTATGTAATCATTGTCGATCAAACCAAAATGCTTAAAATATAAAAATGATGATAGCTATTGCGTAAAGATTACATTTGCATGATTCTCTCCAAAGGAATGCCAAAAAAGGAACTACAACAATAGCTATGTTTTTCTTTAAAATTTTATTTTTTTGAAATAAAAAATATATATATATATATTTGTTATCTAATAATAATATATTATAATGGTAAGCGTAGCTATGTTTTTCTTTAAAATTTTATTTTTTTGAAATAAAAAATATATATATATATTTGTTATCTAATAATAATATATTATAATGGTAAGCGTGATATATATATATATATGTACGAATGTGTTGTATAAAATGCATCTATATACTAAAATATACGTACGTGGATACGATGTGTATAATATATGTATAACAGTTTTTAATAATATAAAAATATTTGTTTATATTGAATTATTATTATTATTTAATTTTTGTATGCTCTGATCGGGTTCGGAGTTTGATCAAGAGGTAGATGCCAACCGGATCCATATCCGATGGATTCATTCAGGGTTTGGATTTTGAGTTGAGATTTGAATAGTAAAATTTTTAAATTTGAATAGTTGTATGATATGATATAAATAGGTATTGATTTGATGTTTTGAATATAAAATTAATTTTTAGTATAATATAAAAAATAAAAAATTGGTGTTTGATTTGATATTTTTGGGAAAAAAAATGGAATGAATTGAGGATTTAAAATTCAATCCCCCAAACAAACACACCCTCGCTATATTAATAATTTACCAATATATTAAAAAATAAATCGAAAAATATAATGATATTATATTTTTTAAATTTAATTTATATATTACAATATTTTTAGATAAATTACATAAATTTGGATTTACTGGATTCATTATCAATTTTGATTTATTCTTAAATATATTTAATAAATATAAATAAACTTATTGATTTTTATAAAATCTGTTCAATTTTTTTTATTTCTATATTTTTTTAATAAATAAATATTTTTTATTCATATTAAAAATTCTTAATTTTTTATAAATTTTTTTATTTATTTTTAGTATATAAAATTTTGTTTTTTTATAAAATGACATCTACATAATATATATTTTATTAAAATATAATGTTTAAAATATTTAAATGTATATTCTATACTTAACATTACAAATACCCTGCTACTTTACAATATATTACACAAATATCATTATTTTTATATAATACAATACTAATAAGATTAATTTAATTTTTTTATTTTTATTTTTATTTATACTGTATCCCAATATAATATTAATATTTCTAATATCGTAAAAAGCAAACAGATAGATTGATATAGGACGAAGAGAGTAATACATACTCCCTCGTCTCATAACAAATGATATCATATCTATTTTAGTTAGTCTTGTAACAAATGATATTATCTATACTTAATAAATTTTATTAATTTAATACTTCCTCTGTCCCATAACAAAATATCTATTTCTCCATTTTAGTTCGTCCCATAACAAAGTATCCATTTTTTTTTAGTAATTGTACTATCTACCTAACATTACAAATACCCTTACAACTTATAATGTATTACATAAATGTCATTATCTTTATATCACACGTACTAATAAGGTTATTTTAGTCATTTATACTTTATTCATACTATATCTCAATATAATACTAATATTTCTAAAACTACGTGCAAAAAACAAATGGATACTTCTTTATGGGACGGTGGGAGTATATACTTAACAAATATAAATCAACTTAATTAATTTTAAAATATATAACATTATATATAATGTAAGACCAACTCAAAACACATTTATTTTTTATCTCTCTCTTCGATAAACAAATATTTATATCTACATTTATACTTTTTTTTTTATAAAATTAGTTTACGTTAATTATTTATTTGTTTGTATTATATAAAATTCTTTACAAAATAATATTATATATTTTAATAAAATACTATAGTTTTTAAAATATAAAAATACATATTTTAAAAATTGTTTAATCATATGTCGTACCCGCTAGTACGCTCGTAGATGGTCACATTTACTTTTTGTGTCATCGTATTTAATCTTAAAAATATTTTTATATTTGTATAATTTTTTATACAGACGTCATTCTATTAGTATTATAAGATATTAATCAAAATAATTTTTGTAATATTTTCTTTAATTTGTCATACGTTTTAATAGTAAATAATATCGCGTACATAATATCATGTACATAATAAATAATACTGTATATCTGTCCGGTTCTAAGGGTCTTATTTACTTTTTGCTTGTTGATATTTGAATATTAATTGTTATATCAAAACGTACTATAAATTAAAAAAAATTACAAAAATACTTCAATTAGCGTCTCATAATACTAATAAAAATATATTTGTATAAAAAATTATATAAATATAAATATATTTTTAATATTAAATACAGTGAGAAAACAAAATTTAAATATGATCTTATAAGCGGACCGAAAAAATAAAATAAATCATAACCTAAAAAGTCGTTTCCCCAACTAAAGGTTAAAAATAATAATAAAATAAAATAATTTAAAATATGATATTTGAATTTATTATAAATAATTAGAAACAAACAAACACTAAAGCACACCGTAAAGTATCCAAAAGAGCGATCGTTGCCAAGGCACAAGAACTGTTCACAAGCTAATAGGAAGCATAATAATTGCATCCCAATTCTTAATCGGCGGATTCTCCTCCGGGCGTAGATCTGTAAGAAAAATTATGTGACGACGTCAAGGCGCTGGTTAGTTACCGAAATACAGCTGAATCTCTTCGCAGAAGCTCTGTCAATCGACCTTCATTCCCGCTCGTTAATGGAGATTATGTGAAAACCGAGGTTTCGTGTTTCGTGAGCATTTTTTGTGTAAATATTCATTTTAAAATGCAGAATTTGATTTCGTGAGGTTTTTGTTGGTTGAATTCATTGCTGAGAAGTAAGATCATACACTTTTTTGCTGCTGCTTGTTGATTACTGTCTACTGAGGTTTGGTGTTTCGTGAGCATTTTTTTTTTGAAATATTCGTTTTAAAATGCAGAATTTGATTTCGTGAGGTTTTTGTTGGTTGAATTCATGGATAAGAAGTAAGATCATACACCTTTTGCTGCTACTCTTTGATAACTGCCTGATTTCGCATTTTGAATTTGGAGAATTTTTTTGCGTGTCTTATTCTGTTGTTTATCTTCTTTGTTTATGTTGTTTTTTTGGTTAATGCTGTTTTTTATCAGTCAGAACATTATTTTCTACGTTATTTTTTTTCCATTTAAAGCATCGCATCCATCCATGCTAAATCACTTGTTGACAGTAAAGAAGAAAAATTACGTCCACCTATTTCATCTAAAACTAAGATACAAACGCATACAACAAGAACAAACAGTACACTAACCTTTAAAAGTAAAATTGTGTTCTATACAAGCAAAGTAATATTCCTCTAAAAAATACAGGATTTAGATTTGTTTACTTGTGCTTTGTTTCTTCTGTTTTTTGTATCTTTTTGGTTTGATGTGATTTTTTATATTGAAAATTGGTATTGGATGCCATGTGTTAAAGAAAGATTAGTAAATTGACCAATTAAAAAACTATTTACAATAATTGAGAATTTTCATGTGGTTCTACTGATCTTTCTGGGGTTTTATGTTTTCATAAAACAATAGTTTTGTATCAGAATTCATCAAATGGATCTGAGTGTTCTTTTAGATTGAGATAGATGGATAAGTTGAATCTTTCGATTAGTTCGATGACAGTGTTTTTCGAAGAATTATAATCGGAGGTAGTCATTGTATATCCACCTCTGCTTATGCATAAGTCTTTTGTCATATTTGTAATCTTCTATAGTTAATTTTGTGGGATTTTCTCATGATAATCTCTTCTTTTGTTGTTTGTGTACATTTGCAGTATTCCTGATTAGCTTTTGCGGGATAATTAATCGGTTGAATTTGGTATGGATAGCTATGCTTCTTGAGAGGGATGTTGTAGTTCTTGCAATGAGTTTCTTTCATTTATCCATTCACAGTTTGTATTCGTAGGTTCTGTTACATTCCATTGCTGTAAATGGGATTTCGATTACAAATTCGAAGCTCCATTTTGGTCTTTTTCGTGCTTGTGCCTGCAATTCTTGCACACAAGTCCGAAAAGACTAGTCTTGTTGTGGACACAAATGCAACCGTAGCTGAAACCGATGCTAATTATATTTGTGCTACTCTCGACTGGTGGCCACCCGAGAAGTGCAACTACGGTAACTGCCCGTGGGGATTATCATCTGTTATAAATCTTGTAAGAATATCGGTGTGGCAGAAGAGATTAAAATGTTGTTCATATGTATTTTTTGGTCTAATTCATGTGTTTCTTCTGATTTCAGAACTTATCTCATCCGATTCTGACCAATGCTATCCGAGGTTTGATCGATATACCATGCTCTGTTTTCTTCCCCTGTCTCGTTTAAGTAATTTGAATATTGGCGATGTGTTATCTATGGTGTTTATTATGTCCTTTTTCTGTTTCTGAAAGCTTTCGAGAGTTTGAGAATTAGAATCGGTGGCTCATTGGAGGACCGGATCATATATAATGTCGGGAATCCCCCGCCTTATTGTCCTGAGCTTAAGAAGCAAAACAGTGAGATGTTTGGATTTTCGGAAGGGTGTTTACACATGGAGAGATGGGATGAGCTGAATAACTTCTTCGAAAAAACCGGGTGAGGCCAACTCAGATTCGTTCGATCAAATCTTGCTGTGTATAATGCACATGGTCTTTACGTGTCGATTTTATGATATAACATTGGGATCATTTGCAGAGCCGTCGTGACCTTTAGCCTGAATGCTCTCTACGGGAGGCGCCATATGCAAAACGACGATTGGCAAGGCAATTGGGATTCAACTAATGCCCGTGATTTTATAAACTACACCGTCTCCAAGGGATACAAAATCGATTCGTGGGAATTCGGTACGACTTCTTGAACTATTTTCTTCGAATTCAAACAAAGCCCCCCCGATAAATTTGTAGTTTCAATATTGTCTTTTATGAAGGTAACGAGCTAAGTGGGCACGGAGTGAGCGCTCGAGTCGGCTCCAAGCAATATGGGAAAGATATGATCCAACTCAAGGCATTGAATGATGAACTATACGCAAAATCCGAGTCGATCCCACAACTTTTGGCGCCGGGAGGATTCTACGAAAAGCTGTGGTTCAATAACATGCTTCAAGCCTCGGGTCCAGATGTGATCAACGGTGTCACACATCATTTGTACAGCCTCGGCGGAGGTGAATTCTTGTTCATATTACGCAAGAAGTTTAGCGTTCATGATCGAAATAAACTCTTCCGTTCTTGCAGGAAACGACGGCAACCTCAAGAATAAAATCCTAAATCCCGACTTCTTAAACAAGGTATCATCTACATTCATCAATCTTGCTTCGACTATTCGAGCCAATGGCCCTTGGGCGTCCGCCTGGGTTGGCGAATCCGGTGGCGCCTACAACAGCGGTGCTAAGGGGATATCCGATACATTTTTGTACAGCTTCTGGTAATCAAATCTTTTTATTCATTTTTTTCCTATTAACATTCGACAAATGAGTTTAAACTCGAATTGGAATTTAGGTATCTTGATCAGCTCGGAATGGCGGCTAAGCTTCACACAAAGGTATATTGTCGACAGAGTTTTATCGGTGGATTTTATGGGCTCCTAAACACCGATACATTCCTTCCGACTCCAGATTATTACGGGTAAGATACTCTCCTATCTCTTATATATAAGTTCTTGGTTGCTTATATATGATTAGAGATGTTATGAGAATTGAGCTATTCAATAGTAGCGGGTAAATTTTGAAAATTTTTGTTGATCATAGTAGCGGGTAAATTTTGAAAATTTTTATTGAGTTGAGTAGGCTCGACTTGAAAAATATTGATAAAATTCAATAGGGTGATAGTTCTTACTATCTTTATGTGGCTCTAAGGTTCCATTTACTTTTTGCATATTGATATTTGAATGTTAATTATTATGTGAAAACGTAACACAAATTAAAGAAAAATGACAAAAAAATAATTATATTAGTGTCTTACAGTACTATTATAACGACATTTGTCCAAAAAATTATACAAATATAAGAATATTTTTAATGTTAATATAATAATGCAAAAGGTAAATGAGACCATTAGAGCAGAACGGATGGAGTATTATCTTTTTAATATATAATTAGATAAATTATAGCTCATTTATATAATTAATAAGCTTGAGCTCGCCTCGATCAAAGTTGAAGCCAAGTTCAAAAATAAAATACTTGACTCGGCTTTGCTCGAACAAAAGTTTTAGATGAAATATAATTATTTCACCCAACATTAATGCATTTATGTTGAAGTACTACCTCCCGAGAACAATAGTATCATATTGCTAAGCGAGTTCGAATCAAATCAAAATGGCAAATGCTCTTGGGTTTAATGTAGTCAATAGTGAAGTGTGTGATGATATCCGGTTAAGTTGAGGTAGGAGTGACAGTAAATTGGTAATTGAATTATGACTATTTAGGCGAGAGGATCTTAAACGAAAAGTGGGACTATTCGAGTGGGAGTATAATTATGTCGACATTATATTTAATGAGATAGTTTGTCGATCATTGTCTTCCAAAGATAGTCATTTAATCTAGTTTCCACTTCTCAGCGCGCTTTTGTGGCATCGACTTATGGGAAAAGGCGTGCTCGCCATCAACAACAATGTGTCGCGCTATTTACGAGCTTACGCTCATTGTGCAAAAGCAAGAGTAAGAGCACACCTCCATCCCAAGTTGATTACATATTTTTGTTCTCGCATGAAATTTCATATAGTACTCCCACCGTCCGCTTAAAAGGTTGACATTTGTTTTTTTGTATGTTGATATTTGAATATTAATTATTATATCAAAACGTAGTACAAATTAAAGGAAAATAACAAAAATACTTTTATTAGTGTCTTCTAATACAAATATAATGACATTTGTGTAAAAAATTATACAAATATAAAAATATTTTTATTATTAAATACAATTACGCAAAAGGTAAATGTAAACTTATTAAGTGGACGGAGGGAGTATAATTTTTATAGTGTTTTTTTTTTTGCTAGTTTAAAATATTTTTACAAATTGTCTTTAGAATAGTAAAATGTGAAAAAAGAGGTGTAGAAATAAAAGTTAAATAAGTTTTTGGAAAATTTCAAATTATAGCAAAAGTCTTATGACTTATGGTAGAGAAAGTACAAATATCATAGCCCATTATGTGTCATAATTTGACTACATATATGAGGGTTATTAATTTTTGATAAATGCTATTCATTATTTTAGTCATTTAAGCATATTAGATTTAGAAATAGTTTTATATTTCATTTGCCACCATTTTAATAATCCTAATTATACACGTGGCATTTTATAAATATAGTACTCCATTGAAGGGTGACGTTTACTTTTTGCACGTAAATTTTTTAATATTAATACTCCCTCCGTCCTATTGAAAAGTTACTATTTTCTATTTTTGTCCGTCCCAAAACAAGGTTACCATTTCCTAATTTAATAATTGTACTACCTACTTCACATAATAAATACCCTTACAATTTACAATATATTACACAAATGTCATTACTTTTCTATTACATCATACTAACAGGGGTATTTTTGTCATTTTTACTACAATCCAATATAATACTAATATTCAAAAATCTACGTGCAAAAAGCAAACGCCACCCCTGTTGCGGGACGGAGGGAGTATTATATTTGATTGTAGTAAAAATGATAAAAATATCTCTGTTAATATTGTGCAATATAAAAGTAATAGCATTTGTATAATATATTGTAAGTTGGAAGGGTGTTTATTATGTTAGGTAAATGATACAATTATTAAATTATGAAAGACAAAAAAATATGAAAAATGACAATCTTTTAATTGGACAGAGAATATGTGTTATTTATTATTATTTTTTGCTTCAATCAATGTGATGATTGAATATTAGCACCATCCTCTAATCACCTTATGAAAGAAATTATAGATAGCATATAAAAATATAACATACAATACATGTTAGTATAAAGTATTAATACGTGTTGTTAATTCTATTATATATATATACTATAAATTTATATCTAATGTGTTGTATGTGCTATAAGCACGATGCTGAAATTGCCGTCCATTTTGTTGCAGTTAATTTTAAAAACTAAAATAGTAAAAGATATCGCTCAGTCAAAATTTTAAAATATTATATATATATATATATTTCTCTGTTATTATTATTTTTTTTAATATGACTTTTCTTATGTAAATTATATTTACGTAACAGGATGGTGTAGCGATACTTCTTATCAACTTGAACAAGAAAACGACATACTATGTCGACATTTCTAGCCTCAACAACATAGAGCCATCAATTATAGAACAAAAGGGAGTCGAGAAAGGGTCGTTCTCCCATGTCATTAAAAGATCCATCTTATGGATCGGGAACAAAGTGCCGGTCGATGATCTATACCGCGAGGAATACCACTTGACACCCTCGGGTGGTAATCTTCAAAGTCGAACCGTATTGTTGAATGGAAGGCCATTACGGCCGAATCAACAAAATGGAGCCATCCCGGACTTGGCTCCCGTCCTAAAAGATATAAAGTCTCGAGTAAAAATTGATCCTTTATCCATCAAATTCGTTGTACATCCGTACATTGATGCTCCCGGATGCAAGTGAAAGTATGCTTGTAAAATATCTTTCTTTTGAATAAAGGCAAGGTTTGTTAAATGCATTTCTTTATATTCAAAATGTCACATTTGTTTCATTTCGATTTAAATATTATAGATTTTTAATATGATATTTTATTGAAAATTATAGAAATTGAGTAGTAAAAAAAATTGAATTTGAGTAAAAAAATCAAATAGCTCCATCACTTTTAATTATTACTTCTTTTATCTACGTAATATGTCATTTTCTTTTTAAATATGATTATATTTTAATGGCATTTTAAAATTTTTAATATTAATTAAATTATTTAATTATTTTTACTAATATACTTATTAATTATAATTTATCTAAATTCTCAGCCTATCTTATTGAACATAGGGAGTACTATTAAAAGTAAAAAATAAGAAAATTAAAATGTATTTAGTTTCTATTTGAAATTAAGATTATAAATGTCCAAACTTTAATAAAAAAAAAATAAAAAAATAAAAAAATTCTCACTCTTCCATCAAAATTAGTTATATATTTCAAGTAAGGTATAAAAAAAATATAATTAATTTTGACTTGAAGAGTATATTCTTTTGAGTGATTTATTTCTATTTTTATTATTTATAAAAAAAATTAAAAATATCAAATAAAAATTTATTTTTATACTTTTTTATATTATATTAAATATTAATATAATACAATAATTTTTATTCATATAATATTAAATAATTATTTATATTCAAAATTTAACTATTTAAATTAAAATCTTAAATTAATTTTCAAATAGGATTTTATTAGATTTTTTAAAATTATAAAAAGCATTTTTGAATTTTTGTGGATTTTTTAAATCTTTATTCGAATATTATTTTTTTATGCACATGTATATATATATATATGTAGGAGTATATTGTTTATATTGTGAACTAAAAGATTGCGAGCAAGCAGCAGCATCAATGGCGTCGGCGCCCACGCGTAACGAAGTGATCTCGCTCTTCCGTTCCTTCTTACGGACGGCGCGTGGATTCACGGACTACAACGTAAGGGAGTACGCCAAGCGCCGCGCGGTCGACGCCTTTCGCCGCAACGGCGGCCTCTCCGACCCGGCGGATGCAGCCGCTGCCTTCGCCGACGGCAAATCGCAGCTCGTCGTCGCCAAACGCCAGTCCGTCGTCTACTCGCTCTACTCTCCCGGCTATAAGAACGTCATGGAAATCGAGCGCTCGTAATATCATTCAGGCTCACCTCTTTTCTCTCCATTTAGGTCAGTATTTCAATTCTAGGGTTTACAACAAACTACTCTGTTGAAATTGATCGATTTTGATCTTTGTGCGTGACACTCCTCACGATTAATCGACATTGATGATTTTGGATCTTCAAACTAATTCGATGATTCACATTTTTCGCTGTTTTCATCAATTTCATTAAAGGAATTCGATAATTAATGATTTTGTTCTACTCATTTCTTGAATAATCTTCACTGAAATCCCACAATTCACATTTTTCGCTGTTTTCATCAATTACATCAAAAGAATTCGATAATTGATGATTTTGGTTTATTCATTTCTTAAATAACCTAATTCGATAATTCACATTTTTCCTGTGTTCATCAATTATACATAAGGCTTTTTCTACTATATAATGGATTTGTGGCTTTGCAATCAGCTAACTTCAACACTCAACTCTAATTGATTTTATCAGTGTGTGATGTTTTTTCTGGCATAGTTTTGATGCTATTCAATTGTTCTAGTTATTTAATTTAGGTCTTCTTTTGCTGCTAGTTCCTTCCTTAGGAAGGTTTAGATTTAGGGTGTGTTTGTTTGGGGGTTTAGGATTTTGGTTTAGGATTTGAACAGTGTGATATAAATAGGTATTGATGTTATATTTTTTAATGTAAAATTGATTTTGTGTAATATAGAAAATAAAAAATAGGGATTTAATTTGATGTTTTTTGAGGAAAAAAATTTGATGAATGCCTGAATGGTAGAAAGTGGGTGAAGTTTGATAAGATAACACACCCTTTTTACACAAAACATTTTTAAGAATTTGCCGAAAATTTCACGGGTGGTGAAGAAATCTATTTTTTTCTACAGATCTATCATATATTGTCAAATATTATGTGCTCTGTATAAACTAGGGATGTGCTTGTTGTGTTTTTAGTCTAAGGTGTTTTTTTACAGTAGGTATAGAGAAACTTCGGTAATAGTGGATAGAGTGTATATATTATATATTTTGTGTATATATATGGATATATTGTACTTTTTATAATATTAATCGGAAAGCTGGTCGAAAATTCTTTCTTGGAAGATCACTCCCAAGATATTCATATTGAAGAAATCTTGGCTCTGATTTAGATGTAAATTTTGGAATTTTGAAAATTGTAAAAGGTTGGGTATTTGATTCGACCATTTAAGAAGAAAAAGGTTTTTTTATGTACTAATTTTTTTCTTAAAAAAATTTATGTTGATGAATAGTGCCGAAAATTGCAAAAGTAACTAAATAAACAGAGCCTTTGTTATTCAAAATGTTACAAATTTGTTTCTTTAACCATATCAAAACTAGATTGGCCAAAACTGTGTTGCCGTATAGAGTGTGGTAAACCGAAGCATGATCCCATGAAAGGAGCATTTTTAGAGCTGATTATGGCGCCTTATATTTTGTGGAAGTCTTCTAAGTTTTTAGTCTTTTACCATATCGAAACATGATTGGCTAAACTGCTTATCGTAAACTGAAGCATGATCCCATCGACAAGAGTAATGTAGAGCTGATTTTCTTGCTTGATATATTAAGGAACTTGGTTGATAATACCTCTTGATGTCGTAATTAATGGTGAGATAGAGTCGAGCTTAGATAGCATGCTGCTTAATAACTTTTTGAGCTCGACCTTGAGTTGATTGACGAAATTTACCACTAAATTCGACTGATATGAAGACAAGAAAATTTAGAAAATAAACACTAGTTTGCTTAAACTTAAGATATTTAGAAATCTTAGAAATAATAAAAGGTGTATTTAATTTGTTGTTTTATTTTATTCTTTGTAATAGTGATTGGATTTGATGTTTTAGAAAAGAAAATAGTGCTTTTTATAGGAATTTGGGAGGATTGTACAATGAAGAAATTGGTGAGAAAAAAAATGTTGGGGACTCACTTCGAGCTTTTAGGTGAGACGGTCATTCTGCATCCCGATAAAAAAAAAAAAAAATTATCGAAGTAAACAATAAGTTCATAGATTCAAGAATCTAGCGTCTTTTCCGTTCAATAACTCACTTCACCTTCGAGTTAATTCACTAACTTACCAATATTAGTTAAAAATAATCATATAATGTTTTCCGTGTAGCTCGATAAAAACTTGATGTGATAAACAAGTCAAGTGGCTTGAGATTGAGTTTGAGTCGAATATTATTCAATGTGAACATCGAATCAAATATGAACTACAACTGAATTGATTCCCCTTTCCTCCCCGTAGTGTTTAACCGATACTACTTTCAATGAACATGCTGCTTTGCTAGTTTGAGAATTAACCACTTTGATAGGCTCATTATTGTTCGAAGAAGAGTTCACAAACTTTATTCATCTTGCTCAATGGAATGCGTGCTAACCAAGGTCAAATTTGCTTCGAAAGTTAAATATATCCTTCATCTCACACACTAATTTTGTAGTAGATTAAAAAATAATATATATATATATATTTTTTTTTATGAAATTACCTTTATGTTTATGTATAATGGCATGATGGCATTTTGCTAAATAGAGGTAAGAGTGAAAATAAATGGATAATTGGGTTGGGAGGGTAACACATAGTCCATAAATGGAGAAGTGCTATGTAGGTGGGAAATGGTTATACTATTGTTGATTAAGTTTAAATAGCACATAAATAATAATAATAATAATAATACAATAAATGGTTTCAAAGCCTGCAACTTGCAGTAAATATTTTAAGGTTTGCTTAATGAATAGATCATTATGTGATGAAATCAACAGTAGTGTGTACTATCCCGTAAGAAATGGTTTGGTGGCGCCTTCCGGTCTTGCCTGTCATATATGGTTCACCTAGCCTGACTTGTCTTGAAAAAAAAAAAAACGATGGTGATTTATTGTTGTCAATTCATATGTTGCATTCGGATTATATTTGTATGTATTTGGTGCGTTGTCAGCACACTATGTTAAAAGTGCTCAATCAGCAACCGTAACCGCAGCCTTAGGTAGGACAAATCTAAATGGAAAGCGTGTCTATTTTAGTAGAGACGGAAGGAGTATTTATTGTACTTCCCTTACAAAAACAATGCCAATGCCGCTCACGCTAATATCACATTTTGAAATTGTGCCCTGTTTCAGGAATCAATAAAGACATATAATAACGGGGGAGCGCAATGGATAAAAGGGATTGTTGTATAGCATCCGATACTCTATATGTAGTTCGAAAACAATAAATAGGTTCTTCCACACACATACATAATACATAATGTTTAGGAGGAAATGAATAATTTGAAGCTTTTTATATACATGTTATAATTGATCCTCTATTTTTGGGAGTTTTTGTTTTGCATTTGTTATGTTTGTTTGGAATTTGGTTTCAGTATTTCCTTTAAAATTCAGCACTGCGCTGACGACACACCACAGCACACGGTGTGTCTACATTTATATGAACTAACACAATTACCCAAATTCAGCGCTAAATAAAAAGACAAATATTTGTATGACTGACTTTTTTAAAAAAGATAATAAAAATTAGTGAATTGTATTGTTGTAAATATATTAATTGTAGGGTATCATTCATTGATAAGAAATGATGTAAAAAATGAGATGGATACATTTTTATTTTTTTTTTTGTGAATGGATAAGGTGTTATTTAGTCTCAAAATATTGAATGTGTTATTTCTTTATTTCAAATTAAAAATTTTACCATTTTAAATATATATATATTTTTTTCTCAATATCAAATTAAATTATTATTTAAATTAAAATTTAAATCTTTCACTCTAATGTTTGTACAACCATCAACAATTTTTAAATACTTGCAAATGTGTGTTCATTTTACTGGGCACAAATTTTAATAAAAATAAGTAATAATGATTACTTTTTTCTTTTATATTAAACAAAAGTACAAAAATATAATAATTTTTTACTTAAAAAGAAAATAATAATAATTTTTTCTTTTATAATAAAAAAAAAACAAAAATATAATAATTTTTTATTTAAAAAAAAAATGATAATATTTTTCAATGACAATAAAAAAAAAAAAAGTTAGCATACATTTAAAAGACGAAGGGAGTAATATATTTTATTATATGAAAGAAATTTTTTAAACAGATAGTATAATTCATTAACTTATTATTTTGAGCTGTACGTATATAGCATACAATATTAGCAATGGTTGAAGAAATGTAGAGCAAAAAGAGTGAGAGTGAGGCTCTATTTGTTCGTAGCTTTCTAATTCTCATTTTCCTCAAAAGTTCTATTTTTATTTTCTTCTACCTTGCCCCACCTAAAAATAGTCAAAAAAATTATAATATATGAAAAAAGTTATGGTATCATATTATTCAAAAAAATAATATACTCCTTTCGTCCGCTATATTTCCATAAAGAAATTTTTAATATTAAATACAATGACACAAAATGTAACGTGACCATCAGAGGCAGATGGAAAAAGTATTATACATTAAAAATCAATATTAAAGTCAAAATATAGAATCTAACAATTATTTCAATTCAACCTTTTACGATTCAAAACTTCAAACCTAACCTCAAAAATCAACAAGGAAACAAACAAAACAAATACAAATTTCCAACACTACAAATTCCAGCATTAAGCAAACACATGTTATGTTTTTCCACAGTTTAGTTAGTCAGATCTCAACGAAACCGACGATCCGAATCATATAATGCCGGCGTCATTGTAGTCGAAACAATGCAAGACAAAATGCCAACGATACTATAAACTTCTGTCTAGCTAATAAATCGAGCAATGGTAGTAAAGCTTAGTTATCTTCGTCGTAAAATAGCTACTTACCAAGTAAACGGCGCGTGCGCTGATTCGCGCCTTTCACTCTGAAACTTAGCTCCTCCACGTCGTCCTGAAAATGGTCCATCGCCTTGTTTTGCCTGCGCATTCGTAAAAACACACAATATATATATATATCTTTAAAGTGTCGAGAATAAAAATGCAACGTAAAGAATTTTAACTGACCGATCGATTTCAGATCCCATGTCCAATGCCATCTCCTTAAGCTCTCCCAAAATATTACTTAAATCCAATAAAGCATCGTCTTGCTTCAATTTCTCGACCTAAATATAGATACAGAACATCAAAAAATATCCAAGGTTGTGTTCTTTTGTGGATTTTATCACATATGTTTATTATTCATATTCTTTTTTCTCTAAAAAAATATAAAATCAAACCATTACTTTTTTATTTTTATCATATATTTTTATTATTCATATTCTTTTTCCTCTCCAAAAATATCAAATCAAATAATTACTTTTTTATATATATATTATACTATAAATAAATTTTGCATTCAAAATATCACATCAATATATATTTATATCACATCAAAATAGCTATTCAAATTCAACTTTTTACTATTCAAAAATCCAAACTCACAAACAAACACACCCTAAACATGCTGTATCATTAACCTAAAACAACAAAAAGCTTCTACAAAAAAAAAAGTCCACATTAAGAGAGTAATCTATATCTTTGTTCATGAACACATAGGGTGTGTTTGTTTTGAGATTGTTAGAAAAGAAATTTTTTTCTGTGAGGCATACAAGATCGTGTAGGAAATATAAAAATAATGAATGTCTGTAGTGTATTTACTTTTTTTGGGAAAATGTGTAGGAAGAAAATTAGAAAGAACAAAGCTATACTTAATTAATTGAATATCAAATGTCACCAAACATACCTCGACTTTCTGCAATGCATTTGCGGGCTCGGTGGTGGTTTCTGCGCCTGTACGGCGTCGTTCCTTTGAGGCAGAAATCAATCCCAATTTTTCCCTCTGCTCCAAGTGGTTACCTTTCCGAAGAACTGGATCGTCTACATAATCACCAAAGTGTTATACCCGTACGAAAAAATGCTCGACCAAAGTGCATTGATTGCATATATCTTATATTGGTCATAAGATTACCATCTTAGATATAAGACAGGTTCGATTAGTTAATATTTGAAGAAGGTGGAAAGGTGCAAAATACCTCTTGTGATTACAGGGCCGCTTATTGGGCGAGTCTTCTTAGGCTTCCATGTCCGGGAGAACATGCCCCCGAGGCTTCCTAAAAGCTTCTCACCCTAAAAACATCGATATAATCGAGATCTTGTCAAAAAAAAATTTACGCAATTTTTGGAGGACATTTTAGAAGGAAAAGAATTTTCGAAACATGTATTTCTACCAAATATATAGGTTTCGGAAAATTAACACTATATTGGATATTCTACATTCTAAAGTGACCATCTAAACATCATCGGGCCATTTTATATCAAATCAAATATTCTTTTTGTTCCACTCAAAAGCTTTTTTTTTTTTTGTCCAATTAACCCGAAAATATACATTACCTATTACAGTAAAAATGTTCTCATATTAATATCAAAATACTTTAACTTTTATATGAATTATAAACATATTATTAATTATTAATTATTCATAAAGTACGAAGGAAAAATTTATCAAAATATTCTTACACACCCGTACTAATCAATGAAATATTATTATTCCTTAATCCATTACAAAAAAGTAGATATATATAATTGGATGGGACGAGGGAGTATTACGAATACTATTCACTACTGGGTAAAACACATAAATAGGAATTTGTATAATGATCCTTCCTCGTGTTAACAAAATATTTTTATGCATACAATCTCGATATTGTCATAATTTATTTATACAAATATAGGGATTCTATCCATCAAAGAGACATAGTACATATATTTATATATAGAATATACCCTTGACTGTATATTACCATTCAAGTAATCGAAGTTGACAATTTCCTAGCTAATGCTCAATAACTTAAAAACTAAAGTGTGAGAATAAAAAAATCGATAATTTTGATACATACCCTGCTAAGGTCCTGATCAATGTCGGCAGCAACCATGTGAGTATGTGTAAGTTGTTCTCCTTGTTGATGCAGAGTTACCAATGTTTTAGTCGCGGATTCTCTCATGTCCTCAGCAATCATGAGACAGTTATTAACCGCATTTGTAGTCTCCTCAGCTTTATACAGAGCGTAGCTCTCGAGTTCCTCTACAGTCTGATTCTCTAACCCTCCTGCATCACGGAAACCATTCTTGTATCTATTTTTTGTTGCTGAAGCATGATAGATCCGAGAGGATGATGTATCCTTGACATCATCATCGTCATCAAAAGGATTTGTACCCAAGCCGGGAGAAAAGCGAGAAGGCTCTGAGGATTTTCTTCCCGGGGTTTTCAGTGTTAGCTTATTGTCTATCTCATCATCAGAGTCAAAAGGATTGGAGCGGCCGTTCACAGAGAACTTGCCATTGGTTGCATTGTGTTTGGATGTTTTTCCCGAGCTTTTACGGATTTGCTTATTATCCAGCTCGTCATCCGAATCAAAAGGGTTGGTGCTACCACTCCCTGAAAACTTGGTTCCACCAATGTTGTGCTTGGAGAATCTATTTAAGGGAGATTTCGTCAATCCAGACATTTTTTTTCCAACTGGCAAGTTCCCGGGGAAGAAAGAAGCTTCGGATCCCTGAAAATTACAAAATAAGAAACTAAATAAATTATGCGAATACCGTCATTCTTGCTGCTGATAAATACAGCTACAAAACCTTATGGAACAAACACACTAAGAAAAGTAGAATAAAAAGAACATGAAGACATGAGAATGGACAAGATCAAAGAATTCGTCCATAAAGTATAAAAACATAAAATAAAATGTAGGAAAAAGATTGAATTCGTTTGTGTTTTCAATCTTTTTTATTTTTATCCTCCGACATATATTACATCCAATACATGTTCATTCAAACATTACATTCAAATGTATTTTCTATTTAAAACATCACTCCCCAAGAAAATTCATTCAATAAGTAAATAGATTCAGATCTAAAATGTCAAAAATCATACCTATTTATTTATTTAAAATAATATATCAAAAAACTTAATTTCCATTTGAAAGAAAAAAGAAAGAAATTCAAATTCAAAATACCGAAAACATCCAACACACAAACCGAACATCCCTAATGGTCTGAAAGAGGCATTTAGGTATGATCTCTTGTCCCATGTGTCAATTACCACAAAACATAGTCACATAATTTATAACCTAAATATGAATAAACTACAGGTTTGTTTCTTTTCCAAAAAAATTTCAATATATTTTACCAAATAAATTAATATATTATGCACTCTCATTATTTTTATATTATTTATACAATTACCTATGCCTCATATTAAAAACAAAAAATTCAAACCAAAAAACAAAACACCCTACAAATTACTCTCCTTCAAAACACACCTGCTTTGGTTGTGGTTTTTACACCAACTCCCACTACTAACTAATTTTTTGCCTTGAAAATAATTAAACCGAACACCTATTTTTCTTTATATTAAGCTACAAATTTATTCATATTCAAAATGTTACATTAATATCTATTTAAATCAAATCAAATAATTATTTTTGACACCAACTCCCACTATTCACTAAGTTTTTCCTCCAAAACCATTAAACCAAATACATATACATATAAACATTTTTCATATTACATTAATTTTACATTCAAACAAAGTGTATCAACACCTACTTATGCCTAAACAACCACTTCTTACCCTAACTCCCACAATTCACTAATTTTTACCTTTCATGAACCATTAAACCAAATATCAAATATTTTATTTTTTTATATTATATTATAAACTAATTTTACATATAAAATATCACATGAACACTTATTATATCGCATCAAATAATTATTTCAATTCAAAATTCCAAATCATCATCATGACTATTCGTCGACGCCTATCTCCTCTGTTACGTCTGGCTTTGCTCGAGAAAAGGATCTGCTCTTGCCGTTCGTTAGGGATGAACTCTTCCGAACAGATTTTATCTAGAACACCAAAAACGGCCAACACCGGATTCTAGCCCTGAGGCTCGATTCTCTTTGATTTTTTTTTTTTTTTCACTTTCTTTACTATGCAGTAAACACGAGTTCCTTTTTTTTTCAAAAAAACATTATTTACACTCATAGGTTACCACATCAAACCACTATTTTAACACAAACATAAATCAAACAAACCCTTACTATTTGATGTTCGAAAACCCCTACATTTTTTGCTTTGTAAAAAATCCTCAAGAAAATAACCAAAAATTAACCAACACTGTAGAGAGGTAAACTATACTAATTAAAAAATGAGCGGACTGCGTCTTTCAGTTTTGTTCCATTTCCACACATTTCGTAACCCTAATTTCTGAATTACCCCAAATACAATTCTCCAATTCTTTCGTGAATTCAAAAATTAACGCCAACCAACAACACTCACAGAAACCAAATCCTTCCTTAACCCCTAGTAATTCACAGTTTCAAAATTCCACAGATTCGTGAACCGCCAAAAACACACAGCACAATCACAGTAGAAACACATCCAAAAAGGCGAACAGAAAAAGGTCGAAGTCTTTTCACAATGAGATTCACTCAGTAAGGACTTTCAATTTCAGATCACTCACTACCAATCTAACAAAAATAAAATAAAATACACAAACAGATCATCTAACAAAAATGAAAAAAAGAAGGTAAAACAGTTCAATATTCCCAACTCTATTCGGTAAATAATTTCCAACAAGATGAGTCAAAATTTCAAAGCGGTTAATACCTCAAGTTTTCTCCGGTAAGAGAGCGAGAGGGAGAGGAGCGGGACAGGAATCTTGGATTGGATTGCAGAGAACTCCGGAAGCAACGGGCCAACGGCTCTTTACGGAGGAAACTAGAGAGAGAGAGAGAGAGAGTGGGAGAGAGAATTTGAAACGAGTTAATAATGCGTGGTGAGAGAAAAGACCGAAATTGCAATTTGCTTTAGTTCTTATGGCTGCGTCCGTTTATGCAGATTTGTGGTTGGATTTTGAAAATAAAAAATTTAAAATTTAAACAATTATTTATTTTTATTTTTTTTTACGTAAAATTAAATTTGAGTATATTTTATAATTTTTTTTAATTTAATATATTAATTTTTAAATAAATAGTCGTGATTGTTTGTTTGATTTTAGTCTAAAATTGATTTAAAATAAAATATTATTAATTTTATTTTTTAAAAATAATAAATTTGTCCACTCAGTTAGATTTTTTAAATTTATATAAAAAATTGTATTGATAATATAAATAATAATGTGTTGAATGGTCGACTGTTTATGGATAGATAACGTTTAATGTGTGTATTTTTTTAATAATATTTACGAAGAATTGTTTTATTAAAAAAGACATTCTAATTTTCAGTTAAAAATAATTTTTTATGTTAGTATAAAAAACTAAGTTGATAATATAAAAAATATATTTTATACTCTATGTACAGTATTTATAATAATAAAAAATAAAAATAAAAATATGTAAATATTAAAAATGATCGAAATAAATATATTTTTAACATATAGAGTGCGTATATATAATATATTCTGTATGAATATATGTGTATATTATGTAGAAAAGAGTATTGGGTGAACTGGTACATTATTATAACTATTTTTAAAATATAATTTTTTAAAAAGAAATCGATTACATTAAAAAAAAAAAAAAATACTAAAAAATTATTATTTCCATTCCATTTATAAGTAAATATTTAATTTTAGTCCAAAATTTTAAAAATAATAATATTTTAATTGTAATACATAGTTAAAAATAATATAAAGACAAGTTTATCATTGTTTTTTCGATGTACAATTATTTTTACTGTAATAAAAAATAAATATTTTTAGTGAGATAAATAAAAATGATAAAAAATATATATATATATACTTTCAAATGGAATGAATTTCTACAATTTTTTTGCACTTTATTACAATTAATTGAGAAAAATAATCGTATCGGTTATACTATTTTTACTTTGTAAAATAGATATTATACTATATTACATTGTATATTTATAAAATATTAATTATCTTTAGCTTACGTGCAAAAATTAAATAAGAAACTTACCGATAGGGTGAACGAAAGGAGTATATATATTATGAATAATTGTTCCACCTAAAATTACTAGGCTATTTGGTTTATGAACTTTTTTGGTGGGATTGAGATTTATTATATTTAGGATTTGGAATCTCATATTATGTTTGGTTGGTAAAATGTGGTAGGATTTATATTTCGTGAATTTGGACTTTTTATATTCTAATAAACTCGAGACCGAGCCCGATCTATTTATTTGAAGTTAAGTCCAATTATAATATTTTCTAATAAAATAAATAAATTTTAATATACATTGGATCTGGTACATGTATAATTTTAAATTAAAATTTAAGAATTATAAAAAAAAAATGAATTCTTCGGAACCATCAAGTCTTACTGGATATAGTCTCGGTCGGATCTAGTATAATCGGATCCAATTTGAATATCAGATTTAACAATATATATTTGGGATGAATATCAGTTCCGACGGAACCATAAGTCGTCCCTATAATTTTATAATTCAAATAAAATTTATAATAAATAATAATTTAAACAATGAATTTATTAATTTATTTAAAAAAATATTGTACAATAAAAATAATATAAATTTAATTTAATATATAATTCAAATAATAATTAATTTTAAAATTATTTAGTTTTTTATATAAATATAATACTATTATTTTTTTATAACATGATATAAATGTAAAAATTAAAATTCAAGAATGGGATTTTAAAGTATCAGGGTATCCCCATTACAAAAAAAAACCCTTATTTGCTTTCTTTTTTTTAACCAAACATGAATTTCATGGAATTTTAAAATCCAAATCCCATGGAATCCCATTAAATCTTTGAACCAAACACCACTCAAACCCATTAATTTCTCCAAACTATTGACAATCTTTTGTTATTTTGAACAACATATTTATAGAACAAAAATTATTCACCAAGGATAAGAAGAGAGCATAGAAAGTTGCAAAAGAACTTCAAACAAGCCTGCAGCTCTTAACTTAAGAACACACACAGACACAAACCCTCAACAGCTTCCCATGGTACATAAAAACAAGAATGCAGAAGCAATAAATCAAAGCTCGAAATGTTTCTTTACCGAATAGTTTGTAGCCGGCGCCCAAATTTTCTCGACCAGGAGCAATCACCCTTATCTCCTTCGAACTGCGAATGATCAAGAACGACAATTCGTCAACTCCAAAAAATAAAACAAAAAAAAAAAAAGACAAAAATCAATATATTTAGATATTTAACTTACGGCATCGGGTATAAAGAAACCGGGGAGGGAATGTGAAAGGAACAGAAAGGTCAGGATCCCTTCGACAGAAATTCCAATCAAGAAATCGTGTTATGGATTTATGAGATCCTGAGAATACGATCTTGAGGCCCTGTGGATTTTTGTCGATCTGATGCAATCTTAATTGCAGAAGAAAATCGAGTGAGTGATCTTGAAGCTTATGTAATTTTCTAGGAAATAGAAAAAGGTCCCGTTTTGATTACCTGAGCCTCAAGCTCGGCTATTCTCTGTAGAGATATTTGTTCGATGTTTGCACGGCGCTTGCGCTCTTCATCGAGCATGCTCGTTAGTTGGTACCGCAACTCAGCCATCTCCTGAGCTAAATCCTCTGCTTCTTCTTTGGATTTCAGCCTTTCCTCTCTCAGCTCTGCCTGAATATATTATTGTCTTTAAGTTCACAGTTTTTGTATTCAACAAAATTCGTGAAATCATAAATGTATGTGTTCTCATAATTCGCCGTTTGATATAATGTGTCCAGTTTGATCAATAGTGTCTGCAATCTAAAAAGGTTTTGTTTCTACTTCTAAACATTTAGATCCGAAATGGAAGGAACTTCCAATAGCTTTGTGATCGTTCGAAGTGTGATAAGTTTTCTTAAAATTGTTTAGGTTGGTTTACTTATTGCTTCATCCGTCATTCAATTGTGTGTTCATTTGACCAAACGCGAGTTTTTAAATAAATAGATAAAAATAGAAATTTTTACTTTTTAATGTAAAGAGAAAGTAGAAAAGAACGTAACAGAAATAAATTTAGATAACAATAAAAAAGAAAAGTAAGAATAAATTTGAATGACAGAGAAAACATATTTTTAGTCCCAAATTTGCACGGTTCAATCTAACATTTTCGCTTTAAAAACATTTAATTCAACGACTATTTTCGCCTAAAAAATATCAAAATAAAAAATAGCAAAACAAAGAGAAAACACTCTCTAATGCGAAAAATGATTCTATTAGTCGAGTGTTAGGTATTTAAGTATGTCATGCATAAAATTTTCTACATATGTAAGGTCTTGAACACGACATTATTAAAGTTTCTTTTCACATTATCGATAAAAATAAATTTTAGAAAAATAACCATGAAATAGTTGTCTTTGCCTTTAATTGCAATAACACTTCCACAGTTACTTATAAATACCGTTTCCAATAGAAATACACTTACTAAAAAAATATCTAACAATAAAAAATAAATATATAATAATATTTTTACAGTTCTTAATAACTAATAACAAAAACCCAAAAAAATTCTTAAATACTAAAAGAACACTACCTTTTAATTTTCCAAATATCTACAATTTGCGTGTTTCTACTTAAGATTTTACATGCTAGACTCCAACTGTTAATTACTATTATCATTAAAATTAAGATGCATAAACAAATCTCTTAGTGTATGAAAACATACCGTAAGCTTGCCAACAAGAACTTCATAGTCATCTATCCGGCGTGACATTTCAGCCGCTTTGTTCCTTAAATCTGCATCTGGTGTTGAGAGAGTGGAAAGCTTTGAGAAAAGGGGGCCTAAGGCGTCACCGTATATGCTGCAATTGAGGAGTTAAAGGATCCCATATTAGTAAGTGTTGCACTCGTCATATTTTCGTAATGACGGAAGCCGCCCTCCATTAATAGGAAGAAACAAATACAAATGTTACAGAAACCAACTAATTTGTAGTTTGCTTAATAATTACTTCAAACTATTGGCTATAATTTATTCATGTTCAAGTATACATCATGTATTGGCGATTACAAACCATGAAATTCGAAACGAGTTCAAAGCACAATGCTCACTACATTCACATAATAAACCGCAATGCTTCCACCAATAAATATTTATATTCAAGACAAAGCAAAACTCGCAGAAAAGCTATGGGCTTGTTTTTAACCGTAGTTAGATGTAATGTTTTGAACAAAAAATGGGTGTTAGATGTGATATTTATATAGGAAAAATGGTGGATTGAATAGAATAATAATTCGGAGGAAAACACATAGAGTGAATAAACCAATATTTTCCAATAATTCAGCTGCTAGAATATAGTTTTTGAAATTTTAAATCACACTAATAGCTCAAGTTTGAAAAGGAAATGTAACCTTCTTACCTAAAATGATTATTTCACAGCTGAAAACAAACTTCTTCCCCAAATGTCACTTGCTCATTTGACATTCAAAATGACCACGTTTGAGATGGGAACAAATACGACTTTTCTAGCAGGATCAAATGGGGTTCTCTCATCAACAACCCTGATGGGGAATTGAGCTTGAATGCCAAATTCATTGCACTCCCCTCTGTTCTTGAGTACGCTAATTTTACTTCAATTAAATAACAAAATATTGTCACCTAATCAGCCAATTCATTGTAATACTAATTACTAATAACTCATTAGCTCTGTAACTAAGAAAAATGAGCAGACGAGGATTTCATGATATATATTTGGGGTGATGCAGAAGAATTAGTAATGGTAGCTCTCCTTTCTTAAGCATCATATCACATGAATGAATATTGAAGATGCAGATCATATAACGCAACGAGTAAATGTATTGATTAAGGTTCAGATTGAAAGTGATGCAAGCTGGTCCAGACTTACCTTATATCTTCCTTCAGTTTACTCGACCACTTGATGTCCAATGGGTCCATTGACTTGTGAAATTGCTCTTCTACTTTCCTGGCAAACGCTTTGGCATTCACCTCTGACTGTCGGAGCTTTTCTTTCAAATCACTGTTCTCCTTGTATAAGCCATCAATCACCATGTTAGCATCTTGTACTTGAAGCTCGAGATTGTGAATTAGCTCTCTCATATTGGACTTCTCCAGATTACTTTCTTCTAACAATTTCTTAGTTTCTAGAAGGTTCTGCTCAACGGCAACTGACTCCAGCTTTGTGCCCTCTATTTCACATTGATATTCTAATGCCATAGATGAAATCAAATCCTCCAGCTTTCTGATGCGTGATGTGGAGTATCTAATTGCATTTTCTTTATCTGCTAAATCGTTCTTTAATGACAACCTTTCCGATTCAGATACCTTCAACTGCTCCTTTACCTTTCCCATTTCCTCTGTTTGACTTTCCATCTCAGCAAGTTTCAACTGAAGGTTACATATTTGCTCGCCAAGACAGGTTAGGTCGAAGTTCCTTGTATTTAGTTGATCCTGCAGGTAATCTACAAGAATAACATATCATAGTTATGTCAGATAGAAATTAACAGGTAACAATGTAATGGGCAAGTAAAGCATCCTCATTAAAAACTTTCCAATAGTCTTTCAAAAGATCTTAAATAAAAACGAAAACAACAGGTGATAACTATCAAGTTAACCAGATATTTATTATGAGGAGTTACGTGATTTTGAAAGCAAAATCGATGGATGACACAAGATCATATAAGGCCAGACAAGAAAGCTTCAGGGAAAATGGGAAAAGTCTGTTATTGTGAATATATAAAGTGGCTCAAAGAGGTGAGGTAGTTACTCAAATGTCTTAATGCTTTATGTCTTTTGAGCTTTTTATAGTTACCTTATAATGAATATGATTTTCATTTAAAATACATAAAATAGAAGACCCCTAGATTCACGTTATCAATAGTTGAACAGCTGACCATTAGCAATTAGGATGGAAACAGATTCCGGAGCAAAGGTATAATGGAGGATTACAAAAAGTTATATGTTGTAAAAAATATGTGTTGCGGAGGATGCCTCCACCTATTTCTTGGTTGCAGTTGCAGAGTTGTCTCTCTAAGTCCTCAATATGTTGCTTGTCTTCTTCGCGAGATTTAGATGACGCCTTAGCATGTAATTCCAGTTTCTGCATTAAAGATAACTTCATTTAGTTTCTTCTGAGACTAGCTAAATTACCTGATGACTTTGTGGCTGGGCCTTAGTCTTAGCATCGATCTACTAGCTCAAGTCTAGTTCTTCTTTCCTCTAAGCTATCCTATATTCCTATGTATCCTATATTAAAATCTAAAATCTATAAATAATCTACTTCTAATTTCCCAAAAAAGAAGAAATCTGAAGTTCCTTAAACTTGTACCTTATCCCCAAAGGAAAAATATAATGTTATAGGAAAGCTAAAAATGACAAAATAATTAGGGGTGCTATTTCAAATTGGATAAAGCCGTAAAGGCAAAATTTCACTAGCAAAACATGTAGTTCCATGAAATTAAATAAAAATGAATAAACTGATGATGATGGAAAAGCAAAGGAAAAAAGCAGCATTCAATAGACAGTTCAAAGCAAGAGACCACATCAACACAGTTTAACTATTCTTTGTTACCTCACATCACAGTCAACAAAGACAGACTTTTATAATCATGGTGTCACAGCAAATATTAAGATGTTGTGGCTCTTGAAATCCTATTTAACAGTCATAACTACATACCAAACAACAGTCACTTTAAGACGAATAAGTGGTCTAACAAAGTTGATGTGTGTAATAAAAAATTAAATCATGACCCTTGTATATAAGCTTTTGGATAAAATTGCCATCAAGCAACTGTAAACTAATCGATAACTTGACAACTGCACAACAACAAAATAAAATGGACAAAAGATTATACCTTGATTAAATCGAAGCTGTGGGACTTTGAATCTCTCAGCATCTCCTTTTCCTTTGTCAGCTGTGACACAGTAAACAACAAGCATTGAATAATATAAGCGCCGAGAATAAAAATAAAGACCAATCACCAAAGTAAGAGAAACATCTGGTTTATTAGAATTAAAAGTACAAAACTTTGCAGTGGCGTCAATGAGAATAAGGGAGTTTGGCAATCTGCTTTTTAGCAAAGTTCTTCTCCCAAAATCCAAAGCAATTATATCAGTCTGTAAATTGATACAATGTTTTCCTCTAACCTATAGCCAATGTACATTAAAATGTTGGACACTTTAAGGGCAAAAAACTATGAAAACATCACAATAGCAGGATGGGATCCATCCTATCTTTAGGAATTATGTAAGAAAAAAGAAATGTAGCCTCTGCCACATGCTCTAGAATCGACTGCACCATGTAATGATAACAAGTAGATAAATAAAACTACAGAAACAATAATAAACCTTATTCCAATCGTACATTACACTACTATTCAATCCAGACATCTCCAACTTTCAAATTCCAAAAGAGATCTCATTTCTACAATTACTTGAAGCACATATTTTCATTAATTTACCTCCTTAAGTCTTTCCCTGATCTCCAACAAATCATCTGCATCAAGAGATGATTCACTGCTGCTACTTAATCCTCCAGACATCTGAAACATCGCATTTACGGTAAGAAGCACACCCATAAAGATAATCAAATGAATTTACATCCTAATCGAATAGCTCATCAAGTGTATTGTGCAAAACACATAATAGTACACATACATTATACATATAATCTCAAAAGCATATCCTTGCCTTAACCTAATTACCAAAACAGAGAGGCTTTGAACTGAAACACCTTTTGTGGTTTTTACAAGATTTTTAGCTATTCAATTAAGCACTTATTTTTATTTTCTATATTATATTAAAAATCAATTCTACGTTGAAAACATCGAATCAAACAATATTTATATAACATCAAACTCTCTAAATTTTTATAATTCAAAAATCCAAACTAAAAAAACCTCAAACAAACACACCCCAAGAATCTTTGCCCTCAATCGTTACTGTGCATAAAATCAAGGTTCAAGCAAACTGTACAAATCTACAATCTCGCAATTTCATCAATGACCTAAACAGACCAAAATTGCTTGGCAAAATAAACGGCCAAAGAAATCAAAATCCACACAAAGAAAAAGAAATAATCACTCCGAAGAATACTGCAAAATTACCGCTGCAGGGATACCTGGGCGATTAACAGCAGCAGAGTATGAAATTTTGAAACTGCAGACAATGTTGGAAACTTCGTCGACTTGCAGAGAATCTTTTCCTTCCTCGAAAGTGATGACGCTTGTAATATTCAAATATTTTCAATTAGGTCCATAAAGTTTCAATAATTGCAAAAAAGAACTTTTTTTAAGCTTTCTGCTACTTATATATAAAAATAATTTTTCTTTTTTTAATAGAAAAACACAAAAATGGAGAACGGTCGCCGGTCGAGCGTATCGGAGCAGGCACCGACGGCGCCGCCGTGGATGCGCCGACGGAGGTATCTGATCGGAGGCGGATGCTGCTGCTGCAACTTGTACTGCTTCGCCGTCGCAGCTGTGACGATTTTGTTATTGGTGTGGTTATTGAAGTGCGGTGTGATGGGCGTGTGCGATGTAGGTAGTTTCAGCTTCCTCGCCGGCTTTTTTTCCGGCGACTCTCCGGCGAATGCTTTGGTTTCTGAGCTCTGAAGATGTCTACTGTCGCCGGTAATTGATCTGATCTGAGAATTAGGAATTCTCAGGTTGGGGAAAACTGATGAATTGTTACACATTGCTTGTATTTTGTTCTTGAATTTTTTGGTTTGTTAACTTTTTTTTTTTTCTTGCTTATTTTCGAATTTTTGTACTTTTAAATTTTGAAAATGGTATGAAAGTGTATTTTTGATGTGTACAAAAATATAGGTTGTGTTTGTTTAGGTTCGGTTTGGGAAGATTGAGTTTCACTTTTTTAGTTTGATTTGAATTTGAATTTTTGTAGAAGTTTTGGGAATAGTCGTTTCTTTGGTATAGTAGCTTTTGTTCGGATTTTGAGAGTTTTATTGGATAGTAATTTGATCGGGGATGATAGGAGTGATGAGATTTTAATTTAATTGAAAATAATTTATATTAAATATAAAAGTAAAGGAATATCTATATGAAAAGTGAATTTTTTTCTCTTTTATTATTATTTTTTTCATCTGTAACTAAGAAAAAAAGACCAGAATTTCGAATTTACTTCTAAGTCTTACCTACAATTACATGCAGAAGAACAAACGTGTGCACGGTCTTGCATGAGTCCGTGGTTGTTCGATAACAACACTAAATGCACCGGACATAGAAATGCGGCCACATTTGCAGCATAATAAAATTGATCAAGCATGGCCGTGCTCGTTCTTTAAAAGTGGTTGCTTCCCGTATAAATTGGAGCAGAAAAACAGACCTAAATGCACGGTCGTGCACAACTATCCATATTCTTCTGGCTTTCATACGAAACCCTTAGCGATGAATGAAGGCAACGCCGGATTGGTGTGTAGTATGGTCATATCACAGATTTATCGAAAATTGCACGAATTTACGAAATTGACTAACCAATTAAATCTCAAATTGAAATGTAGTTCGATTTTCCTTATCTCTTTGAGCTCAACCGCCAGAAATCCTATCCCCCGTCAAAGTACATCCCCCGAATTCCTTCGCGGCAATCCTCTGCTTCACTTGCCGACAAAATCGCTAAAATCCTACGATCCTTGCTCTACAACGAAATGGTGAAGAAAATTTGGAAGAAAAATAAAAGATGATATATAATAGAAGATGGAGAAGAAACTGAGTAAAAATGAAAGGTGAAACAGTGGATGAGGGAGATATAAGTTGCAAGACTTTGTCCTCTTAGGTCTGTCTCTCGCGGGAGGAATTGTGCCTAAAAAACACACCTTATATTGTCTTTATATTATTTGAATTTTTACATTAAATAATAATAATAATGTTTTATTAAGTAATAAAAATATATAAGATATTTTGTTTACGTTACAAGTAAATTCTAACTGAATTGTGTGTTATGGGAAAAATCTGAAGGCAGAAGGCAAACCTCATATTATCTGGTGATCCTTTAAAAGTGTCGTTGTTTGATGGTTAAATATTTAAATAGTAAAATTTTTAAATTTAAATAATTATATAATGGGATATATAATATAAAAAATAAAAAATAAATTGATATTTTCTTTAAAAAAAAAAAATTGATACAAAACATAGTATAATTTCTTATTAAATAAAACAAAATGATCACAAAGTTGGTGAGAAAGATAGTGAATATCTCAAATTAATATATAAATTTAATATTGAGTATACATCCAAAAGCGCCCATGGCCTAATGGATAAGGCGCTTGACTTCTAATCAAGCGATTGTGGGTTCGAGTCCCACTGGGCGTGAATGATATTTTTTATATAATTTAATTTCATATTATTTCACATATTTGAAGAACGATACATGTTTGTATCATTTCTAAAGAAACATCTACGGAATATCTTAAATCATTTATTTTCACTGAAAATAATAATAATCTAAAATATTTACATATATCTTCCAATTTTAATTGATGGATCTACTGTATAATTAGTACTAATGTAACATATTATAAATTTAATGTTTTACTACATATATTGTATTATTGGTTTACTGCAAGTATGAGTAAAATTGTTTACATAATTTCCATTTTGTTTATTTTTTGGTACAAATTAAATAGAAGTTTTTCGAATTTAAGAGTCTTAAAAATGAGTTTGGATGATCACAGCATATGTCAAATTAATCCCAACCATTTAGTAATATTAATTATTTAACTTAGACTTATACTCTTAACTCTTAAATTAAAATACATATAAGTATACTGACTAGCCCGAAGAAAATATTTAGGGTTTTGTTCTAGTAAAAATTTCAAATTAGAATAATGGTATAATACAATATAAATACTAGTGATGTTCAAAATTGATTTTTAGTATAATATAAAAAATAAAAATATATATTTGATTTGATATTTTTTTTAAAAAAAAAATTGTGTGAATAATAGAAATCCCCAACAACAAATCCGGAAGAAACTTTTGTTTAATGTTTTAAAATCATGAAATCTCATAGTTCTGCAAAAAACTATACTAATATCAATTCTAATTAGGACAACTCATAATACTAATATCAAAAGACCACAACCATTAGGTATGTCTATTTAAAATTAAATTTGGTATTTCGATTTTAAATTTTAATTTGGGTGATTTGAGTGTAATGTTTTACTACGTTAGATTATATATTTCTATGGGGAATTGCAATGTCTACATAGTGAAAAATTGAAATGAAATTCAAATAGTCCTACAAATTATTTTAAACTATTATGTTCACCATTTCAACTACACATTTCACATAGTTAAAATAAAAACAGAAAATGCATAACAGCAATTTAACATAAAAATAAATAAAAACAACTCACCAAAAGAACAAAATCATGGGTGTTTTTTTATATTAGAAAAGAAAAAACCATTATTCAATTTGTACTATTTTCAATAAAAATACACTATATCATTTTCCAAAGGCAAAGAAAATTAAAACAACTAACCAAAAAGAACAAAATCAATAATCCAAAAGGCAAATAATTACCTATGATTCAGATTCACATAATATTTAAAGTACAATATCACAAAATGAGTTTCTGTACCATTAAAGACACCTTTCTTGATTCCCAAAGTTTAGGGCACATTATTGGATGAGTTATGTATGTATATATATATTTGTGTGTGTGCACATTGCTATACAAATATATGACTATATGCATATATAGATATGTCACAGAAATGCCAATCAAACAAAATCTGCAGTAGCAAAGAACTAACCCAAGATTCAGCTCAACTCGATGATGGATTTCACATCTCCGAGGACGTGATGGAATCAAGTTCGACATGTATCTGCAAGCATACGGACATAAATTACAATGACAAGCGTAGTATAGTGACAAATTTTCGCCATATGCGCAATAACCTAACTTATAATCATGTGTCGAAAATGTTTAGTGCTGTGTATTTCAGAGCGTAAGTTTTCGACTGTGTGGAAATAGTGCAAGAATTATTCCGTCTGTTCACTCAGCATTTCTCAATAGAACAATTCTTCATAAATATTATTAAAAAAATACAAATATGCACACACATTAATATAATATATATATCCACTCCTAAAAAGCCAATCATTCAACACAAAATATTATTTTTTATATTATCACCACAGTTCTCCATACCGCACAAAGAAATCAAATCATATAAAAACACTGAGTGAACGGACTGATTCATTTCTGCAGAGTTTTCAGGGATTTCGAGAGAGAATATGGAATTCTTGATAGAAAAGAATTTTTAGAATTAAGAAACCTTACAGACATTAGAAGGGAAGTTTCAGAGATCAACACCCTCGTCGAGGCCTTTGGAACCGATCATCACATTCGAATCAATCTGCTTGTCGAACTTCCTTTTCCTCCGGCCTTCGAATTCTTGAAAACCATCCATCTGAAGGGGGAAGGAGAATGATGAATGCTTGAATAGATATCAATTATTGGTGAGATTTTTATTTTGTGTATCGCTGACATTACCTGCTGGAAATATTCCATAGAAATCGGGTTTCCGTGGAGGGATATGTTCTGCAGACTTTTGCATTCTTTCAGCAAGTTTGGAGGTATCTGTAGTGCAAACAGGCCAATATGTTTATACAGATGTAAGCACGCGCATATCTCTAAAATAATTCTTCAAATGAGAAAATAATATATACTCTTTTCATCAGTCAAGTTTATGTTTACTTTTCATTTAAGCATGTCCGTCTAATTTACATTTATACCATAAATAACACTTTTTTTCGATTTAAATTTTACCATTACTTTAAACACATAATGACATTCACTATCAATTAATTTCTAAAATAATCCTGCACAAGCATATCTTTTTCCGTATGAAAGGAGTATGAAAATAAATAAAGAATACTATGGCCAACACATTGAAATTACAATGCAGTAACACTGCTTTCCATGTGAAAAGTAAAGGCAATTAATTGAGTGGAGAAAGGACCGAACAAAAAAGGTGTGTACACTTAGTGTTTTTTAATGAATTTATATTTTTATGTTAGGTCTGGGGAATCGTACATGCAATGTAAAAAATAATATTTTGTGTTAAAATTGTTGAATTTTTGTGAGTGAATAAAATATATCTATTATATATACTGTATTAATATGAATATATATATTGTATTTTTTATAATATTTACAGAAATTCGTACCACCAAAAAAATGTTGGGTGAACAAGTAATTTATTCCTACAAAATTCTCCAAAAATATTACAAAATAATAGCATATATACACATAACATCATTCTCTGTAATACTTTTACGTTTCTCTATTCCTCACAACTAAAAGGCTTAAAACTATAAATACTAAACAAACAATTCATAGTCTTATTCGAAAAGATGATAAGAATCATAACCCTATTCGCGAGCTCAGAATTATTCCTTCTTCACTTCTCTAATGGATAGAATCCTCAGAGGACATAAATATGTAGACACTAAAAGAAATCACACATTACATTTATTTGGACTAGATAATTTTAATCTTCACTCTGAAGTAGTTTTTTAAATTATTACTACCGCACATGAGAAGGGAATGTTCCCAACAACATAGTCATGATTTCAAACTTTATCTCGGTTAGATCTTGTTGACAGTTCATAATTTGATTTCTATTCATTTAAACCTAAACTTTCTTAATTGCAATACGATTATGATAATCCAACATATGATATAAATTATTATAGGTGTTTTCTTTGGGCATGATTCTAACAAGCTATGCAATTTAACCAAAGGGAGCTGATCTGGGGTCGAGCGAAACCTGCTTCACGCTGTTATTATCCAAGCAAAGAGACTTCAAATGAACAAGATTGCAAACTGAAGATGGAAGTTCTTCGATAGAATTTTCTGCAGATAAAATGTCAAGATAAATCAATAAATAGAAGATAATTCAAACACCCAAAAATAATACTGAGATTGAATTAATACAGTACAAACTTGTCCCTATCAAACAAAATATCGTCTTTTGGTTGTGAAAAACTGTAAAATCTTGCATTTATAGTACCGTTAGCTTGAATTTCCTCCAGAGAGAAGCAACAACCAATTGACTCCGGAAGATGCTTTATCTTGTTGTTTGATACATTTAATAGAACCAACTGCAAAATCAGTCATCAACATCAAGAAAACATGAAATATCATAAGGGATGCAACATTTCGATATCAATTGCCTACTGAGAAATGTGCTGACAATACATTAACTTCAAATTATTAGGAAATATCAACATGAGCTGAATTGTTCACATATATTGGCAGACAGTGAATAGCCATGCATGTTTTGGAACTATGAACAACATGACTGTCTACAGAAAGACAATTATAGATAAATTAGCTCCAATTCAAGGTAAAGTCTATAAATCCGTGCAGTTATTATATTATGATAGGCAAATATAAGATAGTAAAAGCTTTAATTCATAATTTCAGAAAGATGACATAATGTGAATCGACTACTCACATTGCGCAAGCTCCCAATTGTTTCAGGTAACCCAATTAATGAATTTCCTGAGATTGATAGCCTCTCCAGCTTCACAAGTTGACCCACTGATCATTAAAAATGAACACAGTTAAGAAAAAGAAAGATATTATGTAATGCTCGGGCCTCAGAGTTAATCAACATTTCGACCAATGAATCCATTACATATAAAGCCAGTCCTCTCTGCTTGAGAAAAAACTTACATTCATCAGGCAATGCAGACACTCGATTCCCATCAAGAATCATGACCTTTAATGACTGAAGCTTTCCCAAGTTCATTGGAAGACGCTCGATAATATTCTCAGCTAAAATCTGTATCAACAGGTTGGAGGATAAGGTTAAATCATACTGATGTACCTCTAAAAGCAATAAAAATTAATAAAAGAGCAACGTACATAACACCATTACTTGAATTACTAATACAGAACCGCTTAACAATGTCCAAGCAATGAGTTAAGAATGGATGTACTAGGAAGTTAATACTACAAAGACCTACAAAGAAACTTAAACATTTTCCCATATCCAAACAAGATACATCGCCGAGGCTTCGGTGAGGTGTCACCACAGCGTCACTACAGCGTCGCCAAATCGCCTTCTTTAATTAAGGCAAGAGAAGTTGAGGCGCACCCCAAAAAGCACCATGACGCCATGGCGATGCAGTGATGGCTATACTACTCAAGAAATTATGTTGGATTTCTTTCAAATGCTGAATTTGCAAAAGAAGTTCCTTAATTGCTTTATTAGAATGGCAAAATTCAATCTCGCCAATCTGCCACCCCCTCCGTCCAGCTAAAAGTGTTTAAGTTTATTTTTTGTATGTTGATCTTTACATATTAATTATAATATTAAAATGTAGTATAAATTAAGAGAAAAATACAAGAACACTTCTATTAGTGTCTTATAATACTCTAATATAATGACATTAGTATAAAAAAATATACAAATATAAAGATATTATTAATGTTAAGTATAATAACACAAAAATTAAATGCAACTCTTTTATCTGGACGGAGGAAGTACTAAACTCTTAAATCTTCCAAGACATTCTTTATGCATCTTTGGAAAAAAATAAAAAAGTAGAATTAGAAAAATTAATGATTAGAGAATAAGATTCCATTCTGCAAACTCCTAGAACATTTGAAAACATGCAAGTCAATAATAGACCTTCTAGAAGGTGCATCCGGGCAACAAGAAGATCAGAAAAAAAGGCAGCAGGTGCACACAAGGCACTGCACAGACCTTCTTTCGACAATTCATTTTTCGCAATTAAAAGCATCTCATTGCATAAAAATAAAATCAATACAAAGGAGTTCTTACCAATCGCTGCAAGTTTATTAATTTACTTATCTCCACGGGAACTTCAACTGTCACAGCAAAGGAAAAAAGAAAATATTATTCGGAAAATCCACGACAATAAATGATGCATTCCTACACCATAAAAAATCACATTTATTATATCTTTTGAAGAACTGCCACGTTGCATTCATATGATGAGGTTAAAAGGTGTTTGAAAGTATCCTCGGATCACAAAATGCTCATTTATCCAAATATTCATCAAGCAAAACGACAAATTACATGTAACGACAAAACATGCTTCGAATGCTAAACGAGATACCTAATTTATTCCGCGTTAAATCCAACGTCCGAACCGAACTTTCTAAATCAAGAACTTCATCCGGAAAAGCCTGTGAAGCATAGAAATTTCAGAAATTAGAACACATTAACACATTTCTACATCAATATCTTATACAAGTCTCTCTTCGAAAAATCGAGCTGCAAAAATTTGTGCATTAGCTCAGACTACACCACCAACTCAGCATCACGAAAAAAATGCAATCAATCGCCCAAATACCTTCAAAAAATTGATTAGAACTTCCCTACTTACAAAAAACACAAAATAATCGCCACAATGTAAATTATCCACCATTGCTTGCTTAAACCCATACAGAAAAATATTATTATTAATAATAAACAAAGTAGAACAGAATCCCCACTTTAATTCCCAGAAAACACAAACTGAATGATCGAACAACAAACGCAACCCCAAAATTCGATAAATAATTATTTGTTCAGAAATTAATGAGCGGTAGCAACGATACCTTCAATTTGGAGTCGCGTAACGCCACAATTCCGGTGGAGCGCCACCGCGCGACGCGGCCGGCTTCGGAATCAACGTTCTTGCTGGTACAACAACCCATCCAATTTATCAATTTTTTAGGGGGTCAGGAAACATAGAATTTGCAGGAAATGAGTAATTGTGTGCGGGGACGAGGAAGAATAAGGAATTTGGAAGAAGAATTAAGAGAAATTGGGGTGGGGCAGAGGGGGCGGAGGGCGACGGGAGAGAAGAAAAAGAAGAGGCGAGAGAGATGACGAGTTTGGGTTTGAACAAGAAACCGCGTCATTTGTCGTATGCCATATTCGCTCAGTGCTATATTATTTACTGCCTTAACTCCCAAAATAATTATTTTTACCGTATAAAGTTTCTTTCTAATTTTTTTTTTCTAAATAATACACGCTTTTCTCATATTTATTTATTTTTTTTATATTAGGTAAATAGTACAATAATTAAAATACTAAATAAATATTTTGTTATATGACCAAAATAAAAAAATAAATAAATTGTTAAAAAACTGAAGAAGTAGTAAAAATTGCAAAGAAAGTGACATAATTTTGTCCGATAAATGGCGAAGTTATAAATTATACTTCTTTCGTTCTACATAAATTATCTATATTTTTCATTTTCATAATTTGTCTTTCATAATTATATTTTTTAATCTTTTTAATTATAACTAAATTAATTAATCATTTTAATTTAAATTTACAATTATTTATATTTTTTACTAATATACTTTTTAATTATTTATGACAAATATGTATTCATATAAAATTTATAATATATTCTCTCAATCAAAGTCAAAGTATCTATTTTGTCATTTTTGTCTATTCAATTAAAATATATTCGTTTCTTTTAAGTAAAAATATCTCTCAATTAAATACCGAAATACTTTTACTTTTTTTATTAGTTTTTTTAATGCTATTAATGTCAATGAAAAAAAAAAAAAAAAAAAAAACTTTACGCCTATATACATGTTGAGTGAACATGTGACCGTGAAAGTTTGGGGCAAAAATGTTTTCAAAAAGAGGGATCAATCCCTTTTGTTTGTCACTCCTAAAAGTCCAATTATGCACACTATCCCAAGGGATCAATCCTAAGGGTGTGTTTGTTTGGGGGTTTGGATTTTAAGTTGGAATTTGAATAGTAAAAATTTTGAATTTGAATAGTTATATGATGTGATATAAATAGGTGTTGATGTGATGTTTTGAATGTAAAATTGATTTTTAGTATATTATAAAAAAAATGAAAAATAGATGTTTGATTTGATATTTTTGGGAAAAAAAATTGAATGAATAGTGTAAATCCAATCCAATTCCCCAAACAAACACACCCTAATGTGCTATAGGAAATATATTGTTATTGGCATCAATACCCACAACATAAGCAAATGCAATGGTTAGTAGGTAAAAAAATCTCGACCTACACATTGAAGGGGGGTTTGGAAAAATTTTGGTTTGGATTTAGTTTTTATTTGGATTTTGGGATGAGTTTGAATTTTGTTGTTTTTTTTTTTTTTTTTTGTGTTTAGGTTTAGTTGGAATTTGGGAAGTTTTGATTTATATTTGATTTGATAGATAATGAATAAAATAATATAAATATATATTAAATTTAATTGATAAAATTAGTATGATTTGATTATAAATTTATATTGTATCCAACATATATATATTTAAATTTTTATTTATTTTTATTATATAAAATTATATGTTAATTTTTTTTATAAAAATAAAATAAAACTTGCAAATTGCCGGACAGTGGACAACCCCAAATTTAGAGTTGAAGAAACAAACCCTTAATATTTGGGGAAAAAAACTAGTATAAACTTGAAAGATAGAAAAATTCTTAGATTACATATATCAAATACATAGAGCAAACCTAACAATCTTTTCCTAACTACAATAGTAGAAATATCTCCTTTGAAATTATTTAAAATAATATCTTTTCTAATATAATTTATGCACAAATACAAAATATTTACAAAAATATATTTTTGAAATTATTTAAAATTATAAATATTACTGCCTCTATCATCTCAAGTTAAAGTACATTTTTATTTTATAAAATATATTTTTATTAATAAATAAAATACTATTATTTTTTAATTTTCTATAAAAAATAATTATAATAAAAAAATAAGTTATTTAAATTGGAACAAAAAAGAGTAATAAACAAGCACATTAATAAGTCAAAATATATACATATATTTGTCAATATCTGACAATATTTTATTGATTCTAAATATTTAACAATAAAAATAAAATAACATAAAATAAATTACTTTGTCAGCCATAATATTTTTCAATAGTCTTATCTCCATAAAATCATTTCGCAGAAGTTAACTAATGTCCTCTTTAGATCAAAAAATCGAATTCATTTTTTTCTCACAATTCTTGATTTTCTTGTATCTTCCCTTCTCGAATTTTTGGGTAGTTAGTTGTTGCCGGGAAGAGAATTAATCAACACCTTATTACATTATATAAAAATAGAATTTAATATCACATGAAATATAAATAAATTGCAAATATATATATATATATATTAACATAATACAAATATAATATATACATCATAACACATCATATACTATAATTAAACTCAAAATATAAAATAAGTAAAAAAAAATACAAAATGACTATTCATTAAAATTAGGGTAAACTGTTTTTTTAAGTCCCGGACCCCTTATATTTGAGTCCCGTAAATGAAGCCTGTCGCAAACTAGTTTTATAAATAGTGAAAAAATTTCGCTGTTTTAATCCTCCGGCGCCGGAGACGCCTGCGTAGCTTGCCGGATGTGACGTGTCCGCCAAGTTTCCCCGCCAGGTCAGCGACACCTGGTGTACACATGGATTTATTTATTTTTTTTTTATTTTTTTTAATTGGACCAAATAAAAAAATAAAAAAATGCAAATAAAATAAAAAATAAGTTTAAAAAAATTAAAAAAATAAAATTAAAATTAAAAAAATCCATGTGTCCGCCAAGTGTCGCTGACTTGGCGAGACACTTGGCGGACACGTCACCTCCGGTAAGCCACGTGGGTGTCTCCGGCGCCAGAGGACTAAAATAGCGAAAAAAATTTACTTATGGGACTAGTTTGCGACAGGTTCCATTCACGGAACTAAAATGATAACGGGTCCAATTACTGACTAAAAGACAGTTTACCCTTTAAATTAAAATTATATTGCAGATTAATTTAAATTAGTATAGTAATCAAATTATTTTGGGTAACATCCCTGCCAAAAAGACAGTAATAAGAATTAAATAATTCCTAGTAACATTTACAAAAACTAGATAAAATCAGCAACAAAATTCACTTCCTAAACACAATTGCACCAAATCATAATTGAAATCAGTCTTCTTCCCATATAGTTCAAGAAAATATACATGCATATAGTTACTTACCTATTGAAAATTCTGTCGAAATCCCGAGCTTGGCTTTTCCATGGAAGAATCAACAGCATATTTTATTTATGTTCGTCCTCATGCATGACTACTTTGAATCATTGTAGACAGTTTCTGAAGAATCGAACTCTCTGCAGGTATTGTTCGAACATAATTATCGTGATAAGGAAATTATTGAATTTACAAATGAAAGGGAAGTAATTGGTGATTGTATTAGATTGATTTAGGTTAGCGTACCTGCAGTGCGAAAACAATGTCGGCTTCATCTACCTTTAGTGCCACTCTTCTTAGTTTATCTTCCCGCGATTGTCCTAGTTTGAGAATCCCCTGTGATGTTGGTGTTCATGAGCTTCATGTTTCTTAGTTTTCAACCAAAATGAATATATATATATATGGAAAAACTTACTTTAACCCACTTATGATTTGGAGAGTCTACACTATCTTCTTCATAATTTAAAATTGTACGATACGATCTTATATTTTTCAAAAGTATTGAACAGAATCATCTAAAAAATAGATTTTGTGCAATGTTTACGAAATCGCAAGAGAGTCTCATGTAAATTTTAAGAGATTCTGTGCAATATTTTTTTAAAACATGAGAAGAGTTTCGTGAAATTTCTAATTCATAAGAGAGTATGATGTCGACTTTCAAAACCATAAGTGAATTATAAGCAATTGTCTCTCTCTCTCTCTCTCTCTCTATATATATATATATATATATTGTGCTTCTGTTTTCTCTCTGTGTGTGATCTTATATGCAATGGCAGTACCTGATCATCTAGAACGCGACACATGCTTGAGAGTTCGGTGATGCCAACAGGAGGGATTAAAGTAGATTTGCAGACGTCTACATAATGTTTGTTCAACTACATTGGTAGAAAAGATTGGCTGAGAAATATAATTTTGCATGAAAGGCAGGCAGTGTGTGTGAGTTGTAAGAGAATTGGAGGGGTGTAGCAAATGTACCTCGCCAAGAGTCGTATCCTTCTTTCCTCCTCGGAAAAGCTTTGCTGCCGAGCAAAGTATGATCTGCGAAAATCACTTCATAATTAAAGCATTGTATAAGGCGTGTAAAGAAATGAAATGTGGTTTTGTTTGGCTGCTGAATTGGTCTTACCTGCTGATGCTGTGGCAGAGATTGGATCGTGTCCACGACAGGCGATTTGAATGTTTTCGATAATGAAGCTGCAACATGATCTATCCTCACCTGCACAGTTGCTGAACTGATAAGAAAATTTTTACAGTGTAAAGGGAAGATGCATTTGTGGGTAAAAAATTTACCATATTATTGGCTTGATTTGTTGTTTCATGGCAGGGAGAAGGATTCTGTTGATCCCCATTTCTCTCTAGCAATGGTAAGTTTGAGTTATTGATGATAGTGTCCCTTTTCTCTGCTTCGAACATCTCAATGGCACTTCTGAAAAACATTGGCAAATAAATATATAATATGATTAAAAGTACACTTATGAAATAACATTTTACTTTGTTAAAATAAGTTCTATATCAGATTGAAAAAACTGATAAATAGCATGTGTATTTTTTAATCAAATTGTCTTAATATTATTTTGAAATTTTTTAATTACAAAATTTAAAACCGAATAGCTTCGAATAGAATAGAATAGGACAAAAAACAAATCGAATATTTAAGTGATATGGTTAAACTTCATTTTAAAATATTGAATCGAATACTCAAATTAAATCTAATAATTTGAAAATTATTTTAAATCGAACACTAATATCATTTAAGATTTAAAACGAATCGAATAGAAAATAGTTTCATAAATATAAAATCAAATAATGCAGTATTCATTTCAATTTGATTCGTATACAACCTAGCTGAAAGCGGCAAAACTGAAACGAATTAAAGAACTGATTAAAGCCAACCTGCAAACAGAAAGGGCCTTTCTCATGTCTCCAGAGGCTGAAGCAACTTTCTGCAGCAATAGAATCACAAAAATAAATGTTGGTGTTGAACAATATGCAGGAAAATCGAATCTTCCGAAAAAGTTATGATGTGTTCCAGCAAAAATCATGGTAGCAGTGTTTAAACTCATTAATAGGATAGTTTGCAGCTGTTAAGCTTAGAAGAAAAAAAGGGATAAAATATGTCTAACCCTTGCACAAAGCTCCATGGCTTGAGGTTGGAAGACAACATAAGGAAGGTCCTGTTACAATAGCAATCTTATTATTAGAATGGCAATTACTTAACACTCAAAAGAAGATCAAAATAGTGGGACATGAATCCATGACTTACTCTCAGCCTTTCCTCAAGAATTGCCTTGATCTCATCTTTGGAGTAGGCCCGGAATGTTATGACTGTAGGTTTGCCTAAAAGAAAATGTTAAAAGACATGAAATGGGAAATGAGTTTTGATATATATACCGACAACTATGAATTCATTATGATAGATAGCAAAAAGATGTTACCAACACCAGAAAAGGCTAACCAAAGAAAAAATTTTGTTTACTTTGATTTTTTTGTCCAATTTCTTTATTTATTATGCAAACTTACGTAGTCTTATTTACTTTAATATATTATCATTAGCAATATATTTTTTTTCATAAAACATCTAAAAAATAATAAAAAATAAATATTTTTAAAATACTTTTAGCAATCTCAAAACTAACAAAAAAAATACAAATATTATCAGGCTATGTTTATTTGGAGATTTTTTTAATTTTCTACTAATTCATCAAATCACAAAACCTATCTAATCAAATATTCTAAAACTTTCATATAAAGTCATGTCAACTATGTTACCCAAAAAAATAATTACAAAATCTAAACCAAAATGAAAATTAAACACATGTAAGATTGATCACACACACAGAGCCATGGGGAATTTTAAAGTTGTGCCATTTATCCAAGTCAAGGACAGCCAAAGTGAAAAGCAATAAAAATGTACTCACAGTTCAAAGATTTCAATTTCGGAATAAATCTGTCAGCCAAATCAATGGCATTAGCAATCCCTGTCGACATTTGAAAAAAGAAGAAAGGTAAACAGATGAGCAAGACATCAAACAATTAACAAAATGACATATCAAAACATTTCTTATAGTTGAATAAACAGTACACTACCTATCAAGATACACTTGGAGAATGGCATTGTTGTTAGCATGAAAAGATCATGAAGCACAGCACGATCTTTTGTAATCAAATAGTCCAATTCATCAGCAATTATCAACCTGTTGATCATATCAAATAGAATAAGAACAACGCAGGAATACATACAAGGGGCAGAATGTATACAATGGACACAACATACTATGCTGAGTAACAGATTCAGGTAAATAGCATAACCTCAACCAGAACATCAGAAATGAGTTTTAGATACTCACATCATCTTCATACCATCAGGCTGTTTCTCAGAATACATTCGTTGAAGAATTTGTAAAGCTGACGTAGATCGATCAGGTTTCCTCTGTGGATGGCTTTGTTCAAGAATCTGTACAAGAGTCCAGTGTGACAAAGTTGTGTTTCTTGGTGAAATTATTCAATATAAATGCATTGCAGTACCTTGTTGAAAATTGCGGTTGTGTTGGTAAGAGAAGTGCAATTGATTGATAGCATATCTGGAGATTGTACACCATCCTAAATTTCAGAGTAAACGACAAAATTAGTGATTAAGTACTAGAAGAAGAAAGAACTTCAATCGATCATCTTTCAGCCATATTAATCCTGCTTTAATCAAGAACATATAGTGCAGGAGTTTCCAGTTTCACATGTACCAAATGCTTGATCATAAACGAAAACAATAGAAAGAATCGCTACAATTAAAATGAAAATAGCAGCTTCAATCATACTACCATTGATTTAACCTACTGAACAAAAAGACACACAACAAGTTATGATGGCAGCAAAAGAAAGACATCGTTGGATCATCTTTCAGTTTATAAATATGAACAATAAGAATGATCGTAATAAATACAAACATGATTGCTAAAATTAAAACAGGAATCACAGAATCAAAGCTATGTTGCTACTATCGATTCAACCTATCGAAAAAATCCCAAGTTACAATTGATCAAGAACAAATAACTTATAAACCACCTCTTTCATTTTGATCTGAATGTGAATTAAATGCAACCAAATCAAAACCAAAGCTACAAATAAATAGGTACCTCATTTGCCCAATCTACTAAAGCCTCCTTTACTTTCTCCATTGACAATGACTTTCCAGTTCCTGGACACCCACAGAGATACAAGCTTCCTGCCTTCTCTTCCTTGACGCATTTCTTGCAGAAATCCAAGATCGTTCTTTGCTCTAATTCACGGCACATAACGTAATTCGGTGCAGTTGATACATGTAATGCCTCCTTAACAGCTCTCAATTGATCCAAATCTACGATCAGGTAAAGCAAACCTCAATAAATTAATTAGAGATTGAAACATAATGATAAAATTCGCCAGCCAGATATAGCACCTTTGGGATCCCAAATCGGCTTTTCCATATCATTTTCGGGAATCCTCTTTTCAGGCGACGAACTCTTGAAATTTAGAGAGCATTTCAAGCTCTTCTCAATCACCTATCACGCCAGATCACAAATCCTTATTTCAATTGACATGGCAAAAAAAAAAAAAAAAACAGTGTTCTCTAATTCCAAACGATACTGAATTACAAGCGAAAGATTGGATGCAATAAATGATCGTCGCATTCCTTTAGTTAATCTACGAACAGTTTTCGATAGGAAATTGAATATTGGGAAAATCAACACAGATAATTGCTTGAATTACGAAAAAAAACAGCATGAACATTATCTGATTTGTCGACGGAATTCACCTCAACTTTGGGCGGACTTCCACCGCCTTCCCGACTGCATAGCCTGGGAGATTTCCGCACCGGCGCTACTACCGGAGATCCCGAATCGGATCTCAAACTGCGTTTCTGAGGAGTGGCGGTGCTCGGATCTACCACGGCGGCATGAGACGATCGGCGTCGGGCAACGGTCGGCATATCTTCGTTCGCAACTGCAAAAAACCAACAAATTTTGAGGAATTTTACAGTGCAAAATCAATCCAATCCGACCTGCACAGAAAGGAGGAGGGAGATTGAATTTATCGGCGGAAGAACGCGGTAGCGGGAAACTCAAAGATATGGCGGGAAAGGGAAACGGTAGCTAAAGATGAACCGGAACCAATGTCAGACCGGAACTGAAATCGAGTCCTTTTATGGTTTGATTACGGTTTCAATATTCTTCCAATCTTAAATTGTAGGTTTTCGGTTCGAACCGGCAAGTCAGTTTCCATGTCTGTTCGATTAAATATTAATTTATATATTAAAATACAGTACAAATTTTTTTAAAAATTTCAAAAATATTTTCACTAATGTCTTATAATATTAATATAAAGATATTGTACCAAAAATTATACAAATATAATAATATTTTTAATATTTAATACATAAACGAAAAAAAGTCGACTCGAGAAATACTTAGGTTGTATTTTTTTGTGAGTTTTAATGTTTTTATTATTTACATTCTTCTTTCTCTTTAAAAATATCAAATCAAATAATTATTTTTTTTATATTATACTACAAATTTATTTTTTATTTAAAAAATTATATCAATATATATTTATATCAAGTTAAACAATTTTTCAAATTTAACTTTTTACCATTTATAAATTCAAACTCAAAACACCAAAGCAAACAAACACACCCTTATTTTCCCAAGACTGAAGTGGGGAAGGAAGCCAAGTCGAAAAAGATGTGTTTTCACAGATAAAACTAAAATATGTTGTTATGAGAATATATATATATATATATATATATATATATGTGTGTTAGTTTTAGGATTAATGATGAAGACTGTTTATAGGCTTTCTATATAATAATTTTAACAAAAATTATATAGCATATTATAATTTGTAATTTTTAAAGTGAATTTATTCCATTTTATTTATTTTTAATATAAGTTTACGTGATAAGAAATTATATATGAAAATAATCTAATATATTATATTTTATTTAAATTTTAAAAAATATATATTTTATAAATAAAATCATTTTTATATAAAAAATAATAATGTTATGTATGTAAATAAAATAAATAAATAATTTATGCAGATAATGAATAAAGTTTCAACTTCAATCTAACCATTGAAACAAAAACAAACATGGGGTCCCGTAAGGAATAGCCTGGTCGTGTAGGGGTTGGACTTGTGACTGTGGTTCGGCTGGATGATTTATAGTTTATTTTTTATTTAAGGAGTTATATTTAAATTTTATTTTTATTAAAATTATTTTATTAAATATATATTTATATGATATCAAATAATTATTCTACTTCAAAATTTTAATATTTTCAAAATACTAAAAAACACAACAAAGAAATATGTTTGAGGCTACTTATATTCTCTTAGCCTATAAGATGAATACGATATCCTAATCTGTATCGGATGATCCACATTTGACTATTAGGCATCGATTAGCTCGTTAAATTATATTAATAAAATGCAAAGAAAAACAATCTTTGTTTGATGTAGTTTATACAAATGCACCAATTAGTTACAAGGCAAAGTCACAATGTGTATTTGTTTGGGAGTTTGTGTTTTTAATAATATAATTTTGAATTTAAATAGTAGTTTGATACGATTAAATAGGTCTAGAATATGAATATCGATACTATTTAGTCATTGTAGATTTCGATCAAAAATACATTTGGTGCGTTCTTCCACCAATTCAAAAAAATACATTTTCCAAAAAAATATATTGTTGGGATTGGGCCAACTTAACACTAATATAATATTGTCCGCTTTTGGCTGAGTCCGTACGGATTTGTTTTTGGATATCCTCCAAAAGGCCTGTGGAGTTCACTAGGGATTTATAAGGTGTGAAATTTTCTTCACAACTTTTGATGTGGGACTTGAGTTTGCACCCCAACATATATATTATACACTTATTATTTTTATATTACTTACACAATTATCTATATTTCACGTAAAAAATATATATATATATATATCTTCAAACAAATTTACTAAACAAACAAATTCTCTCATAAAAACCAAATACACCCTACATCTCGTCTCAGGTCACTAGATTCGGCCGAAGATTCCCACGTCATCAATAATAATAATGAAAAAAAATAAACATTTTTCATCAGTAAAATTTATTTTCATGTTTTTTAGTCAGTCTATTGAATTTATTATATTATTAATTTTGATAAAATCATATATAAACATTTAACGACTACTTTATACTTAATATTTATTTATTGTAATTTTCACTACTCTTAGGGTGTATTGCCGGGAGATTGAATTTTAAATACATTGTTTCTTTTATTTTTTCTCTCCAAAAATATCAAATCAAACACCAATTTTTTATTTTATATATTATATTAAAAATCAATTTTACAATTAAAAATATCACATCAACACCTATTTATATCACGTCATATAACTATTCAAATTCAAAATTTTTATTATTAAAATCCCAACTCAAATTCCAAACCCTCCAAACAAACATACCTTATTGCATTATCTATGTTCATCATCATTCATTACTAATTATTTTTTTAAAATAAAAAATAAAAATCTTCAATTATCTTTATATTTTTAATATTTTTTTAATAAAATATGAATATATTTATCTTTATATCAAACTCAAATGAACTATTTTTATGGGACAAATAAATTACTCCCTCCGTCCCATGTAATATATTACCGTGGACACGGGAATTTAGGTAAAATCTAATTAGTAAGTAATTAAGAAATGTATTAGTAAAAATAATTATTATTTAGTAAGAATAATTATAGATTAAGATTAAGATAACTAAATAGTTTAATTAACATTAAAAAAAATTAAATTTTAAATTTTAAAATATGATTAAAGTGTATAATTAATTTTCCAAAAAAAGAAACGATAAATTATGTGGGACGGACGAAAATAGAAAATAGGAATAAATTATGTGGGGCGGAGGAGTACGAAATTAAAAAAAAAAAAAAAAACATTTTCTAAATAAGTTAAATTGAAATTTGGAATAATTGAGTGCAATCAACTACTTTTAAACCCAACCTTAAATGATGATGGCACTAGCATGGTTCTATTTAAGAGAATTAAAAGCTATCTAATTTAAAATTCCTCACATAGCCATAAATAAATTCTTAACTAACTTACCAAATTATTTTTTTACAATTTTTTATTATTATTATTATAATTAAAGATAAGATATATGAGCTGTCTTTGTTTCGTGGATTTTTGAGAATTTTTTTTATTGTTTTTCATAAAAAAAAAATTATTTGAATATTGTTAAATTAAACATATATTTTTTAATATTATATTAAATTTAATTCTACATTCAAAATATTTAATAATATATAATTATATCATATTAGATGATTATTAAAATTTTAAATTTACTATTCAAAACTTAAAAACAAAACTAATTAGTATGATTAAATAATATTTTTATGTGATAGTTTATATAAGTGAATAATACCTTTTTATTTTGAAAAATTGTTACGAGTCGGAAAGTTAATGTATTTGGGTTTGAAATCCAACCTAAAATTAGCTCGATTTGAATATGATATGATCATAAATAATTGAGTTTGAGTTAAAATTTTTGACTCAATTAATAATTAGATTAAACTCGTTTAACTCATTTAATTAAATGAGTTATCTCTTCGTTTAATTAATAGCCTTCAGTCTCACTCCAAATAGGCCCTTTGAGGGTTTTTTTTTTTTTGTATAATATTAAAAAAAATAATACTAATTATTTTATTGGTTAATAAAAGTGTGTAAGAAATTTTGGCATTACACTTTTATGTAAAAATTAAATGTATTTCGATATTAGTATATGATTATTTTTACTAAAATAATGAAATAGACGAAAAATGTAAGATAATATTTTAAGTTGAGACAAAAAAAATATTACTTTTATATATATATATATATGTATGTATATTAAATTTTACCAATCCAACTCATATTAATGGGCTATTCTATAAAAATAAAAAATAAAATAAAAATTTAAGTTGAAATCCTACAAAATTAAGGTAAAAAAAAATCATTCCAATTTTATATCCCTTCATTACTCCGATGTGTTGTGTACTATTGTGTGGTGTTTATTAATTTGATTATTGGATATCAATTTCATTATATGAATAAATATTTTTTGGTTAAACATATATATATTATGTCTTTGAAAATTTTATTAGTTAAAATTGTAATTTTAAATAAAAATTTAAAATTTTTAAATTTGAACATATTACACATAGATTTAAGATTAAAAAAAAAAAAAACATGATGATAGTGATTGAAAATATTTTAAATTCTATTTATAATTCATTTAGATTATAATTATTTTAAATGGGCCCGAAAAATATATATATATATATTATTAACATAAATAATCAATTTGGAGGATCTCAACTTAAAAAAGTATCACACCTATAACAAAATTAATTAGTACTCTCTTCGTTTCGGCTATCGTGTCTCATTTACTATAGATACAAGAACTTATGAAGAGTATAATTAATAAATAATTAAGAATATATTAGTGAAAATTATCGTATAATAAAAATAATTTTGGATTGAGATTAAAATGACTAATTAGTCTAATTAAAATTTTAAAAAATTATAAATTAAAAAATGTAATATGTGATTAAAGTTTATAATTCTTTTTCAAAAAATAAAAGTGACAAAATAAGTAGGACCGACAAAAATAGAAAGATAGACACGGTAATAAAAGGAGGATGTTTCTTTTAAATTTTGAACTTATTTTTCTCGATATATGTTACAATATACTCCATCCGTTCCGTAAATATAGTCTTAATTGGGTTGACACGGAATTTAAGGAATATTGATATTATATTGGTAGTGGATAAAAAGTACTGATAAAAACTTTTTTGCCCTTGTGAATGTATTAGTGTAAAAAGTAGTAACAATTGTGTAATAAAAATGAAAAAGTAGGGGTAGTTTTATGGTGATATGGTTATTTATAAAAATAAGACTTTTGTTTTGCGACAGACAAAAATGGTAAATAAGACTATTGTATTGGAACGGATGGAGTATATGAAATATTAAATCAAATTCATATATTACATTCAAATTTCATACAAATTGGACTTGGTGGATGGGGGAGCCCATGAAACATTTAGGGGTTGTTTGGTTCATAGATTTTTTTTGTGGGATTGAGATTTCACAATAGGATTTATATATGATGGGATTTATTATATTTAAAATTTAGAATTTTATTTTATGTTTGGTTGGTAAAATGACGGAAGATTTATATATCTCACATATGGTTTGTTTTTTCATATGAGTTGAAGGATTTGGATTTTTATATTCTAAATGACATAATTGTCCTTCTATGAATTTTATTTATTTTGATAAATTAAACTTCTAATTCATTATTAATATAAATTGAAAATATATCAATAATTTTATAGGATGATAATAGGTTCGCCTAAACTCGATACCTGACCGGGCCCGACCTATTTATTTGAAGTTGAATCCAATTATTTGAGTACTAGGTCTGGGTTCGAGGTCATGTTCAGAGTAATATAATAATAATATATCAACTATATATATAAAAATAATAATTCCGAAAAATATAATTATATTAAAAATATTGTTTGAGTTTAATTTATTCATTATCTTATTATAATATTTTTTAATAAAATACATAATTTTTAATAAATATTAGGTCCAGTACATATGCAAATTTAAATTAAGATTTAAGAATTGTAAAGAAAAAAATGAATTTTTCGGATCCATCCGGTCTTAGTGAGTATAGTTTCGGTCAGATCTGGTATAATCGGATCCAATTTGAGTCTCGGATCTAACAATATATATTCGGGACGAATATCAATTCCGACTGAACCTAACTCATTGTCATCCTTATAATTTTATAATTCAAATAAAATTTATAATAAATAATAATTTTAAACAATGAATTTATTAATTTATTTTTTAAAAAACATATTGTACCATAAAAAAACAATATAAATTTAATTAAATATATAATTCAAACAATAATTAAGTTTAAAATTATTTAATTTGTATTTTATATAAATATATTATTATTTCTTTTATAAGATGATATAAAAGTAAAAATTAAAATTATAAGAATGAGATTTAAAAGTAACAGGGTACCTCGTTACAAAAAAAATCCTTTATTTGTAGGATTTTGAACCTCCTTTTTAAATCCTATCATTTTAAATTTCACCATTTTTTTTTTAACCAAACATAAATTTCATTAAATTTTAAAATCCAAATTCCATAAAATTTCATTAAATTCTTGAATCAAATTAGGATTTATTTTTTTAATCAAAATTTTCTAATCTTTACTGTTTGGATTATGTTTAAAAAACGATATATGTTTTTCTGTTACAAAAACATCATATCAAATATTATTTTAATACCAAATTCAAACTAATTTTTCTTAAATTCATTCAAAAGAAACACACCCTTAAATTAAGTCGGAATAATATATTTTTTTAAAAAATTGTAAATTGAATAGTAAATTATTTTTAAGAAAAATGCAAAGCAAACAAAATCATTTTAAATAATAGTTTAGAAATAAATATTATAAACTTCGAAATCCATATCCTCAAATCTTACACTATTTATGTAATATAAATATGCCAATTTACCCTCTCACCTCGCGTCACTCTTGATATTTTGAAAATATTTTTTTTAGTAGATTAAAAAATATTATTTTTTTATTAATTAATAAAAATACAAAAAATATGTTTTCATTTTATAGCTTTGTATCCTTTGTAATAGTATATTTATAATATATGTAAAAAAATAAAATATTTTTATATTACTAATATGATTGTTTGATACTTTTGAATGAAAAAAATAAAAATAATAAAAAAATATTTTTTTAGTTAAGGCTGAAAAGATAATATTATTTAGGTTCTATCTCAAAATATTATTTTTATCATTTTATTTGTCTTAGTAAAAGTAATTATATACTAATACCAAAACAACATTAACTTTTACCTATAAACATATAATTATAAGTATATAATTAATTTATATATAAAGTGAAATGATAAAAATTTCAAAATCTCATATACATATTTACTAATTAATAAAATATTACTCCCTCCGTCCTATCTTGTATCCAAACTCTATTTAGTTTTACAAACTCTCATGGATTGGCTGTTACTCTACCGCAATAACTCCAGCAGCCTAACGACCAAGCTAAGAATAAAGTTGTTTACCGTATGAATATCTTCTTCAGTTTCGACTCCAAGAATCCTTATTCTTGTCTTCAATCCTCCATGGATGAGCTCTCTCAACACTCTAACAGGTGGTGAGAATATTTACTCTCTAAGTTCTGGTCTCTCACACGAAAATAAACATTAATCCATATAAAATATATATACACTACACAAAGGACAAGAGTTTACTATGACAACTTTTGGGGCAGGGTGTTCAAAGCCAATTAATGCCGTGCAGTATGAGATGACAATACATACAGTCTCTCCTACATTTCCTCTCTCCAATGCATATTCATTTGTCCTATTCCATGAGTGTATGTCACGCAAGATGCATCCAACACTTGTATCTCGGTCAACTCTGCACAGTTGGCAGGTTTCCCGAAATGATGTCAACCGAAAGCATCCTCATATGCCAAAAGTAGAAATAAAAAGATTTGGCAATTTTGAATATGCCAACAAATTAAAATTAAGATAATTAAATAACTTAATTAAAATTAAGAAAATTAAAAAATGATAAATTTTAAAATATAATTAAAATATCTAATCATATTTTTTTTAAAAAAATGACAAATTACGTGAAACTAAGCAAAAAATATAAACGATTTATGTAAGACGAAACAAGTTTTAGCTCTGTTCATCCAACACAATTGTTTAATTGCGATTCCCAAAAAATAATAAAACAACGGTATACTTTATACAAAATTTATAATACTTGTTATAAAAAAGTCAAAAATCATTACAAAACCAAAACAATCTAATATTCAATCTAAAATAATACTGCCTCCGTTCCACGTACCGTGTCTGCTACATTATAGATACGGTATTTTAGGAGATGTGTAATTAGTAGATAATTAAGAATGTATTAGCGAAAATATTTATCCTATAATATAAATAGTTATAAATTAAGATTAAGATAACCAATTAATTTAATTAAAAATTTAAAAAATAAAATTAAAAAATTTAAAATGAGATTAAAAGTGTATAATCATTTTTCAAAAAAGGAAAATGACATGGTATGTGGAACAGACAAAAACGACAACGTGAACATGATATATGGGACAGAGGAAGTATATTTTATATTTTTACATAATTTTTCGTATCACACCACACCAAATAACCATTTCATCCAAAGACGGTGCTTCAACAAACCCAATATTCTTTTAAGATCTCAATTACAAGTCCACTCCACACCGTCATATTATTTTTTAGGTAAAATTGCTTATAACTCTCTTGTGGTTTCAAAATTCAGCCTAAAATCTCCATGTACTTTAAAAATTGCATGGTACCCTTTATACTTTAAAAAACGTTGCATGAAACCCCATTACCATGAAACTTTATTCGTGTGATAAGAAGATGATTTCCTATCTGTATATTTTGCATGACAGGGGGTTTTGCAATATTTTTGAAAGTATAAGTGAGTGTAATGTAATTTTTAAAAGTAAAATGAGAATTTATGCTGAATTTTAAAACCAGAAAGTGGTTTCATGCAACATTTTTTATAGTATAAGGAGACATCATGCAATTTTTAAAGTAAAAGGAAAATTTAAGTTGAGTTTTAAAACCATAAAGAAATTACGGACAATTTTATCTATTTTTTAATTGAAATTATTATTATCTATTTATTTGATCGGAATTATTATTATTATTATTATTTTAATTGGATCATTATTATTATTATATTATATATATTTTTTTGACGTAGGAGTATTAATTTAAATGAGTAAAATCTAACAAATTCACACCATAATGAGTTATGAGTCAAAGCGTTGTTCCCAAGAAAGGCAACAATGGTATTGGTAGGTCCCCAATCCACCGATTCCACAATCCGTAGCCCATTCCTCCCTTACCCCTACCCCCCCCCTACCCACCCCACCCCCACCACCACCCTGCCTGTACCTGTGGGCTCCTGTGCCTGTCGTCCTCATATCGTCCGCCACGTACTGCCCCCGAGATTCCATTTCCAGAGAAGTCCCATTCCTCCTGCTCTCTCTCCTCCAGGGAATCTCCAATTCTGCAGAATCTCCTCCATAATTTTTGTTTATTTGATCAAAAATACAATGCTCGCCTCGCGTTTGATCGCTACGGCGTGTGATCTGCACAAGTAGCACTGTTTTTTGTATTTTCAAATTCTATTGTTTTTTGCTTTTTGTAGCTTTTCAATTCAGGGTAGTGTTAAGGGAGAAGAGGGTTTCCGTGCTTCGGCGACGGATCGTGATCTCTCCGTAAGTTTTTAATACGATTGGATTCGTATTCGTGCTTATCATTATTGTTGTTGATATTAATTTTATTCTCTTGAATCTGAATCGTTTTGTTTGTTTGTCTGTTTTGGATTTCTTATCGGTTGCTTCACGTCTAAGGAAATTTTATGTTGTGCTTTTTCTACGTGCCAAAAGTATCATTTCGTTGTTTTTCTGCTTTTGAGAATTTTGTTGGTGAAATTGAGAGGCTGATAAAGCTACTGCTTGTTATTTATGTTGCAGTCTTGGTTTGTGTTATTCTCTCCTTTGTGTAGATAGATGCTTACGTTTTATGAAATTTTGTTTAATTAAGGTTTGTCTACTTTCCTGTCTTATTATCATGACCTGATCAATCTGAGACTCAGCTTACTAGCCCGGTACTCGATTCTGATTCAGGAGGGAGGCCTTGCCAAAGCTTTCACTCTTGTTTAATAGTTGGAAAAATTTAGGAATCGTTTTGGAGTTGAAATGAGTGGCTTCTTTTCAACTTTCCTGTTCGATCCCTTTGAATTCCATACTAGAAGACTACTCCGGTACTCGACTCTGATTCGGGAGGGAGGCCTTGCCAAAGCTTTCACTCTTGTTTAATAGTTGGAAAAATTTAGGAATCGTTTTGGAGTTGAAATGAGTGGCTTCTTTTCAACTTTCCTGTTCGATCCCTTTGAATTCCATACTAGAAGACTAGCCCGGTAATCGACTCTGGTTCGGGAGGGAGGCCTTGCCAGAGCTTTTAGTCTTGTTTAATAGTTGGAAAAATTAGAAATCCTTTTGGGCTTTCCATTTGATTGTATCAAAAGGCGTTGAAATGAGCTGCTTCTTTTCAACTTTCCTATTTGATCCCATTGAATTCCATATTTCAAGACAAGCTGGGTATTTGACTCTGGTTCGGGAGGGAGGCCTTGCCAGAGCTTTTAGTCTTGTTTAATAGTTGGAAAAATTAGAAATCCTTTTGGGCTTTCTATTTGATTGTATCGAAAGGCTTGAAATGAGCTGCTTCATTTCAACTTCCCTATTTGATCCCATTGAATTCCATATTCGAAGACTAGCCCGGTATTTGACTCTGGTTTGGGAGGGAGACCTAGCCCGAGCTTTTACTCTTGCTTAATAGTTGGAAAGATTATGAATCGTTTCGGAGTTAAAATGAGCTGTTTCTTTTCAACTTTCCTAATTGATCCCTTTGAATTCCATATTCGAAGTTGCAATGGGATTAATTGCTATAAAAGAGATTGCAAGGAATAGAACAAGAATAGACGGATGGTTTACATTGGTCAATTTAGTAACAAGCCTAAGGGGCATGTGCGTAAACAATATAAGTAATTCATTGGTTATTCATGCGATTCATAGAAGTTTCACACTAGTTTAAGCATAAGAAAAGACATATGTTTGTGGTAAATACGAGTGTTTCGATTGAGTAATAGGTGTTATTTGGAAAAGACAGGAGTTAACAATTTACAAGGGATGAACCTGTAATGAGTATAAGAACTAACGTTATCCACTGAACTGCTCGTTGTATGTACAGTCATACTTTTTGATCTTTGAGGCCAAAATACAAAGGAGAGAACTTCATACACATAAACATGGAATTTCAACCTTTTTAGTGTGTCCGCCACAATACATACAGTCCTTATAATAAATAGGCTAGCCCTAGTTTTCTGAAGAAATAAGCAGTTGGGATTCGATGAGGTAATCATTTTAAAAGGAACTGCCTTTATAACATGATGAAGGTATATCAGATTTTTTATCCCTATAGATATGTCCGCAAAATGTACACTTATCATGGGTTGATGCCACAGAAATCATTGAATGAGCTATGAAGAAAATGATAGCTCGTTTATTGACTTTAGAAAATTTGGGTTGTTAATGTTTCTGACATTGTCACATTTTTTTTTTTATTTTTTATTTTTGTTTTTTATTAGTATTTTTTATCGAGTTGTTTAGGCTTTTACTCATTGTTACTTTGATATTGCATTCCCTGATTTCAGTTTTCAATTTTGAATGTGCTTGTATTTCTGTGTAAGTATTATGTGACTATGTGGCTTCTTGACACACACACGCCCATTCCCATTCCGTAAGTAATTTTGACTTGTTTATCAATAATGTTGTCTTTCAGTTAGCAAGGGTGAATATATCATCCAAACAGTGACAAAAAAATGCGCAAGCTTCCTGTAGTTCATTTGGGGCTGGATGGATGGTATTGTATGGATAAGCTAGTTTTCTTTTATACTCTCAGCCAAATGTGCGACACAAGAATGTGAACAATGGATGAGTTAAGGGAACCTGATGTATTTCCTCCTAGTTGGATAAATATAAATCCAGCTGAAATGACAGAGTCTTATCTGTTCATTATGTCTTGCTTCATCGCTGGGTTGATAGGAGTCTTCACTATTTTATATACAGCTTTCCAGTGGAGAAGAAACATTAATTTAAGTTGGATGAGAGCCATAGCTAGGTCAAAAAAAAACCCAAAAGCAAGGAGCAAGGCTGCACTGGCGCCTCACACTTGGAATTTGGAATCAGTAACTCGGGGGAAAAATTTAAACTGCTGTGTATGCTTAAAATCTGTTTCACCTTCACAGTCTCTCAGTTCGATGACAGCTTCAGACAGTTTCATCCACCGGTGCACCATATGTGGAGCTGCGGCTCATTTGAGCTGCTCATCTAATGCTACCAAAGACTGCAAGTGCGTGTCAATGTTTGGGTATGAGCAGGTGATGCATCAATGGGCAGTTCGTTGGACTGAGGTAACAGATCAACTGGATGAATCTTCATTCTGCAGTCACTGTGAGGAGCCATGTAGCAGTTCCTTTCTTGGGGGATCTCCAATATGGTGTTGTTTATGGTGTCAGCGCTTGGTGCATGTCGACTGCCACAGTAGCATGTTTTATGAAACAGGTGATGTTTGTGATTTGGGCCCTTTTAAAAGGCTCATCTTATCACCTCTATATGTAAAGCAGTTGAATAGGACTTCTTCTGGTGGATTTCTGAGTTCTATAACCCATGGAGCCAATGAAATTGCATCTTCTGTGCGTGCAAGCATAAGAAATCAAAGTAAAAAATACAAACATGGACATGAGACCTCTGCAGATGCCACCAATAATAGTAACACGAGTGACACATCCGTAGAGAGTACAGCAGAGGTTGGTCCTACTGTCAACGGTTCTCTTAGGCCAGAGGAAACTTACAGTGGCAGTCCAAATGCAGGTGAGGTGGATCAACAACAAGGAGAAGCCAAAAAGACGGAAAAGTCGCCAAGCTTGAAAAGAAGCTCATCGAATAATCAAAAGGATGAGTCCCAGCTATTGGGCATGAAACAGAAATATGAATTGATAGATCTGCCTCCAGAAGCAAGACCGCTGTTAGTGTTCATCAACAAAAAAAGTGGAGCTCAACGAGGAAATTCATTGAAGCGAAGACTGAACATTCTTCTCAATCCTGTACAGGTAAAGCTACTGTACAATAATATACATTTAACCAGGCCAACAATGAGATTTAGTATGGAGACTGTGTTCACTACATGCTAATGAAAGATTGTTTATGGGAAGGTGAATGATTTTCCATATCAGGTTGTGTAGTTTTGATCTTGAGAATTTTAAAGCAAACTTCTTTTTGCGTCTGGAAAATGTGCAATTGTTTCCTTTGTCTTGGATGTGTGTTATTAATACTGAATCGATTGTGGTGAAATTTTCGCATAGCAGTTCTTGATCTACAAATTAGGTGCATTTTCTAAAGCTCTTAAGAGTAGTTTGAGCAAGTTGTCTTGGAAACACTATATATTAAATTCTGGAAGCTAGAGCTTGTAGACTTGTAAAATATCATATCAGCAATTGTTTGAACAGGGCAATAAATGCTTGTAGTTTAGTTGCTCGTGTTCAGTTCTACTTCTGCGAAGGACAACAAGGTTGTGTTTAAGATGGGATGGGAGGGAAGTAACATTTTTATTGGTGCTAGTTTTCACATTCAATTAGATTTTTTTCTGGCAGCCATTGTCTTACCAGTTGGAATTGGCTATTCAAATTGGTATCTTTCTGAATTACTTGGCTTTGTAACCCTTCTTTCTAGTGTAATTTGATGGAATGCCCATCTTTCTATTTAATTTATGCATTTCATAAAGTCTTAGTTGGTTGTTTCAATTGTTTTAGGTTTTTGAGCTGAGCTCAACTCAAGGGCCGGAAGTTGGACTTTACCTATTTAGAAGGGTGCCCCATTTTCGTGTTCTTGTTTGTGGAGGAGATGGTACTGTTGGCTGGGTTTTGAATGCAATAGAGAAGCAAAATTTTGTTTCTCCTCCACCAGTGGCCATTCTTCCTGCTGGAACTGGAAATGATTTGGCCCGGGTTCTTAACTGGGGGGCTGGGTTAGGGTCAGTTGAGAGACAAGGTGGCCTCTGCACTCTTTTGGATCACATAGAACATGCAGCAGTTACTATTCTTGACCGGTGGAAAGTATCAATCTTGAATCAACAGGGAAAACCACTACGCTCTCCAGAATTTATGAACAACTATCTTGGTAAGCCTAAATCTTATTTTTTCCTAGCCTAATTGGTGGATATCAGATGTCTTCCCACAACAAAATGCTCTTTTAAGGTCTGTTCTGTAAAATGGATTTTGCAACATTTCAATTATCATCTTTGCATTGGTTCAATTTGCGCCCCAGTCTCTAAATTTGTTTTTCAGACTGTTAGATTTAGTTTCTTTTGCTCTTTTCAGTTAAAAGGATTTACTAGTTGGAGGGTTCTCTCTCTCTCGTTTTGTTTTTTTTTCCCCTTCATGTTCTATTGTCATGAGCATTACTTCCAGGTCGTACTCAGGCAATGTATGCCACTTTCCATTTCGAGAAATATTAAAATGCTGATGTCAGATTAATCTTGCTACACGTGAACCGCATCTTAAAATGGATGTGGCATTGAGCAAAAGATACACATAAACACAGTACATCTTTGTTATGGGGACTTACTTGCTTCTGAGTTTTGACAATACATTAAGTCTTCATCTCTTTGGGTTTGTTTGTTTAGCGTTTTAGTTTGAGGTATTTTTTAATGTAAGGTTTATGGAATTGTGTCGATAATATAAAAAATAATATATTGTGTTGAATGTTAATATTTTATGAGAGAATGTAATAAATATACTATATATATTGGGAGTCGTATCGGCTAAAAAAAGTTGGGCGAACAAACCCTATGTGTTTTTCTTGTTTTTCCTTTCTATTAGTATATTTCTCTTGGCAAGTTTTTTGAACCGTATTTTGGGTGGTGTGTGATTTTTTGTGTTGGGCACTGCAGAAGCAGGAAAAAGGAACATAATTTACCATAATATTTATTATTTAATGAAATACTAAGAGAGAAGTTGGCCTATTTGAATTATATAGCTTAAGTTGCATTTATATAGTGTTTAACTTATTGGTTTTATGGCTCGTATAAATTAATTTTGAGGGTGTGTAAAAAGACTTAATGAGTAATGACTCGCATATGCATGCATATATCAGTAAGAACTGAGGGTGTGTTTGTGTTTTTATTGGGTACAATACAGTGTACGATGAAATATCTTTGCTTAAAACATCCAATCCAATACCTGTAAGATGAAAAAAATTTGAATCCAAATCACCCTAAAAAGATCCAAACACACTTAAGAACTCCATATTGAGTAGCCAGGGGATACTTCACACAATATATATGTATTTTAATTGATCTTAGCATTCTTACTAAATAAGTCAATTAAATTCATCCAGCCTCACGGTACAGAATGAAGCAGCAGAAGTGTGAGATACAAGATAGATTTTTCTTTATTTTTTCTTCATATTTACCATGTTATTACTTATTACTATACTCGACCTATGCACAAATAAAATTAAAAGCATTTCATATATAGTGTGAAGATCTACTTTTGATGTCGCCGTGTATCTTTTATTTCTTTACTCATGTTTTAATCTGTTCCTAATCCTTTTTCATTTTTTTTTTATTTTATCTGTAGTCTTAGGGCTTCTCTAGTTTAGTTATAATTTCGAATAGTATTTTTTACTAATAAATTATAAAAATCGCTAACTTTAGTTTTATTAGTACTGATGTAATTTTATTTTTTTTTAACATTTAATGCACTTGCAATGGTTCTACAATATATATATATTTATATAATTTATGGATATTGCAGGCGTTGGATGTGATGCAAAGGTGGCACTAGAAATTCATAATTTAAGGGAAGAGAACCCAGAGAAGTTTTACAACCAGGTCGGTGCAATTATTTTGTTTTGTACTTTTAATTATTCCTAAGGATAGAAATGGCTACTAAAAAGTATGTAACTGAATGTGCTCTGGGCGCGGTTTTTGACGCTGCTTGAAGCCTTCCAGAACAGTACAATGTCTTATCTATATTCTACTTTATGATGGGGGATACTTATGGTTGGAATTTTGGATGTCTACATTGTCCCAAAGATCCTTTCCTAATAGTGCCAAAAGGATACTTATGTTTTAAGTCTTTTATGGTTGGTTTCATATCCCATCGTTACAGATATTTGTCAAGTCCATTGAATTATGAGCAACAAACTTTAGAAATTTCTAATTTAGCATGTTTTGGTGTTGCTATGGTTGGGTAGTGGGTACTTGATCAAAATTCCATATTTTGATCTTTCCTTAATTGCAACACTTGTTAAGATATTTTGATAGTTCTATGCCAGTTGTTGCAAAATATAACTCTCTATATTCTACTATTAATTACTTTCGTTAAAGCAAATACCGAATCAATAAATAATCTATACACACACACAATATATATATATATATATAGTATATATATTTAATGGTTCTCTACGTAGCTATATTGGATTGCTTCATTGTAACTGTTTTGTGCACTAGTGTTTATAATGTACCACAGCAGTCAGTATCTGGTTACTGGTTACGGTGTTGAGTCTTTTGCTCTTCAATCCCGAGTTGATAAGCATTAATAAATATTTTTACTTGGAGCTCTAATAACTTGCAGTATTTTTTCAGTTCATGAACAAAGTTCTTTATGCAAGAGAAGGTGCCAAAAGCATCATGGATAGGACATTTGCCGACTTCCCTTGGCAAGTTAGGGTTGAGGTTGATGGCATTGAGATCGAGGTTCCTGAGGTTAGTATAGCAAACTTTGAAATACAAGCTATATTTATTAACTTGTGATGTTCCTATGAAATCTTTATCACCTCACCATTTTGTTCTTCCTTTTAACCGTGTTTTATGCCCTTTTAATCACATTGAAGTTTCCTTGTTGTTCTCATTGATTTCAGGACGCAGAGGGCGTCCTTGTAGCCAATATTGGAAGTTACATGGGTGGCGTCGACTTGTGGCAGAATGAAGACGAGAGCTATGACAACTTTGATCCGCAGTCTATGCACGACAAAGTGCTCGAGGTAGTGAGTATTTCAGGCACTTGGCACCTTGGAAAGCTGCAGGTATGTAGGGTGTGTTTCTTTAATCATCAAACCTATGGGTGGGCACGGTTCGGGTATTTGCTGATACGCAGATATTTGATATCCAAACCAAATCGAACAAATGCCCGAAATCTCGAACTGTTAACCGAAAATATTTGCAATATTTGCAAATAATTCGAACTGAACCGAAATTTAAAAAATATGCATTAAAAAATAATTAAAATGCTAATTAAATAAAAATATTTATACATATTTCAAATAGTTGAACCGAATATAATTATTAATATAAATTTTAAAATATAATAATATAAATATATAAATATATTCAACCGAACCGAAACAAATATAAAAAATCGAAATCGAATCGAACCGAACAAATATCAAATATACAGTATTTATATTCGAACCGAATTTGCTCGGTTAACCGAAAATTCGGTTCAGTTCGGTTGGGTTTTTTTGCCCACCCCTAATCAAATCCTAGTTTTCTATTATTTGGACTATGCGCTTTCTAAAAAAATTATACTTTTTTATCTTATAAAATATCCCGTCATACATTATTTTAATACCAAACCCAAATCAAAATTTCCCAAACTAAATCAAAAGAAACAGATAAATCTCTTCCTTGATTTGGAAAATTGTTCGAGTATGCTTAACTAGTGTTGAGTTTTTGAGATAGTGCTTTGTGTTTATGTGTTGTATGTAGGTTGGATTGTCCCGGGCTCGCCGGCTAGCACAGGGCCAGTCGATTAAAATCCATCTTTTTGCTGGTTTTCCAGTTCAAATCGATGGAGAACCATGGTTCCAACAGCCTTGCCAATTACTCATTACACATCATGGACAGGTCTCTCTCTCTCTACCTCTCTCTCACAGAAAGATACTTAACTTATTCACGAAGTAGGAAATATATGAACTAGAATCTCTAAAACCCCCAAACATACAATTAGACCTGGCAAAAACTGATACAGCACAACGAATCCGATACGAAATAATTGGGTTTGGGTCAAGAATTTCAATCCGATTATGTATACGGATTGATACGAATCCGACACGATAATAAACGGGTCGGGCTAGGGTTGAAGTTCTCAACTCGAATCCGACACGATAACCAGATTATTATAATTATAATTCATCATATACATTACATTAGAACCAACAAAAACTAACCGACAATATGACAAAACATAATTTAATTTGAATAAAAAATTTCGACATAATAATATATAGGGGTTAACACTGGTCAATACAAACCCGACATAATAAACGGGTCGGATTAGAGTTGAGTTATTTAACCTGTTTAAAGTATTCAACCCGACACGAATCTACCCATTGCCAGCTCTACATACAATTTACAATCTACATTTAATGCTATTGACATTTTTACTCGTCAACATGTCTAAAAGGTATAATGCGCGAAGGACTAGTTTTATTTTTCCTTAAAAATGCTCTCCGTTCTTCCTTTGTAGGCCATTAATATCCCCTTTTTCTCTCAGGCTTTTATGTTGAAGAGAGCTGCAGAGGAACCTCTCGGTCACGCAGCCGCAATAATAACCGACGTTCTAGAGAACGCTGAAACAAGCCATGTGATCAATGCATCACAAAAAAGGGCATTGCTCCAAGAAATGGCGTTGAGGCTGTCTTAGCTCAACGCCAAAATCGATGTATAGTGACAGTTTGGTTTTTCTTCACCGCCATCCTATTTCCCAGTGTGCTCCCGTTTGTGTGTTATACGTTCATGAAAAAAAAAAAAAGAATGCTTGTGTGCGAGGCAATTTTGTCGGTGGCATTATCATCCATACGTACATAGCATACGACGTGTTTCCTTTTTGTTTCCTTAAATACTTCTTTATTATTATTATTATGGATTTTTGATACGAAAGATGCATTTACACTTTAGGAGATTGACGTTCTTGCACTGTCTTTGTTATTTCTGATTAGCTATAGGAGTCTCGAACCTTTTCACGAGTCTTGACTTTGTTCCACAGCCACATGATGAATCCTCTGATCGTTGTTGTCGTGGTTGTGGATGAACTCGCTTCACCAATTTTCTTCGGTGCTGAATTTTTCTTCGACGTTTTTGTGCTCTCTTTGTATATCCTGTCTAATCGATGAAGGTAGAATGGGGATTTCAGGTGAGGGATTGGTGAGGCATGGATGGCGCGGTTAAGCTGTTTGGTGATTGCTTGGAGTTCGTATGAGTCGAGCAGGTTGCTGCTGCGGCTGCCGCCTTTGTGGTGTGGGCTGAGTTTGGAGATGGAGCTCCTCCGGCCGGCATTGGGCGGGGAAGTTTCCAACTGGAATTCCATTTGGAGGGTGTTGTCTGGAAATAGGTATGGTTTCTTTTTACATGTTGTTGTTGGTGTTTTATTATGTGTTGTGTTGGTAAGTATTATTAGTTCATTGTTGTGTCTTTGTGTTCCCATTTGAGTATGATTGCTTTGGAGACACCGATGGATAGAGATATACATAATACATATATATATATATGTATATATCTATACATTGTTGTTTAGCTAAGTGTGCATTTGTTATCGGAGATTTCCAGTTGTATTATATATATATACATTATTTGTATGTATATATACATACACATACCACATGTATATACACACTGTATATATATATACCTATGGGGCCGAGGATCCCCTCCCTACATGTACATATACATGGGATTTGTTACATCATGCTTATTTTTTTGGTCAGCATATTGTTATTTGAAAATGTATTGTTTTTTTTTTATGTGCTGTATTAATATTATACTATTGTTATATTTTTGTGTTGTTTACTATAATGTGATGTGTTGTTAAGTGTTGTTTTGAATGGTGTAATTCATTACAGTAATTGTAGCCATATATGTAAATTGATCTATTAGAAGAAGAAATTGTCTATTATTATTGTTATTATTATATAGGATTTTGTCATTTTAAGAATGAGGTAAAGTTTTAGTCTATATGCGCAATTAACCACATGGACAAATAAGGGGCTAGACTTCGACTAAATTTTATAACACTAATTTAGTAATTTTATAATAATTGCTGACTCATGTTACAAATTTGCTACAAGTATATATATATATATATGGTCATGACGTGTTCTTTGTATCTGGTTAAATATTTTAAAGTTATTTTATTAAAATTGAATGACTGTCTTGATTGAGAGGATCGAAGATGAGCTTACGATGGATAAAGAATAAATTTTCAGATGTATTGATCGAATTTGGTTTTAAAAACCGATGGTAAACCTAAAAAAATAGACATAACACAAAAAAATCGTGCTTGGGTCCAGATGAGTCGGGCTAGGCCTGGGTTTTTTAAAAGTTGAGCTATACCCAACCTAATTTGGTTTAATTCTTACCTACCAATTAGGCTGTGCTAGGGTTTGGACTCTTAGTCTCGATATAAAACCGGGCCAAGCTTACACCAACATGGAATAAAAGATAAAGCCGCGCCCTTTCCCGATACAAAATAAAAATAAATTGGGCCGGCACGAAATTGTCACATCTCTTTGCAATCAACATTTATTGGCCACTTCTCTATTTGCATTTCTTTCTTCCAATATTGTTTTGCATTTCTTTCTTACAATATCTATAATGTTTCATTTAAGGCTTGTTAATGATCAACAAATAATCTCCCATTAAACAAAATCGTGATATTGTACTTATTTGGATGGCTGAGCTCATCGCTAACAAAATCATATTTAGTTAAACTAAACCGGTTTTGTTCGATCGCCTAGGGTTGTTCATGATCGATCCATTTTTGTACGACAACAATTACTTAATTCTAACATCAATCATATAATAATGCTTTGGATTGGGTATTTAGAGAGTTTCACATCAAATGTAAGATAATTTCTGTTTGAAACATTTGAAGTTTTGAAAATTTTGAGAATAGCAAAAAAATTGATACTGGATTTGATGTATTGTGAGAAAAAAAAAATGTATTTGATGTAATATTTTTTCACATATGATGCAATATTTGGTTTCCGGCACTGAGATTTAAGTGGTTAGTATTAACTAAAATAAATTGAAAATTAAATAATGTAATGGAGAAAGTAGAGTATATTTATTTCTTTCATTTTATTTTGAAAATATTGCAACATACATTGGATGGATGAAGGGGTATTATTTTTTTATTTATTTATTTTTCACAAAAATATCGTATCAAACAACTATTTAAGTCAAACACACCTGAGCTCTTTTCGGGTCTCGTCTCGACTTGGCGTAGCTGAGTTGAAGGTGAGTAAGCTTGTCCGTTGGTCTAATTTATTCTATTCTCGTGACGGACAATTCCACGTGATAATATATATATGATAATATATATATTTCAATATATTTAAACAATAAGGACATAAAATTTTGCCTAAATGGCAATACTTCTTCCTGCAACGAGTACTAAATACACTTCAAAGACATAGGACAGCGAAGAATTTGAATGATAAACAAGTATAAGTAATTGCACATATGTTTTATTAGTCATAATTGTTCAAAAAAAAGAATATATATATATATAGATACACCTAAATAACACCTATATATATACACTATAAGTATACCATACACTCAACATATTTCTACACTCGAGCACTTTTAAACTGTCGAAAATGATCAAAGAGTTTAATGACAAGTATCCTAGGTAGTATTTACTTATGAATTTGTTTCGATGTTCTGAGTTAATAAATAATATCTTGAATAAAAATAAATGTTATAACTCACAAAGTGAACACACCTCGAATGATTACTCGATTATAACCTAAACTAACTTATGACATTAGCCAAACAAACCCATTACGAAAATAATTTTATTTTTATATTCATATACATATTATTTCTTCTAAAAAAATATTAAATCAAATATATATTTTATACTTTTACCTCAACTTCAAGGAACCAAACACAAGCAAACACATCCTAAGGTATTTATTTATTTCCAACACTTAAATTAGATCTATGTTAAGCTCTCAAAGCATCTTATAAAGGGGAAGAACTAGAGAATTTTGTTCGTTTTTGTTTTTAAGAATATTTTTATACTATGCAAACTGCAATGAAAACCATTGAAAACACCCAAAAACATAAACAAGCAAGCACTGCTCGGAATATTCTTCTAATTGAATTTCACTTTATGAGAAACATAGGGTGCGTTTATGATATATTTTACAAGTGTTTTAAGTTGTTTCGAGACTAGTAAAAAATTGAGAACAAAAAATAGGTGTTAGATATAATATATGCAAGTTCATAAACATATCGCGAAAAAGTAAGCATGTACTCAGAGTGTGTGTTTCATAATTCATAGTCAATTAAAAATAATCCTGAGACGACAGAGAGCCACATATGAAGTTCGAGACCAAATTAGCACATGACATTTTTCAAAAAAACAAAAAAATAAAAATTCCATTTCGAAATAATAAAGTTGTTACCATTAAAGAGAGTAAGACAGTCCCGTATATGTCAAGCTTTCTGTTGCCCGCTATTTTCTCCAACAATTTTTTCTGCATAAATAGCAAAACATCTCAAAAAACATAAAATTTGAGAATGGTAAATAATGGCCAAATAATGAAATGATCCATAAGTTTCAATTTCACACCCATGATATAAATTTTTCCTTCACAATTAAAATCCCATAAACATAAAAACGGAACTTTGCATCAGTGAAGGTATTTCTGATAGACAACAGCATTTCAAAAATGTACTGAGACTCGAGAATGAAATAGGCGAAAGTAAAAAAACATAAGAATAAACCTCGAGTCTTTTTTTTTTTTCCAAATAAAATTCACTTAAAAATTTACAGGGGAAAAACAGAAAGCATCCTTTGAAGAGATGGAATAGGCAACAAATTCTGACTCGGAGCCAACTTAACCTGACCCAGTATTAGTCTTATGCTTTTCGATATTTTGTAATCAGTCCCAATGTTTTCTAACCTTAGTCATTATTATTTAGCTTTCATCTTGTATCTTCGGATGGATTCAACTTAGAACCGGGGGACTAATCCTGTAGTTGTTTATTTCTTCCAGTTTGATTAATAAGAGCTCATACAATTTCCGTCAAAATCATAGAGGCAAAGTGCATCTCATCATTGTATACCGCGACAAGGCTGCACCATCAATATTTCAAGCCACGGCGCGCACCAAGGTGCCACTTAAAACTATGAATTATTAAACTAACTAACAGAATACGAGATCTATGGCATCCAATGCTGCAATTTGCGAACAAAGCAAACTTAATGTTTCTATTAGTAAGTGTTAGTGGCCATCTCACATAAAAGTTTAAAGTTATCATATGCATTACTATATACATATCGCGTGCAAGGTGGGTTTGCGACACATACGAATCTTGCATGTGTACAATTTTCCGAAAGGGCAAAGTCGGACTCAAATACGGGACGTCCCACTTTGATAACATGATAAATAGTCATCTCACCTAAAAATTTAGACTTGTATATCTCACCTAAAAATTTAGACTTGTAAGAATATGCATCACTATATACATATTATATAGTCTTTCAATATGCCCTCTCACGTGCAAGGTATGGTTAAGCCACATATGAATCTTACACGTAGACAACTTTTACGAAGGCGCAGTAGAACTTAAACACGGACGTCCATTCTGACACGATATTAAATGATCATCTACCTAAACGTTTCAATTTGTAGAAATATGTATCATTATATATATATATATATTATATAGCTTCCAACACTAAGTAAGATTGTTTCTCAAAGCAATACAATATCATAAATAATAATGTTAAACCGAAAAAAATTGAGAGGGGTGGGTGGGGGAAAGGGGCAGCATAAAGAAGATGACCATACCATGAACTAATCCAGTTGACAGCATTCGGTCCATATTGTCGATTCGACGCTGTATGGATTTCAGAACTGTATTTAATGCTTTTACCCTTTTCCTAACACCAGAAATTCTTCCAGCATGCTGCATTATGAAGGGTGATGGTGCATCCTCTAACAATTTATCAAGCTCTGGAAACAGGTAGATCTTCAAATCAAACCAAATTTGTAACTCTCACTTAATCAAAAGATGATCGAATCGAACACAAATGTCTCAAATTATAATCATTGCATAAATCGTAGACAGCATTTCCAAACTGTAAAACTTGAGAAAATTTTGAATTTACAATTTGAATATGATAACATAAACAATCTAGTGCATCATAGTCAAAATTCAACTCAACAATATCCAGAATTCCTGTAATGAACAATGAAAATTTCAAGCATGCCATAATCTGGATAATTCACACTTCAAAACGATACAGGAAACAAATCGAATTATAATTCAATACAATATATAATAAATACATTTTAAACAAAAGTTATAAAATTCTAATCCAGTGAAACACAAGATAGAAGTAAGAAACGACCTCCTGTTAAGCGATCTAGGGTAAATTCAAGCTGGTCTTGGCTGCGCGCAGTAGCTTCAGCTCTCGAATCGAAATCAATCATTACGGATGATATCAGAGAGTACAAACCCTCAGCCACAGCGGAATTGGAACTAGTTGCTCTGTCAAGCCGGTCGACGTTATCGCCGCCGCCTCGACTAGCATTAGCGGCGGAGTGCGAAGCTACGAAAGCTCCGTGATGATCGCTAGTTGGATTTCCATCCGCCATGAAATTGATTGGAATCGCCAATCCAATCCTTCGAAATTTGGTCTTTTCTTTTACTTGCAAGGGATTTTGTTCGTTTGCCCCAAAAAAGTACTATTATTATTATTATTATTATTATTATTTATGTTGTTTGAAAAAGATTTAGGATTTGTTTGGTCAATAATTTTTTTAATATTATTGTCAATAAAAAAAATATATATATATATTTATAAAGATAGAACATTCAACATAATCACAATTCTTATACTTAATACTATAATAATTTTTCAATTTAAAATACTATAGGGGTGTGTTTGTTTGGGAGTTTAGATTTGAATAGTAAAAATTTTGAATTTGAATAGTTGTATGATGTGATATAAATAGGTGTTGATGTGATGTTTTGAATGTAAAATTAATTTTTAGTATAATATAAAAAAGAAAAATAAATGTTTGATTTGATGTTTTGAAAAAAAAAAAAATAATAGTGAATTTAAAATCCAATCCCCAAACAAAGACACCATAAATAAACAATGTCTTCATTTATCTAAATTCAATTATTTTATCATTTTCGTTTTCTTGTACTCAACATATTTATTTCTTGTTATAATAATAAAAATAATTTATATATAAATAATAAAATCCTTCTAATTTTTATCAAAGTAAAAATATTAAAATTATCTTATACTATTTTCGTTCGACTTTAAGGTCTTGTAAATATAGTAAAAATTTAAAAAAATATAAAAATATAAAAATATTTTTAATTGTAAGCTTAGAGAGGAGTATATTTTTACTAATGAATACAATTTCTTATTAAAAGAATTTCAAATTGAGAAATAACTAATTTTTCATTTATTATTTTCATATATGTAGAGTTGTCAAAACAGATTTGTGGACAAATTAGTTTACAATTAACCATAATCCGCAAATAAACAAATTATTTACGGGTCAGGACGAACTAAGATTTAAACTACTCAATCCAATTTCTCGACCAATGGCAAGGCAAGCGGGCTACCACAGAGATTTTTAAAAAATATTTAAACTATTATTATTATTTTTATATATTTAATATAAAAATAGTTATATCTTATAATCTAAATAATAAATATTTAAATCAATTCCAAATTTTAGATATTAATGATCGGTATTTTTCAAAAAGTTGCCAAATATAAAATATTTAAACAATAAATAGATATTATTCTTATATATATTTCAATAAAATTTAAAATAAACAAATAAAAAGACAATGCAAAATGAATAAAACAAAGGAAAAATAATTCAAATAAAGAAAACAACGATATCACAGAGACAATCGTAAAAGAAAATATATATGATTTTCATGTTTTATATACGAAAGAAAAAGAAAATGAAAAAAATGAGAAATTGCATTTAGAGTCTTGCTTTGTGAGATTTTAAGTTTGAATAATAAAATTTTGAATTGAAGTAATATGATATAAATATGTATTGACGTAATATTTTAAATATAAAATTAAATAGTAGTATAATATAACAAATAAAAAATAAATATTTAATTTCATATGTTTTAGAGAAAATATTTTGAAATAGTAAAAATCCACCTTAAAATCCCACGAGTAACCATATTCTAAAATAAATGTGTTTGGGGGAAATTGTTTTGAATTTTAAAATTTAAAAGTAGAAAATGGGTGTTAAACTGTTACTGGTTCAATTATCCTACCAAATGAATTGTATTTATCATGTACCGACAAATTACTTAACCGTTCTTTGTACTTAAATTTTTTAATTTTAAAAATACATATGACAAATACACAATTCACTGAGGATAGGGTAATTGAACTTAGATGTTATGTTTTGAATAAAAACTTGACTTCGAATGTAATGTTAGTTTTGGAAATTTTGCATAACTAGAAAATAGAGATAAAAATTAGAGGCGAACATTCAAATTTTTGAATTGAATTTTGTCAAATTTGAACTAATCCAAATATTCGATTTGTTTTTGAAAAAATAAAACTGAACCGAATACATCTTTATTTCTCGTTCTCTATTTTTATTTCTCAATAATATACCGAAAGAAATTGCAAAGTTTTTATTTGAAATTTCTATTACTCTTATGTATATATTAATATATTTATATGTATCTATACACCTATACAGGAACGTAACTAGCTTTCGAAGTTAAAGAAGGTGGAGTTGTCTAGTAGGTTTCAAATTTTAATGATTCGATTTCAATTTTAACATATTTCAATTTTTTTTTATTCAAACAGATTGTTCAATTTTTTTTTCTTTTATAAAAATTTAAAAATTTTATTAAAATATGTCGGTCACATCTTCTTATATACTACTTCAATTCTATTTTCTTCGATTCTTCTTGATACTCTGGTATAATGAAAAAAAATAATAATAATCGATTTTTCTTGATACTCTGGTATAATGAAAAAAAAATAATAATAATGCAATGAAACGCTTGTAATAATATTTAGTATAAAAAATTATATATTTTATTTAAATAAAATATAATTAAATTATTGTATGAATATAAATTAAAAAAAATAATAATAAAATATATAATACACTTAAATTTTAAAATGAACAAAATTATAAATTTAAATTTTAGAGAGAAATAAAATAATACATTTATATAAAATTTATTTATTTTAAATTAAAAAAAAAAAAAAATAGCGGGCTCGGGGGGCAATCCCCTAAAATCCCATGTACGTCTACCTATGCACCTAAGTGAGAAAAATGACATGGGTACAGCAGATTCCATCCCATTCGTCTTCAACCCCTAATTTGAGGTTTTGTCGACAAATTTCAGGTCTTACTTATTTATTATTTTTTTAAGAAAAAGAATAAAAAATAATTTAGTAGTTATTATAATTATAATTATAGGGAAAAAAAAATATATACAATATATATACGTTATTTTGTACATAATAAAATTTTTTACAATACAAATAAATAAAAATTTAAATATATATATTGAGTATAATATATATTTATAATTAAATCATACAATATAAATTTTATCAATTAAATTTAATACATATTTGTATTATTTTATTCATTATTCATCAAATTACTACACATCAAAACTCCCCAAATCCAAACACAAAAGAAACAACAAAATTTAAATAAAAACCAAACTCAAATTCAAATTGACCTCTGACCCTCTAAAGAAACAAACCCTTAACGTATCATTTGTTCGACTAAATACTTTAAATTATTCAAAGAAGACCCTCCATTAGTACCACTCTTTCCCGCCATTTCCTTCATTCTCAATGCATTTTTTCTTACTACATTATCACACATAACCTCTTCCACCTTTTTCTCCACTTCAAATCTCGAAATAACGGCCGGCCCGCCGCCGCCGTCATCCGGCGACAACCGTATCCCAACCCGCCATTTGTCGCATATACAGGTCCTCGCATACAATTGATCCGCAAAATACGGCCAGCAGAGCAACGGCACGCCCGCGCTCAAACCCTCGATAACCGAATTCCACCCACAATGCGATAAGAAGCACCTGACCGCCGGGTGGGCCAACACCGCCTCTTGCGGGGCCCACCCGACAATTTTCGCCCGACCCGCCACACGCTCTGTATACGCCTTAGTAAAAGCAAGGGGCGGTTTTCCGGTCCCGCTGCCGGTCAGTGCGGCCCACAAGAAGGGCCGGCCGGTCAGCTCAAGCCCTAGTGCCAGCTCATCGAGTTGGGTTTGGTTGAACCTCGAAGTGCTACCAAAGGCAATATATATGACTGAATCATTGGGTTGTTTGTCGAGCCATTTTAGACAAGAAGAGTCTTCGGACAAAAGACTTCCGTATGATTCTTCATTAGAAAGAAATGGACCAACTGGTAGGGTGTTCAATGGCAGGGTGGATAAAGATGGTTCGAGTTCTTGGAAAAAATTGCACAAAATCCAATCTACATCTTGTAAGTGATTTGCAATGTCCTTGGTGGCATGGAATATTGCATTTTGCATGTTTTTGTCGTGTGGGAAATGCCATATGAGGTCGGACATTGCCATGGCCGGCATGTTCGGCAACAATGGAATGGCGTCGTTCTTCAATGGAGTACCTACAAAAAGAAAAGAGAGAAGTATACTTACTTAAAAGATCTTTAGAGCTGCTAGTGAGTCGAATAGAGTTTGGTCTGTGTTCATTCGCTAAGAGCTGAGCTGAAAATTTTTATTTGTATTTGGATTGTTTAACTTAACGAATGAGTTTCTAGTAAACTTAAAGTATGAATGACAATAGGTTGGATATGAGTAGAGTCTAGTTAGATCTGAGACCCAACTCGAATACATATTGTTGGACTCGAGACCAGAATCAGATATGATATACCCGGACTCGACAGTACTCAGACCCGACAAGACCCAATGGACCTAACAAACCCACAAAAACTTTTATAATTCTGAATTGGATCCGAATCCAGATCCGGATCCGAATCCAGATCCGGATCCGATAGAAATTATTTTTTTCTTATATATAATTTATACATTATTAATATATTAGGATCTATGTCAGGTCTGGGCTCGGAGAGGGTCTACCTTTAGACCCGAGACCCAACCCAGACCCGATATGGATATACATTACCCGATGCATACCTGATCCGATACTCTAATAATTGAACTCGACTCCAAATAAATGGGTTGGATTTGGGTCAGATTTTGTGTTAATCCTAACCCATTGTCATCCCTATTCAAAAGGGCCGGAACGAGCTGAACTCGCATACCATTTGTTTGTTTTATAACTCTAAATAATCTAATATGAATGTATACAAGCACAACCATACATGTATGTCTATAATTTTACCGTCGCTATCAATGACTTTCGACTCCATAAGATGAGGAATCTTGAGCCCTAAAGCCAAACTCCCCGCGGAACTAACCCAAAACATAGCAACCTTAACTCCAAACCTCTTCACGATTTGAGACACCGAAGCTAGAGGTGAATCAACTATCACTCCATCGATCTTACCATCGCTCTTACTCAACAAATCTTCCAAGAAACCGGGCAATGCTCTTTGGATGCCCGCAAACTCCCTCTCTTGGTCTTTCCAATCGTCGTTATGCTCTACGCAATTTGGGATTGAAATGATCCGAATCCCCTCATTATGATCGTTGGTCGGCCCGACTATTCTTGCATGCACGGCCTTCGTGGTGAGAAATGTGACCTTGGCCCCTAACTTGGTGATTTTTTGTGAGAGCTTGAGGAGAGGGGAGACATGGCCAAGTAGAGGACAAGATATTACTAAGATATGACCCTCTTTTTGCTCCATTTTTTTATTTGTAATACACATATGTATATATATATATATATATATATGAGAGAGAAATGGAAAGAGAAGAGAGAGAAGAGATGCATGCATGGATAATTGGCTAATAAATAGGAATCCCCAAGGCAATAGAAAGATGGTGATTTCTTGATATAAGTGTTCTAGGTGTGTTTATTTGTGATTTAAATTCTCTTTTCATGTTATGTAATACTTCGGCCGTTCAAAAAGAGTTGTTTTTTTTTTTCTTATTTTTATTTGTTCTAATATTATTTTTTTTTAGTAATTGTGATTTTCATTATACAACAAAATTATTCTTATTTTTTCACAATATTTACACAAACATGTTATAATTATCAATTTAATCTGCTTTTTCAATCATTCATAAAGCAAGGATAATTTAGTCATTTATATTCTACTTTATACCGACAAATTCTTTTGAACAGAGGGAGTATATAGTAAAATATTTTTTCACACTTAAAAAATTATTATTTTTACTTTTCTTTTGTTATTATCATCTAAATTTATTTTCAATAAAAAATATCATCTTTTTTCAATTTTTATTTTTTTTATCTTAAAAAAATTTCTATTTATTTATTTTTTCTTTTAAATCTGTGTAGCTGTTCAAATAAGCATTTTTTTTCCTTTTTTTTTTTACAATGGGGGAGTATATTTTTATGTTTTAATTGGATTGGATTTACATTATTCATCTCATTTTTTCCCCAAAAATATCAAATCAAATACTTATTTTTTATTTTTACATTCAAAACATCACATATTTATATCACATCATATAACTATTCAAATTCAAAATTCTTACTATTCAAATCATAACTCAAAAACCAAACTTCCAAACAAACACAAACAAATCCCTTAATTCGCCACGCTTAAGGGAATGGCACAGAATACGCATCCAAACAACCCCTTAATTCGCCACGCTTACTTCTCATGCCATACATACAATTCAAGCCTAACAATTTTTTTTTGTATTTCTATTTTTGAAAAAATTGTAAGGTGATCGATATCAGCCATTTGATACTATATTTGTTATAGAGAATGAGACTGTTTTTTTGGAGTTTTTTTCTAAATTTATTAGTTAGTAAAAATATGTAAAATAATTTTAATATTTTTACTTTTGTAAATATAAAGAAAATAAATAAATTTATAAAAGTAAAAAATATTTTAATATTAATATATAAATTACTTTTATTATAATAGAAAATAAATTTTTTTCCATGAGAAAAATACTCTTTTCAAATACACAAATTTAGGTAAAGTATAATTAATAATTAATTAAAAAATGTAAAAATAATTATTGAACAGTAAAAATAATTATATATTAAAATTAAGATAACTAAATAATTTAATTAAATATAAAATTTAAAATATAATTAAATTGTATAATCATATTTAAAAAAAAATAAAATTATATAAGATAAACGAAAACAAAAAAAATAAAAAATCTAATGTCAGATTGATGGAGTAATTGATTTGATAATAATGAATTTATTCAAAGCAACAGTAGAATCTTTATTAATAGTAATCATATGCTTCAGTTGCCTTAGCACAGCACTAATTAAAATCCACCGTTCAATTTCTTTATTTTAATGTCTAATGATTGATATAAATATATTTTAAATGTTATTCTTTAATGAAATTATATATATATATATATAAATATGCATATACAATTAATATAAATTAATTTCTAACTGTATTTCTCAATTGCAATTTTTAAAAAATAATAATAAACAATACAAAATATATATATATATATTTTTTTTAAAAAAAAGAGCCTCCAAATAATCATTAGAAAAAGCCAGATATTCAATTTAAAAATATTATATTGTTGAGACAATTTATCGTACCACGTATAAAAAATAAATCCATCTAAAAACGTCTCAGTGAATAAAACCACTATTTAAACAGACTCAGATAAAAAGACAAATTTCACATCAAACAAAACAAACCCTGCATAAAAATTGCATAGTAAAAAAGACCATGACAGTAACATGTACCAATTACTTCCTTTCATTTGAACTAATGAAACCAACTAAGTTTAGACCGTTCCATCATGCAATATATGAAAATCGATCTAAAAACTTTTGCATCATCATAAAAATCAAGCAAAATCTAAATATTAATTACCTCGTAATTTTATACGGCGTGTACCTGCTCCGGTTCCCGGCTGAAATGGCCAAAAGAATCGCAACTCCACAAGAAATCCCGACTCCAAAGATGAAAGAAGGCAAGTGAAAACTTACTTGCTTATAATTCCCCTTCATAAAGGACCACCTCATAAGAACCTCGTCCGGGTGCCATAAGCTCATATGAAGCGCCAGCGTCATCCTCAGGCTGCTGTTGCTTTCGCCGTTGAACACAGTTTTGCATTCCGGGCAAGAAATATTTTCGTTTTTCGTAGGGACTCTCCCTGCAATTTCCATAGCTTTCTCCCTCAAGGATAAATGAGGAGGAGGAGAAGACTGGAAAGGAATTTGTGTGTTAATTAGCAGTAGGGCTGGTCTTGACTTTCAGGGTTCTCGGATAAAACGAAAACAGGCCCCATAAATATATATAAATAATATTTTTTATTTATAATAAAAATTTTAATAATTAAATATATATTTTTTTTCTAATACTTTTATATGCAAAAATAGTATTGAAGAAGAATTCAAAATTTTGTAACCCTCTGAGGTAAAACTCATGACTTTATTTACAAAACAATCTCACACTACCAAACTACATTTTTAAAATGACATAGTAAAAAATGTATTTAAACTACAATCTTGTGATATACTTTAAATACTTTTTATACTATGTAATTTTAAATATTTGTAGCAGCTAAATGATAGAGTTTAATTATGAGTATTTCAAATTTGATATATGTAAATTCATTCATTTAAGGCAGTGTGACTTAAGGAGTTGGATGTGGATTTTAAAATAGTAAAATTTTGAATTAAAAAGTGAATTGTATATAGGATTTAAGAATGATAAAAGATTTGAACCGGGTATTTATTTAATCTAATATTCTGAATGAAATATAAAAATATATATATTTTATTTATATTTTTAGGGGAGAAAAATTGTGAATAATGGAAATTCAATCTTAAACCTTCGGCCAAGCACAGTGTGTTTGATTCAACCTAGAGGATGGTAAGAGAGAGGAAGGGTTTTGATGTAGGGAACAGGAGAGGAAAGAAACAATAATAATTTTGTGTTTGATGAAGCCGTGAAAAGACAACTATATTATCAAATCATATAAATAATAATAAGATAAATAAAAATTAAATATTTAAGAAAAAATAATCATTCTGTTACAAAATTTGAATATAAAACAATAAAAATGTCAATTGAATAATTACTGTCAATATCAATAAAATTACAAACATAATAAACAAAAATATAGAATATGAAAGGTACAATTGGATATTGAATAAATGTATAATAGTAATTAAAATTTAAAAAAAAAAAAAAAAAAAAAAAAACATTCCCATCCCCTCCAAATTTCCATTAGTTTTCACAGCAAAAATATCCAAATATTTATATATATATATATAACACTTCAAACCTATTTTTTCTTAAAAAATAACATTTCATTCAAAACCTGATTTCCATTCTAATATTTGTAATTCCCAAAAGATCCAAAACACAAGCAAAAACAACCAGGAATTCAAAAGATATGCACAAATAGTTTTTCTTTTTTCAAGGGTTGATTTGTGAATATATTGAAAAAATATGATTCATAACTAATGAAAAGGACATTAATCTACAAACATTTATTTTCAAATAAGCACAAAAAATCTATTATTTTTGGTTGTGCAAACACTCTGGTTTTATTTTAAACCCAAACTCAATGCCAATCAAAGTCCGGAATATAAAGAAAACTAAGAAAGAAGAATGTGTCGTACCTTCAAAAGATCACGCAACCACAACCATGTTCCCCTAATAAGATTCTTCATTTAAATTTGTCTCTTCCAACTAATAAGCAACGGCAAACGACAAATTCGTCAAGAGATAAGAAAAGAGGATCACAAATATAACAACAGACACAGATTGAAATATGAAACTAAAATTCTCTATTTCAACAGTAAATTTTTTTACTTATTTATAGTGCAATAGAGATTCTCTAAATAAATCTAGAACCCTGAAAATCTCACAAATGAGATCGTTATCATAGTTACTCGATGCTCCGTTCTAACTTAAAGTATTATTTTTACTATTTTTGTGCGTCCCAAGTATCTCTTTCTAAAAGTAATACATTAATACCAAAATATTTGAACTTTTATCTAAATTACAAACATACTATTCTACATACAATTATTTTATAAAGTCAAATGACAAAAATATCAAAATATCTTACCAATAAAATATTATTATTTTTTAATTTACTATAGTCTATAAAACTCCAAAGAAATATTTTGAAGTGAGACGGGGAGTATAATATAAAAATATATATCCTAGAAATGCATATCGGAACATTAACAAACTATGTGTTTGTTTGGGAGAATTTACCAAACTTCCACTGTTCATCCAAATTTGCTCTCCCAAAAATATCAAATCAAACACTTATTTTTTATTTTTTTATTATATAAAAATCAATTTTACATTTAAAACATCACATCAAAGTCTATTTATATCACATTGTACAACTATTCAAATTTAACTATTTTACTATTTAAATCCCAACTCAAAATTCAAACCTCCAAACAAATACTCCTCAAGTGGACTAATAGGATTCAATGCAAATATGGGGAAATGGAAACCATTCTAACTGTGAAAACTATCATTTTCACCATTAGTCTACCAGCACTTAACTCAAAGTCCCATTTCATTTGACTTCGTAAATTTTTTATTAAGATCGTGTATTTAGTTGAACGTTTGGATTTTGTGTTTTGGTTTTAAATAATAAAAGTCTTGAATTGAATTGTCGTATAATGGGATATAAATATGTGTTAATATAATTTAATGATTTTTTAGAAAATTGAATGAATAGTAAAATTCTACCCCAAAATTCTTGAACAAAATACACCACTTTCATTCAAATGAAACTTAAAATGCAATTGAATTAATCATTTTAACTTATTTTTTTAACGTAAATGATAAATAGAAAGACAGTAGAAAAGGTAACATTTTTTTTTTTTGAAGTAGTAACTCAAGTTCAACTCGCCATTCCGACAAAGAAGAAAGGAATCCTTTTCTTTAGTCTATCTAAAATTCCTAGAAGAATGCAGCATCAAACTAAAGAAGGAAATAGAAGCAAATCATAATTAGAGTATATGCTTCAAAATGGAGATCATAGTTTTCGATTGAATCAAATATAGCATCCCACTCTGCTTTTAAACATATTACAACCAAAAAGTAGGAAATAGAAGCAAATCATAATTAGAGTAAAAACCTGCTACAACTCTTTAATCAACAATTAAATAAACTACTAATATGATGATTCCCCTAAATAGAATTCATCAATATTCTCACATCTTACTAATATTCATACTATGAACATAAGTATTGAAAAAAAAAATTTGCAAAAATTTCCAAAATATTTAACAATATGTTTACTTGTAAGTTTGTCTCCATATTTGAACTGTATAATCTACTTGGAAATATCTTTTTTCAAACCAAAAACACAACATTCAAAACCTATTTTCCATTCAAAACACTTCATCCAATACTTATATATATATATATATACAACTTAAATACTTAATGAATCCAAACAAACTCCCAAAACACAAGTATACGCAATTCCCTGATTCAACATATTAATGTCACTTCCCAACCAATTTATTTTCTTATAAAAACAACTCAGATTTCCTAATTGCAATTTTACTACTAGTTTTTCCTTCCCCTTTTCTTTTTTTGTGTTCCGAGTGATTAGGATGCTGATTAGCCGAAAACAGCAAATGGTTTATAACATCCATACATGACATAATTGATCTCAACATAAGAGAATATATTAATATAACCCAAACGGTGACAATACATAGTAATAATTCACACAAACTATTGATTTTAACACATGTTAAATTAGCACAAATGTATGTGGCAAACCATCAGCACAATAGGTAATAATTCACACAGGAAATGTATGCTCCATATTTGTTCCATGAAACTGCTTCAATATTAACCCCAATGACATATCTAACCTCAAGGGAAAACTATATATATATATATATATATATATCGACTTCAAGCCATTCACAAAATAACTTAATGCATCCATAGATATAACAAGAAAGAAATAGAATATCGACTGAACTTCAAGCTAATCGCGAAGAACTTAAAATCAGCAGAATAAGGCACCGCATATCAATTGATAAATCTTCAAAAAGGGGAAGAAAACCACAGTTAGGATCACAGTATTTGAAAAAACAAAAAACAAAAACAAAAATTCATTAAAATATAATTCATTTCCGATCCAGTGATTAAGCTTTAAGAAGGAACAAGAAAAATAATATCAAAATAATGCACCGCGGAGCCGAGCGTATCAGCTAACAATACATACATACATACATAGAAAATCGACAAATTCCCATAAATTAACCATAAAACTAGCTGTGATAAATACAACTCACATTGAATGAGGAAATCACGAGCTCCGCGTCGATTTGAAACAGATACCAAAAGTAGAGAGAGAGAGAGAATAGCGGAAAGCAGGGGGAAAAGGGGGAAGGAGAGTGACTTTAAACGTCCAGCTTGAACGCCACACTGTCGAATATTTAATTTATTTATTAATTAATCAGCCTGGAAGGTGACATTTATTTTTTGGTTCGTATTAAAAATTACTCTCTCCGTCCCTGATATCCACGTTGCCGTCCCATATACCATGTCATTTTTTATTTTTTTTAAATGATTACATATTTTAATTTTATTTTAAATTTTTTAATTTTATTTTTTTAATTTTAATTAAACTAATTAGTTATCTTAATCTTAATTTATAATTATTTATATTATAAAATAATTATTTTCACTAATACATTCTTAATTATCTACAGACACAGTATCTGGGACGAAGGGAGTAATATAATACTAATAATATTAAAAAATATACATACAATCGGAAACAAAGAGAGTATAATATTTTTTTTAAAAAAAAATTATTGATAAAACAATGTCAAAATTAAATTTCTTCACTCATTTTTTTTTTGAGTAGGATTTCTTTGGTTGTAGTTAAAAATTAATTTAAAATTTAGTATTGATTTGAATTTTTACATAGTATATCTGATGTGATATTTTACTAGCATAAAAAATATATTATTATTAAAAATTGCACAGAGTAAATATTATTAATTTTGAATTGAAATACTAAAAGAATAAATTCATCATTTTTAATAAATATTATTAAAAATATATTATTTACACATACTTACACAATATATATATTATTAACTTACAAAAATTCATTACAATATAATTTTTATATTACTAAATATATATATACTTATATATATATATGTATTATTCATACAATTTTAGTATATTGTATTAATTCATAAATTCAATAATTCAATATAAAATATTATTTTTAATATTATTGATACCTTTTTTTTATATGTATTATTAAAAATAGGATAAATTACATAATACTACCTTATGTCTAAATATAAATTCATAAAACATTTTATATTATATATATTGTGCGAAATTATCTTTGCCTTAAATTAAAATATGAATAAAACACACTTCCGTCTCAAGTTGATACTCCCTCCGTCCCATAACAAAGTATCCATTTTTTCATTTTCTTTTAGTAACTGTACTATCTACCTAACATTACAAATACCCTTACAACTTACAATATATTACACAAATACCATTACCTTTATATCACATATACTAATAAGGTTATTTTGGTCATTTCTACTTTATTCCTACTATATCTCAATATAATACTAATATTTCTAAAACTACGTGCAAAAAACAAATGGATACTTATATATGGGACGGAGAGAGTATTTGATTGTAAACATCCAAAAATTTATATAAGGTTTATACATATAAAAAAGTAAAATATTTTAAATAGTCTTATTTAAAATAAATAAATAAATAATTGATCAATTATTCATTTTATAGTTTTCTTGTAAAAGTTAGGTAATAGTTCGTCTAAAAAAATATTAACTAAATGGTTGCTAAATTTTTTCAATTATTTATTTTATTCCAAAAAATATTAATATTCAATATATTTTATCATTTTTATTTGTATAAAACTTACATAATTATATTAGTATTTAGAATCATATATCAATTTTAAATTAAAAAATATTTTATGCATACTTTAATTTAACTTTAACACGATACAATCTCTTCACTTAGCATTTTTAAATAAATTAATTTTTTTTTGTGTGGTACAGATAACTGTGTTGACTTTTTATAAGTGAATGATATATAATATATTAATATGTATGTATATTTGTATTTATTAAATAATATTTATGAGAAATTATTCTATTGAAAAATGGTAAACAAACTGATAGTGTTTTACAAAATAAATAAAATATAAGGTGTTTAATATATTTATACTAAAATACAATTAATATTATACTCCCTCCATCCCAGATACCGTGTCTTGCTACACTGTAAACACAGTATTTTAGGAGGGGTGTAATTAGTAGATAATTAAAAATGTATTAGTGAAAATAATTATCCTATAATATAAATAATTATAAATTAAGATTAAAATAACTAATTAGTTTATTTTTAGTTTAATTAAAATTAAAACAAATAAATTAAAAATTTTAAAATGAGATTAAAGTGTATAATCATTTTCCAAAAAAAGAAACTGACATGGTATGTGGGACGGACATAAACGACAACGTGGACATGGTATGTGGGACGGAGAGAGTATAATTTATCCTTATAAATATATTTTAACTTAAAATACTAAACAAATATACTCACACTCTTTTTTATCTTTCCATTAAATTTAGTTTGTCACTAATTTTGGCAAAATTAAAATTTTAATATTTAACTATTCATTTGTTCAATACTTATTTATTACTCCCTCCGTCCCACATAATTTGTCTATATTTTCTATTTTTGTCCGTCTCACATAATTTGTCATTTCTATTTTTGAAAATATAATTATGCACTTTAATCGCATTTTAAATTTTATAATTTTTTTAATTTTAATTAAAAACTATTTACTTATCTTAATCTATAATTATTTTTACTAATACACTTCTTAATTACTTACTAATTATACTTTACCTAAATTTCCGTGTCTAAGTAATACATTCATATTACATGGGACGGAGGCAGTACTATTATCACTACCTTTATTATATTTATTTCTCTTCGTTATCTCTAATTACTAACTAAGATTTTAAAAATACACCAAAAATATTATTTTTTAATTTTCACATTTTTTCAATAATTTTTTTTTTGTATTTTCCTATCTGACACAAAATGGCTATTTTTACCGTATGAATTGGAGTAATATACATTTGATTAAAAATTTTGAATATATATAAAATTAAAGAAAGGGTTTGTTTGTTTACTGTTTTAAATTTTGATATTTTTTATAAGATATGAAAATTTGTATTGGTATTATAAAAATTAATACAATATTTTATATTGAATTATTGATTTTTATGAGAAAAATATGATATAAAGATTATATATGTTGAAAATCGAAAAAAAAATTAATTAAATAACTATTTCCATTTAAGATTTTATTATTGAAAATTTAAATATTCAATTAAACACGCTTTTATTTATATTTTTTAAAGTAAAATATAAAATATGTTTGATTGTGATTTGAAACAAATTTATATTTTTTTTAAAGTAAAATATAAAATATATTTGATTGTGATTTGAAACAAAGTGTTAAGTTGAAATTTTTATTTAAATAATATTTTATAAAAAAAAATAATATATACTTATTAAAATCTATACAGATGAATAGTATTGATTCTATACCTATCATTTTAAATTTGCATACATATATGTACTATTGTTTAGTTGTAAGTTAAAATTGATTTAAAATACCTATCATTTTAAATTTGCATACATATATGTACTATTGTTTAGTTGTAAGTTAAAATTGATTTAAAATAAAATATTGATTTGAATTTATTTAAATAATATTTTGGTATAATATATTTTTATTAAAAGTATACAAAATAAATAGCCTTAATTTCAATTTAAAATAAGAAGAGAACAAACCAGTGTATAATGCTCATAAAAAATATACAAATAGATAAATATTCTCCAACATGTGTTTTCTATATACTCTCTCCGTCCCACATAATTTATCTCTATTTTATATTTTTGTTCGTCCCACATAACTTGTCATTTCTATTTTTGGAAATATAATTATACACTTTAATGGCATTTTAAATTTTAAATTTTATAATTTGCTTAATTTTAATTAAACTATTTACTTATCTTAATCTTAATCTATAATTATTTTTACTAATACACTTCTTAATTATTTACTAATTATACTTTACCTAAATTTCCGCATCTACAGTAATAGTCCCGTATTTTCTGAGACGGAGGGAGTATGTATTTTCTTAATATATATATATAGTTATATTTAAATTTGAATAAAATATAATATATTTTTTTTAATAAAAAATAAAATTAGATTATAAACACATACAAAAACCTTAGAATTATATGAAACTCTTTGTATGTTATTATTATAAAATATAAACTCAATATGAGCATAATAAATTAACATCAAATTTAAACACTAATATTCATTTGTTGCTTATGCTATAGAAATGTAATTTCTATTACGTAAGAGCATATACAATGAAGTTTTTTTCCATGGCCTCCCACATTTATAAAGACTTATGGTTTATTTTTCCATGATTTTCAAAAAATTTAATATATTACATATACTTATTATTTTTATATTAATTACATAATTCTCTATTGCTCACTTTAAAAAAATATCTCTTCAAACAATTTCACTGAACACACGTAACTTTGTTCAAATCTAATGCAAAATAACAATGTTGTGGCTCAATTTTAGAAGCCAAAATTTAGATGCAGGATGATTGTATATGTTCTAAGAAGGCCATTTATTCAGTTTTAACTCTTGATATGCAGTTGATATAGTAATTTTATTTCAATCATAACTCCAATTTTTACTATTATTCTTCAAATATTCAATTTTTCCTATTATTTTAAACAAATTTTTATTTTTATAATTTAAAATATTTTTTTTTAAAATTTAGAAAAATAAAAAATAAATTTAAAAGTTAATTTTATTTTTTTTTTATTTTTTTTAAAAAAAGAACCAACGCTGTAATAGCGCAAGATTTGTCAAATTAACCAACCTAGCGCCAGGTTGGAATGCCTAAGAGATACAGTAGAGTGATGTAGGGGTGGGCACGGTTCGGATATTTGCAAATATACAGGTATTTGATATCTGAATCGAACCGAACAAATACTTGAAACCGTGAATCCTATTCGAACCGAAAATTTCGGTTAACCGAATTTTCGGTTAGCCGAAAATATTTGCAATATTCGCAAATAATTCGAACCGAACCGAAATTAAAAAAATAATATATTAAAAAATAATTAAAATTCTAATTAAATCAAACTATTTGCAAATATTTCAAATATCCGAACTGAAACCGAACTGTAACCGAACCGAAACCGAATTGAATATAATTATTAATATAAATTCTAAAATATAATAACATAAATATATAAATATATTCGGTTCGGTTAACCGAACCGAAAAACATATCAAAAACCGAAACCAAACCGAACCGAGCAAATATCAAATATGCAGTATTTGTATCCGAACCGAATTTGCTCGGTTAACCAAAAATTCGGTTCGATTCAGTTCGGTTCAACGGTTCGGCGGTTCGGTTCGATTTTTTTGCCCACCCCTAGAGTGATGAGTTAAAATTTCTAACGCCACACCTCTAGACTATATTCTTTAAAAACTAATGAACACATTTACATAGCCTTATACGGGCTTAGGTGTAGCCCATCAAAACCTCGGACCTAGTCCCAGGCCCAAAAGGCTGTAAATTTATATTTTATTTTACTTCATCCACCGTCTAAATTTATTTTCGTTTTACATTTTAGCAAAAAAATATCAAAATTTTTCTATTTTTTCTTTATCCAAAAGTAAAAGTTTCTATTTTTTTTATCTATTTTCGTCTGATCAAATAAACACACAATTGAATAAGAGAAGGAGTAATATATATTAGGGGTGGACACGGTTCGATTATTTGCAAATATTCAGGTATTTAATAACCGAACCGAACAAATACCCGAAACTGCGAATCGTATTCGAACCAAAAATTTCAGTTAACCGAATTTTCGATTAACCGAAAATATTTGTAGTATTTGCAAATAACTCGAACCGAACCGAAATTAAGAAAAAATATATAAAACAAATTAAAATTCTAATTAAATAAAAAATATTTGCAAATATTTCAAATATCCGAACCGTATATAATTATTAATATAAATTTTAAAATATAATAATATAAATACATAAATATATTCGATTCGATTAACCAAACCGAAAAAAAATATAAAAAATCAAAACCGAACCAAATCGAACAAATATAAAAAATCAAAACCGAACCAAATCGAACAAATATAAAAAATCAAAACCGAACCAAATCGAACAAATATAAAATATACAGTATTTGTATTCGAACCGAATTTGCTGGATTAACCGAAAATTCGGTTCGATTCAATTCCGTTCAACGGTTCGACGATTCGGTTCGATTTTTTTGCCTACCCCTAATATATATATATATATCTTTATATATGACTCAAAATATGTATATAGTCTATGATTCTATTATTCCCATATTTTATTATCCTGATAAAGGATGTGGTAAGATGAACCGCAAAGTCATCAATTCAAATCCTGCTGACGTCTTCTTGATTGAGCCTAATACTATAATGCATCATGCTTGCCTAGTACTTCTTCCGTCGCGACTACAATGATTCTTTTACTGTATACATGAGAATTTAAAAAAATATATAATTACTAAATAATTAAAAATATATTAATAAAAATAATTTTCAATTAAAATTAAAATAATTAATTATTATAATTATAATTAAAAAATTTAAAATAAAATTAAAATGTACAAACAGAGAAAAAAAAAGGTCAAACACCATAAGTGGAACGGAGGGAGTATGATTTATCCTGCTAGTGTGGTTGCATGCTATTGCATTCAATCGGAAAGTGCACTCGAAGATTATTAGCACCCCATATTATACACCAAAAAAGCAAAAACCCGACGGAAGGAGCAAGAGTGTTGCATAACAAAAATGATACTAAAACATCCAGCACTTGAGTACGTATAGGCAAACAAGGTAAATAAGTGTAGTATCTCATCATCCAAGTAAATTGAGGTCACATTGCTAAACGGGGGAAAAAAGTTTGCAAAGATTAAGCATTTGATTAGAAGGAAGCTATGCCCGTAAATATCCAAAAATCACGCTTACTTACTTTTTGGGTTTGACCGAGGTCCTAGCCCCATGTAGTTTGTTACCAGCCCCATGATACCGAACCTGGCATTTAAAAAATAAAATAAAATAAAAAAAGACGAATTGATGCTTCATGAGTGATGAATTGCAAGTGAGACGATCAAATGAAGTCGAGTATAAGTGGGTATGATGCTTGATAACAAAATCACACAAAACATCATTCTATGTAATATTTTCACAATTTATCATACCTCACAACAAAAAACACTTAAAATATAAACATTAAACAAACACACTCTAAGTTCGAGTTAATATTTGCTTGCTCAAGCTCGAGCTTGCCTCACATATATATATATATATACATATAACATTTTAACATCAGATTTGTTCATTTTAACAGTTCCGACCCAATTTGCCAATTTATAAGTTCTTAACTCTATTTAGAGTGTGTTCTTTTACCAAACTGTACCCAATTTATGCTATTCACTAAAAAATAATTTACCCAAAAATATCAAATCAAACACTTATTTTGTATTTTTTATATTATACTACAAATTAATTTTACATTCAAAACATAGCATCAATACCTATTTATATCACATCATACAACTATTCAAATTCAAAATTTTTACTATTCAATTCTCAAACCAAAATCCAAATCCTCAAACAAACACACCAGTATTAAGTGGGATAATTTAGAAATTAAGTGATGTGATGGAGAGAGAAATATATATTTTATTTTTTTTGATTTGGATGATGTGAGGGGATAAAGTGTGGGGTAGAGATTAAGTATAATTAATTATTTCCTATTTTGGAAATGTTGCAGGGTGTTTGGGACGTAGCAAAAAGGAAATGTTGCAAGGTGTTTGGGACGGAGGGAGTACTATTTTTTTTTTAAAATCTACTACAAAATTTATTTGATACCATTTAGGTGGGACCGAGGTAATATATGCTTACAATCATGCTCATCAAGTAGGCTGATACCTCTTATGCATCAAAATCAATATTTAGATTTGAATAAGATAGAACACATCAAATAGTTCAGAGTTCGAACTTGAATTTGAATTACACACAGCTTGAGTTAAGTTAAAGTTGCTCAGTTTGACCCATTCCTCAAAACAATGCTTAATATGAAAATCTAACACTCATAAGATGTGTATATATGTATGCCTTGGAATGTGCAATCAAGTTGGAGTTAGCCTATCGGACCAAATTAAATTATGCAGATGGATTGTTCAGATATAACATCAGTTCTTTTCACAAATACAGAGAAGTATCTTGGGTTGTGTTCTTTTGTGGGTTTTACCACATATTTTTACTATTTAAATTCTTTTCCTCAAAATATATCACATCAAACAATTACTTTTCTTTATTTATATTATACTAAAAATTTATTTTACATTCAAAACATCATATCAACCTCTATTTATATCACATCAAACAACTATTCAAATTCAACTTTTTAATATTCAAAAATCCAAACCTAAAAACTAAAACCCACAAACAAGCACACCCTTGCAGATTTAGTAAATTTAAACCAAACCAATTACTCATATTCTTCAAAGGTTATGGATGTAAAATGGGAGCGTCATTCATAAAATTAGTGTTAGTTCTAAGATGAGATCACTATTAATAACCAAGAACAGATTGAGAGTGGAATTGAAATACCATCTTCTTGAACAAATAGCCCACACAAGGAGTGTGTTCTTCTATAGGATTTTACACAAATTCTACCATTCATCAAAAACTTTTTACCCAAAAACATCAAATCAAATACTTATTTTTTATTTTTTATATTATACTAAAAATCAATTTTACATTCAAAACATCACATTAACACTTATTTACATCACACCATACAACTATTCCAATTCAAAAGTTTTACTATTCAAATCCCAACTCAAAATCTAGACCCCCAAACAAACACACCCCAAAATGAAACAAGGCACATATCTGGCTTGATAAAGACTAATGATGCTTTCAAAAAACAATAGATGAGATGCACTCAAGAACCAAAGGAAGACACTTACAAACTGTTATATTTGATTCAATATATCATCAGAAGTTCATAGGAGAATGCAATGTCAGAGACTGGGTTGTGTTTGGATATGTTTTGGAAGTATTTTGGAGTGTTTCGGAGTAGTAAAAAGTTGAATTTTAGAATAGATATTTGATGTGATGTTTTGTGTAGAAAATACATTTTTTTATGTAATATTTTAAATAAAATATTCATCAAAACAGTAACTTCTAGAAAAAAAAAAAAAAAAATTGCATCAAATACTTATTTTCTATCACAAAACATCACATCAAATACCTAATCTTTTTCTATTCCCAAAACTTTTTAAAACTCAAAAAACCTCTATCTAAATAGAACTAAGTATTTGGTGTGAAGTTCTTCTAAAAATGTATTGCCAATGAATAGTCACAAGTGTAAATCAAACACATGCATAAACAGATCAATTTAACTAGAAACTGCTTTCTAGAAAAGAAAAACAAGATGAAAATTCAGTCTTCAAAACATGAATATCCACCCAATTCCCCCAAGAATAGTACACCTACAATTGTCCACACCAGGCTTCCAAATACTCCCTACGTCCACCAACTTTACTCTCATTTTCCTTTTTAGTCCGTCCGCAAAATACTCTCTCCGTTCAACAATTATTTACAACAAAAGTCACTACCTTTATTATATTCTTTCTCCACATTTTCTTTAATTCTAAATAAATTTTCAAAAATACCTTCAACTATCTTTTTATATCACTTTTTTAATTAAATATTCATTTTTCTTAATCTCCGTGCCATACACAAATGCTCTAATTTTATCTGACGGAGGAAGTATAACATTACGAGGGCCATTATATCACAAGTTTACAAGTCTGCCCATGTAGGCTGTAGCATAGTGCTGATTTTGTTGTTTCAGGAAATTAACCAGTCGATACCAGTAATTCATCTAAATGCAAAGGTTATTGATTTACTAAATGCATCAAAGGAATAATTGCTCGAGATTATATGTACACTATGAGATCTAACCTATCCACTTTCCTGAACCAATGAATTAGGTTTTCCATGTTAGAAATTATAGGAATGTTAGAGCAGTGGCTAACCATTCATAAATTAAAAACCTACAATTACTTTCATGATTTCGTTCGGAAGGGAAACTAATTCCTGAATGTGCAATTCTCATTACTAGTCAGAATAAGATTAGTGCATAACAATAGGTAAACAATGATTGCAGCGAATATGTATATATGACAACAGATCTTAGAACTTACATCATGGCCATGGTTATCTGCTTCAGATCATTCTCGATATTCCTCATGTTAGCAAGCGATTGAGCAGAAAAAATGATTGCCAGCCACGAGCACGCCTTGTACTGCAGAAATTAAATCGATCCGCAACAAATAACTCATAATATCAAAATCAGTACATCAAAACCTCCAAATTCATTCCATCGGAAGATTCAGTCTACAAAACACAATAGCAAAACCACAGATCGAGAAATACAAAGATAAATTCTTACCCTAAACATGGCCCCAAAGACGCCGAAAATAACAGCGATAAAGCCGGAATAATCGACGGGGAGATCTTGTGGAGCGACGACCGGCGGCTTATACGGCCGCGCCGCCGATGGTAGGCGGGGATCGTTGGATTGCGAAGCCATCCACGATCTGCTTTCGTTTGGGAAAGTCTCTACAGTATGCACTGTATTTCTTTCTTTAATAGATTTAATTTTTAAAACCAAAAATAATTGTAGTACTTTCTCCTCCCACTCCAAAGGCGTTTTGTAATAAAATTAAAAATAATACTGTCACACGTAATTTATCATTATCATAAATATAATTAATTAATAATATATTAATAAAAATTATTATTTTATAATATAAATAATTATATATTAAAATTAATATAACTAATTAATTTAATTAAAATTTTAAAAATTAAATTAAAAAATTTAGAATGATTTAAAATATATAATCATTTTTCTTAAGATATAGAATACGTGGGATAAAAGAAATATTTTTTAAAAAATATATTTATAATTATTTATTAATCACATATCTTTTTAATAGAATTTTAAATTTGATTATACTATTTAAAAAAGAAAAAAAAATCTAAAATCATCACATCAAACATATACTTCCGCGTTCCATTTTGTTTTTTAGCGAATTAAAAAGTAATACTCCTTCCTCAGTCCGTTTACTTTTGAAAGGAACCATTTGAGATTTTATGGTAAATTAAAAAATAACAGACTTTTTAACTTTGTATAAAAGTCTAGAATATTTTTATATCAATATATGATTACTTTTTACTAAAAAAAAAATAAAAAATACTTTAAAGTGTAACAGACATAGTAAAAATAGTACTTTAAATTAATACAAAGAGAATAGTATTTTAGATAATTTGACATTTTAATAATATTTTTATAATTTGTGTAAAAAAAAGTATTTATATATAAAATACTTTCTGTATTATGTACTTTTAAGTGAGACAAACTAGTGACAAAACTAGCTCTCGAATTTCCGGAGGCAAAGAATGTCCTCTTCTTTTTTTTTTTTTTTGGTGTAGTGGTGTAAAGAAAAAAAAATAAACATAATGGCTCAGTGTTGTGTATTGAACTCTAAGAAGTTATAGTAGATTCAAAACCCTGATGCCTTCAGGTTTTAACTACGACCCGTGATTTACCTTGTTGAGTTTTACGAGCGGAAATAACAAAAGAGTAAAAAATTTGATCTTACAAGTGAAAATAACGAAAGAGCAATGATCTATAACCTTCCAATTAAAGAGTACCACTTCCTACGCTCGGCATTATTGTAAACTTTGTTTCTTTACACTCTAGATCTCAGATTTCTACTATTTAGATTCTATTTTTTCCGAAAGAAAATACACATTTTTATCTCACAAAATATCTCATCATATATTATTTTAATACCAAACTCATATTAAATTTTTTTCAAACCCATCAAAGGAAACATACCCTTAAAACTCATCCCAACTCTTAAGATTATAGACTTAAAGATGCATACTAATAACAATAGTCCCGACTTTTTAATAAGACACCGTGCATGAACAATTTCAAATATGCAAAACTAAACGTTTGGTACTGAACCCTAGGGAACTACTACCAACAAAGGCTAAAAACTATCGTGCATATAAAACAAAGCCCACGTAACGGAAGAGCCACAACAGGTTAAAACCAATGGTGCATTAAAAAAGTTCAGTATACTCACAAGAGCCGCAACAGAAAGTTAGAACCCGTCGTGCATTGAATGATAGGATGCAATTGCAAGAACTGCAATAGACTATGGAGCTCTGCTGCACATCCTTAGCATGCTCTCCATTTTCCTTACTCGGCTGCCCATGGAGAAAGTTAGGATTTTAAGTAGACTTCAAGAAAAGTAAAAACTGCAACTAATATACGACTGAGGCAATGAAATGATCTTCAAATCTAAAATCAGAATAAAAATATGAAATACTAGAAAATACTTCCTCCGTCCCAAAACAATTGTCATGTTTCTTTATTTAGTAATCGTAATCCCACTATAGAACAAATTATTCTTACCTTTTCATAATATTTACACAAATGTCACTACAATTATCACTTTAATCTACTTTTTCAACCTACATAAAGTAAGAACAATTTAATCATTTACATTCTACTTTATACCTACTTTAATTTAATACTATTATTCATTAAAGCCGTGCCCACCCCCAATAATACATCTCTTTTGAGAGGAGGGAGTATGTAATTTTGAAAGGAGATTAAGAAACCAATGCAATGGAACAATTAATTGATTTTAACATTTAAAACATAGTCAAAATTGATAAAGTTTAGCAGTTAACATAAATGAGATAAGAGTACAAAGATCAACACCACTTTATTGATAAACCGATTTAAGTTTCTCTCTACATTATCGGGCATTGTCTCTTACAATTAAAACAGAAGATATGTTTTTATATGAGCTATTTATAAATCAACACTCACCATTAATATCAACTTATGGTTTTGAATTCTACTAGATACATAATAATAATAATAATTTACAATAGGCCAAACAAATTACATTCAAATTCTTTCTAAAAGCAGTTCTAACCAATCCAAAATAGTTATTCAACTCAAAAGGACAGTACAAAAAATAAAACCCTCTAATCACATTTACACCAAGCAAATATACAATAATTGAAAATAGCTCTTTTCCTGTCTTTATGATACAAAATAAAAAATAAAAAAAAATTAGAACTTCAAGGAGCCTTTTTAAGATTCAATTTCCTGGCACAAATACTCAAATTAAAATTAAAAGACAAGCTAATATACAAACTGAAGTAACTCTAAACTTTTAGATGGAAAAAAAAAATCCCGCAGGCCATTCACAGAAACAACATTAAAAACTAACCCAAGAATGCATGGTAACAACAGCTACTAGCAGATATTTCAGAGAAATTACAGCTAAAACTTGACTGATCGCAGGGGATTGATACCCTCTTGAAACCACTAAGATGTATTGCAATGAAATGGCAACATACCTCTGTTGGAAATCCGAAATGCATGCCAACCAGGAGCAGCTCCAAACCTTGTTGCATTGGCTAAACATAAAGATCATATACAATGACCTCAATAAAAGGAGAACATGGCAAGGTTTATATATCATTTACTTTCTAGACTGATTGGCCGTATGAATGATTAACCTGGATGCACTCATATTATCAAGCTCATCGCAAAAATGGACTGATAATTAACTCAATATCGAAAGCAATACATGAATGGAACCACATTTCTCAAGAATAATATTAAGGGCTTAAAATGGAGAAGATTAAGCACCACCAATATTGAGGAAGATATCATACCCCCTCTGCAAATTCCATTCTGTGGTTTGACTGGCTTTTTGTGAAGTTTGAGTATACAAACGATACGAGACAATCGAGCCAAAACCAAGGAAAGCCCATAAAATTTAAGTATTATAGCAATAGACATTGTACACCATCGGGAATGTTTTTAGGCAAGGGAAGAGCCGTTACATATCTTTGCGGTATAGGTCTTTGACTAGCTGCAGTTGCATTAGCTGAAGATGTGTCAGGATTATCACCCTGTCCACGCCCATGAAATCTTGCAAATCGGTTTATCACTGAGTACTTCTCCAGATCTTGACATTCTAATCTTAAGTCAAGAATTGATGCACTCTTGTCAAGCCTATAACACCAAAAATGGATTCAAGTATTACAAGAAGGAAAATTATTAATCTTTGATCACATTACTAAAAAAAAAAGGTAAAATTACAACAAGACAACGCTGAACCATCTAAGACGACTTAATGTCCAAAGGAAATGAGGAGAAAAGGAAAAAAGAAGATCATGGAACAAAGAGAAGTCACAGAAGTAGAAGAAATTTGTAGATGCAAGGAGCTCCCATCAGCAAAAAATACAAAATTCGAGACTACAAAACTACCAAAGATTTGGTGATATTAATAGCATTGTTTAACCAGACCACAACTTTGAGTAAGTCCAAGGAACATCTATAAAAACAAGTCCACACTTTTTTAAGCAGACCGCATTCTTTTTTCTTTCCTTTCAGAAAGATGGCAATATCAATAAATTACTGCTGAAGTGGCCACCTAAATCATGCTATCATGCAGCATGTCCATAGTACTATAACAACAAACTTATGGATTCACTACGCCTTTTTCTGCGGCTAAAAGCCAGGAAAAATTCAGTTACCCTTTTCCTAAAGGACATAAGAATCTTAGCAACATCAAAACTAAAAACTTAGACAATACGATATCCATGGATTCAACAAAGATAAAGCTCCCACACATAATTTACCTCAAGAAACCATTTTTCAGTTTCCCGATTCTTTCCATCAGCTTTTCATCACCTTTAGCATTACACCGGACACCATTTCTCACTGATATTTTTCCTTTTGAGGGATGTCTAGTGTGTAGTTAACAAGAATATTTTATCAGGTCAGATGACAAGATAAATAATGCATGAGAAAAAAGGTATTGACATGAAATTCCAGAAGTTAAATGTATATAAAAGCTCATTCTTACAGGTTCTTGCCGTCAGCCACATCCAAGTTGCTCAAGTGATAAACTGTACTGCAAGCATCTCCTAGAGCGATCCTGGTGGCAGCATAAACGAGGACATCATAACTAGTACTGGCATCAGCAGAGAGAATAGCTGCTACTGGAGAATGAAGCAATTTCTGCATGAGTCTTGTTGTCAAAATAAGCCTTCTTTTACATCTAAGTACTGGGGATCCATCATCAATCAGATCTGCATCATCAGAAACCTAACACCAGAAATAAAAAAAAATAAAAATGATGGTAAGGAGAATTCAGCAAATATAGCCAGCCACAGAAAAGGGGAAAATAACACATCTTACTTTGCCAGTAAGACAATGTGAAGCATTATCCCAGTCCGACTCTGCCATGCTGCAATTAATAGAATTCAGTGAGATTAGGAAAAATAAATTTTCAATCAACAAAGTATTGAGAGATAAATGAAAATGGGAATACATTTTTAAGAAAAGAAGGCAAGAAAAAGAAAGGGCAGCAAAACAAGAAATTCTGGACTACCACCTGTGAGCAACAAGATCTTGTGAAACCTCTGAAATTTCTTTGTGCCAAGGATGAAGATCCAAAGTAGGACTTTTGCGCTTCTTGGATCTCAAAACCCCCAGATTTTGATCCGTAACATTCAACTGCAACAACTTAAGGGAAGTGACACTTCCACTAGCAATTGATGATGCTAACAAATTTTGATGGTTGTTACTATTTTGACATGCATCAATGGGTTGAACTGTTCTTTTCTCATCTGAATTAAAAATATGGAAGCCACTGGAAAACTTCAGAGGTGCCAAAGATTGTTCTCCTGGTCTTGAGGGGTTGACTTTGAGAGCATCATATGGTTGCAGCATTGCGCCATTTTTTAAAGACCCATACTGGCTGAACCATGATGGTGCCATCTGGGGACTAATCTGATGATGATCAACTCTAGAAGTAGTCAAAACATCATTGCAAGAATTGCTCTGAGAAGTATCCTGATTAAGTGCCAAAGCATCATGTAGGGCTACATTCCCATCTTGGGAAGGATTTCTCTGCAACAAGTCAGCTGGCATGCTAGAGCCCAAGGAATCTCCATTACTCGGTTCACATTGCTGCCCCGGCTTAGAACTAGCATGATGGACATCGTCAACATTTTCCAAATCTTTTGTTCTCTTTGAAGCTCTATTACTTAAATCACTCTCTGCATCCTTTGCAGCCTGCATTTGGTGTAGTAATGAATAATTTTGGTGAGAGAAGCTATTATGTTTCAAAGATTGGCCAAAGGCTTCAATATCCTTCTGCATCATTATAGAACTAGAAGGTGAATCATCCAAATGCTTTTTCAAGATGGGCGTTTTTCCTAATGAGTTTTTCATCTCAGGAACTACTTCAGTGTTCAAAGATGCCACCTGCTGAGTGGTACTTTTCTTTAACCTTTGCACTTCACCAACTCCTTGAGAGTTCACATGATCATGCATGGAAGGGGCACTTGATTCCACAATGTTTGGCTTGGGAAATTCCAAACTCTCTGATGAAATTTGCTGAATTCTAGCACTCGTATTTTGCTTTTGTACAGGAACATTGGAGACCACCTGCTGCAACATTCCTATGGAATTGTTCTGTTGTGAAAGGACAGGTGTCACGAAATGATGAGAAGTTTGATAACAATCCCTGCTTTCTATATTTCCACTCAGAACTCTTTCCTGTACAACATTTGGACCATTATTTCGAGACACAGACCCAAATGAAGTATGATTATCTTGTTGAAACCTCCCAGAAGGATAGGAAGCATTTTCACTGAGAGATTCAGCGTGCTGATTCAATAGCATTTGTCCACTTACCCTTGCTATTTGCGGATGTTGATCGTTACTTCTTAAATAAGGAAGCCCAGATCCGAACAACAAAGCAACATTTTCGGGTGTCTTACACGGAGAATTTCCACTTCGCCCATGCTCCGGAATTGTTGACATATTAAGTTTGAACTCTGGCTGCTTTTCTTCAGAAGAAGGCAGAGACTGAACAGAATTGTTGGCAACCATCTCATGGCCCTTATCTTCTCTATCAGCAACACCATTTTTTGAGCACATTGAATTTAATGTACCTTGACCATTTTCAGAAGATAATGGGTGTTCAGAAATCTGCAACCCTTGAGAGGGAGGACCAAGTTGCAAACCAAAACCTTGAGAGGCATGAGACTGGCTGTGCTGGATGTGACTGAAGCCATTGTACTTTTCCACTACAGGTAGCTGTGATGATGGCTCAGCAGAGTTGAGCTGCATCCCAGAACCATGATTTCTTGAGTGATCAACCTTGTTAAAAAGCTCCAGCATGTTTTGACTGACATTATCAAATATAATTAAAACATGGCACAGGTTTGTAGATGCTTATAATGCTACTGACGATAATGAATTTAAGTTACCTCGGTGTAGACGAATTGCTTAAGGTGTCAAAAGTTTGAGTGCGGGAAACTTGTCTGTTAGGCATTTGACCAGAACAGTTGCCCTGTAATGGTTCCTCATCAGAACCTTTAACATCTCTTTGAAGCTCAGAGGATTGCCCCTGTAGACAAAGCATTCATATGAATTTCTTCTTCTTCATCATTAAGTTTGTACAAATATATGTTGCAAAATTAATAAATCACCTTTTTGATCTGCATGGAATTTCGTGAAACCTGTCGAAACATTTTTGATTGGCCAAAATGGGAACTATTCTGGAGCATATTATGTACATGGGATGGCTGCTTCAGATCATAGGCAGGTTTCACATCCTCACCCACATTTCCCATGGGATGATACTGAAACTTGCGAGGAGCAGAATTCTTTCTTGACAATTGAGAAAGAGGCCGTGAATCAGTTGAATTTGGCACTCCACCTTCTCTGAAGCCGTCAAAGGAAGGTTGAGACAAGTTTGAGTGGTGACTTTCATTAGAGTTTTCCTTTACATCATGATTCTCTATCTCAAATCTTGCAACTTCATCCTTCTTATGGGAACTCACTGATCTTAAAACCTGACTGGGATCATTAGCCTGATTCAGCAGTCTCCCCACGTTTTCACCACTCTGGGATCTAGCAGAAAGATGCACATTTTTCCACTGGTTAAGTGAATAACTATTCTGTGGTTGAGGACCCGTTTCATCACTTATCCCCACATTACATGAATTATCTACAGAAGGAGTATTTTTCAAACTTAAAACTCCCTGATTCACTTGGGGATTGCTAACCCTGGATTTCATGTTACCCAACTCCATAGTAGAACTGGGAACAGAATTAGACTTTAATAAAGAACTTCCGTGGAGAACTTCTCCTTGGAATCCCCCAACATGACTGCTTCTAGAATTTTGCTGCAACATTTCAGGATCATTATTAGTCACCCTACTTCCTTCAGGTGGCATTGCTGCTGTAGCATTCCAACCATTTGATCGTTCCATGGTCCCAGTTTGTCCAGGAAACCGAATTGTTTTATCATCTCTGTCTCCTTGAAGTGGATGTGAAGCATCTCTATACTGACTTCCTTCAGCAATCGAATTTTGTAGTGGACCACCATTGGACAACTTATCAGCTTCTCCCAGTGACGGGAAGAACATTTGAGACACCTCATTATGCTGTCTCTGGCCAGATTCATTTTGAAACTTCTGCCTATGAGGCTTCAATGCCATGGCATTATTTGATATCTGATCCGAAGAGAGAAAGGGTCTACTATTCAATGCTGAAGGTGCTTTCTGAAAGTCATCAGCTAAAGATGTTTCTTTTTTTAAGTTATTATGGGACAACGAATGTGGCTGACTCCATGAAGGACCATCAATTTTCTGAAAAGTCAAACCACCCCATTCCTCCTGTGGCACCATATCACTGCCAGAAGTTTCAGCAACAGCTGATTGCATAAGAGCACTCCAGCTGCCAATTTGAAGAGAAGGTATGCCATTTGTGCCATCATTATCAAACATATTGCTAGCTTCTCCAGTAGCATCAGGTACCTTTCCGAAAGCAGCCCATATATTATCATCTGAACCAAAAAGAATTTTCTCTTCTGTTGGATCTAGGGCAACTTCATTTTGAGATAAAGCAACTGGCCTGGTGGATTCTTCCTGTGAACTCTCCTTCTGTGGTCTATTTCTAGACAAAGAATTCATTCGCTGAACACCTGTCATATTTCCTACGGCGGAACCCTGGGATTGCTTGGAACTATGTCCAAACATGTTGTCATTCTCAAATCTAAGCTTGGCTGCTGGAAATTCACCCTGTAAACCAACCTGCTCTGGCAATAACTTAGGCTGATTACCTTGAAAATTATTAGAGATTGACATTTGAGGTATTGCAGCTCTGTTTGCAACAATTTGGGAAAGCTGGTTTATGTTTAAACCCCTTGAACTCGATACAGGAACTCCATAAAGGGATTGATCAGCCTGTTGTGGCAACAAATCCACAGTGCCTTGTGTCTGACCAAGATTAGATGGAAAACCAAGATCACTGGGAGATCCTTGTATGCTTGAAGAACCGTTATTTAGCCAACTTGTACCAGTCGCAACTGTCCAAGGGTACGTTGATGTGTCAGAATATGAAGTCCCATTACCCAATGCAGACTGACCACCTGCACTCTGTTTCAAAAAGGAGGGAACCTGGCCACTCAAATATTGCTGTCTTAAATCAAGTTGGCGATTATGTTGCTGCTGCATTCGAATCTCTTGTAATTTCTTGATCATGAGTTGCTGCTGTAGTTGATCTATATCATTGATACCAGAGTGCTGGTGTAGCAAAGGCAGGGTAGCGGTTGATTGCTGATGGTTTATCTGTGCCTGACCACCAAAAAGATCAAAACTCATAGGAGATGCTTCCGATCCATCCGGAGCTCTTGTCTGATGATAAGATCCCCCTGGCAGCACATCAGAAGTCAATAGCCCTCGTGAGGTTACTAAATGAGGATTTTCAGAACCTGTATCCATTCCCAAAAAGTTTGCTTCATTCTGTCTAGTCTGGTGAAACTGATTTGCATATATGAAGCCATTCAAATTAGGCTGTTCGTTCTGAGGCAGATTTTTAGGGAAATCGGGCCTCAAAAATGCCGGGGTTAAATTGAAGCCACTCGAAGCATGAAGGGAATAACCAGCCTCTCCTCTATCTGCATCTAGTCATTCAAACAGTACAGTTATTGAAGGACTGTTAAGTTGAATCCACATAAGAAGACATGAATAAGAATGTATTTAATATAAATAAACATGAATATATGAGACACCAATCTAGTGTAATATATTAACTTGCTGCTCTCACAACCCTGTGATATATCATATACCTGCGTTTTGTGAATTATAGTTTTTGCTATTTGCACTCAATTGGTCAACTTGTCCTTGGCTGCCAACCCAAAAGTTGCTGTTCAACACCGACCAATTTCCTTCAACAACTTGTGAATGATGGTGCCCTGGTGATAAATTGTCTTGTGCAAAAAAGTTGTGAACCCTATCTCCAATATCGTTGCTAGGCATAGATGGTTGACGCCCGAATTCTAGCTGCGGAGCATTAATATGCTGATCGTCTTTCTTATAACAATAATAATAATAAAGAAAAATTCCTGAAATTCAGTTTCACTCAAACTTATCCATATATCATGACTGAGTCATGACAGAAAACTGAATAAAAGTTTCACAGCAAAACAAGTGTCCTAAAAGGCCAAATCCTTTGCAAACTTATCAACCTGAAGACCAAATCAATAGTAATTAGAAAAAGCTAAAAGCAACATGCATAATCAAAGGTAACCAAGAAAACCAGGAGCCACCATAAAAGCTAGAGCAATGATTTAAATGCAGCAATGCAGTTGGAAGAATCAAGCAGTAATTTAATCACACACATAATGGAAAGTAACAACTTATCAGGTCTACATAACATCACATATATGAGCTGAATAAGGATAGAGATAAGATGAAGCATACATGGACAAGAAGTCAACTTAAGGTCACTAGGAAGGAAATAATTACAAAGGTAAAAAAATGATTGAAGATATACATCAAAGAATCGTCCATTTAAAGTACGACGACACTTGTATACATCAAAAAGACTGAAAGAAGCTGACACATTGAAACACAAACAATCTTCATCCCTCAAATAAAAGTTCAATACATGAAAAAAATAATGCCGAGCTACTCAAGTCATTTATTTGCATATAACAGAATTTAGTATCATACAGCTAATGACCAAAACTACAGAATGTCAAAAACAATACACACCATTGATGATGATAATAAGTTCATTATATAACGAGAAGGAAAAACAATCACTTGGAGTCTGACAACAAAGATATTAACCATCCAGGGGGAAGTAAATCAACAAAGAGAAATCAGCCTATCAACTTGGTCAACAGAAATGCATCATCAAGTAAAATTTTCTAGTATATAATATGTATGTGTGCAAAGTCAGATAACGTCAGATTTGGATGCATGTTATAGTGACTAAAATAGTTGTGGCATCATAGCATAAACATTCCACCAAAAGGTAACATTAGGCATATAGTGCGAATGAAGAAATTTATTTTCTATTATCCACAAAGTAATCTCCCAATAACCAATTTAAAATCAGATCTAACATCATTAAGCACTGAAAATCAAAACCAAGAATAAGCAACACGTGGCATAAAGATCTTGCATACTTTGTCCCATGAAATGTTTTAGAACCAAGAAACATATGATGTGATGAACCCCGGGAAGGTTGAATAGTTAGTTAGTTGGAAGGGGCATATGGATTTTTAATCCATAGAACATAACCAGATGGAGAGCTGATTCATCAAAAAATAATGTTGTCAACTCCTTGGATATTACGAGAACATTATCTCCTATTATATTATCCATATCAAACTACTTATTACAATTTTTTCCATAACACCCATTGGTAATCACCAATATGTTTCCAGTCAATTTAGCAACATGATAGACATCAGGTTACACCAAGATAGGAAGAGTTCGAAGAAATGTGCAAAAGTACGATCAAACAACTACCCTTGACTAACATATACCAAAAATGACCGTCTTCTTTAATCCAGTTTATTCAATGCAGATAAGTCAAATAAGCCAAGAAAATTCCTTTTAAGAGAAGCTAGATCTCCATGCCCTTTATTGAACAAAGAGAAAGAGGAACAAAATAGGTATAAATCGAACTCACAAGAACATGCAATAAACTCTAAGAACGACAAAAACATAGAACACTTCAATATTATAATAACAAGCTTCTTCAAATTGACCGGCACTTTAATACGAAAAATAACCCCAGGCTAATTATGGACGCATGATTCATCCTCCAAACTGATCCTCAAGACCAAAAACTTCTCCTGGTTCCATAACAACATCAAAATCAAAGTATTACACAACCTCAAATTCAAACAGTTACAAAGCTCAGGCCCATTCGTTTCACAATACTAACAGATAACTGCCAATTCATCACCCCAAGAGAAAAAATAAAGACACTTCACAAAGTCATGCCACCCCACCCCAACCACAAATTGACCCAATAATTCAAGCCGGGAGCTACTAAAATAGAACTTCTTTGCACAGCTAAAGCACCAAAACGATAGTAAACACAGCAGTAAACCGAGAACACCGCAACCACAACCCACACATGCACAATAGAAAAATGAAATTAGGGTTTTGCAATCGAACTTACGCAAACGCCACAGGCTGCAGGAAAGGGTACAAATGGAGGCGGAATCGATCCTCGCGCACAGTACGCAATCGGGCTACGGTTTTGAATCGGCAAGAACACCGAAAACAATTTTGCACAAAAAGGAGAGGAAGAAATTTGAGAAAAAAAGGAAAGAGTGCAGAAAGGCCGCGCAGTGTGAAAGATAAGTGCTAAATTTTCAACGAACTGTATGAGAGAAGGTTAGGTGCTGACCCGAGCCTCAGGCTCGGAAATGCCGAACCTAAAGCTAAGGCTGATTGGAGACGACTCCATGGGACACGCCGCGAAAGTCCAATTGAAATTGAACACGTGTCGAAAATTTTGAAAATCAGAGGAAAGTTGGGAGTTAAGTTTTCCCGGATGATTATGATAATGATTAGGACAAATTAGCAATGTAATAACATAAATAATGTGTGCTTTTTTGAGATTTTGAATTTGAAATCATTATATTTAAAAAATTATTATTTTTAAAAATAAATTATGTATTCATGTGATAGTTACAAATTTTGATATTTGAATATTATTAAAAATATATATAATTAATAAATAAATAAATTTATTACTCCATCATCTCATATTCATCTATCAATTTTGCTTTTTACAGAGTTTTTAAAATATTACACAAAAAATCACATGTTTCTGTTGGATTATAAATTCAATTGTGGCTTAAATATAACTATTTTGACTATCAGTCAAATTAAATATATGTTAAGTGATTTATTAATTTATTGAGTTTAGATGTATTTAGTAAGTGTAGGTAGTACAGAAACCAGCCAACTTATTAATTGAGTGCTGAGACTAATTAATAATAAATAATATAAATATAATTGTGATCCCAAGTCCGCAACAACCTTTACGTTTCATATCGAAGTAACGACAGAAACCCTAGCGATTTTTTCAAGAGGTTACGCCATAGATTCAAAGAATACAAATCAGTTAATTTGTAAATCAGAATTTACTTGCGCTAATGGAATCAAGTTAGATTTAATTTGTTTTATTTTATTATCTCAATTATTTTAGTATTTACTATTTGAATTCTAAGTTTTTTTTTTACTCTCATCAAACATCTCATAATACTACATTATTTTAATATATGGTTTATTTCTCTTTGATTTTAAAAGTATTGTGCTCCCAATAATAATAAATGAGTTAAGTGGGCATGGAGTGGACTGGATCCACTTTGGCTTGGGCTTATATGGGCTCTATTTGGGCTTGTATATATTAATAGTCAAGATGAATTTTAAGTCTTGGGCTCATATGGGCCGTGGGCTGCTCAATGAAATTAAATCCAGTTTTAGTGACTGTTTTCGACGAGGTATTTTTAGACTTTTGAAATTTTAAAATTTTGAAAAAGAAAGAAAAAAGAAAAATACAGTATTTGATTTGATATTTTAAAGGAGAAAACAAATACATTTAATGTGATATTTTTAAAAAATAATTAGTATCAAATAAATGAAAGTTGATTATGTAAACTCAACAATAAATTTTGTTACGTACAAATAATCATAATAATAATAATAACAGGATCTTAAAGGAAGTTAGACACGAAGTCGGGTGGAAAAGAAGAAAAATTTGCACTTATTGGTACTTAGTCAGTTGGTCCGGTCGGTTGGTCCGCAGTCGGATAAATAGGTCGGTTGGTTAGCGGGTGGGATGGTCCATAGGTCGGAAACTCTGCAGGTCGGATGGTCTACAGGTCGGAAGGTTTGCGGTCGGATAGGCAGGTTGGTTGGTTAGCGGGTCGGATGGTCCATAGGTTGGAAAGTCTGCAGGTCGGATGGTCTACAAGTCGGGAGGTTTGCGGCTGGACGAACAAGTGGGAAGATCTGCGGTCGGACCAACAAGTCGCTTGGTTGGGGCGACCATTAAATCGTCTGGAGAGATCAAATGTTGGTCGCTTGATGGGGCGACCAATAAAGTCGTTTGGTCTAGCGACCAGTTAGTCTCTGGAATGGTCAGTTGGGCAAGTTGAGTTCTGAAATTGTTAGAAGCGTTTGGCGAGACGGTGTAAGACACGTGTCGACAGAGGGAGACCTTGTGGACGATTGCCGTAATCGCCCAGACAGACGACGTTTCAAAACGTTTCATTGTGGGCGGTTGAAGGCGGTTGCTAGCGACGGTTCTGAAACGTTTTCTTGAATGAATATTTAAGGATGCAGATTTTTTATCTTCAATCATCTTCAATCAACATCAAATTCAAGAGAATTGTTTTGGATCACCACTTTACTTTTCCAATCTGTAGTTTTAATTTCCTAGTTTACTTATGTACTCTCTACAGTGTTTAGAGATTCATAATCTCAGGCACTCATCTATCAAATTTGAAAATATTTCATATTTTCGGATTTTACTTTTTATTTGTTGAAAAAATACATCAACAGACTTACTATCTTAGGGTGTGTTTGTTTGGGGATTGGATTTTAAATACACTATTCATCTCATTTTTTTCTCCAAAAAACATCAAATCAAACACCTATTTTTATTTTTTTATATTATACTAAAAAACAATTTTACATTCAAAACATCACATCAACACCTATTTATATCACATTATACAACTATTAAATTCAAAATTTTTACTGTTAAAATCCCAACTCAAAATCCAAATCCCAACAAACACATTCTTAATTGATCTATCACCTTCTTCTAAAATACAGATAAAAAAATAAAATAATAATAATAAAAAACCTGCAGAAGCTCTCTGAATTTTTTGTATTTTGTAAGTTCAATTTTTTCTTCCACAAAAATTTGCTGTCAAATTAATTTTGCTTTTAAGTTCGGTCCGTTTGATTATGAATTTATTCTTTCTATCATGAAAAATGATCGATAGTGGATCAAATTTAGGGGTGAGCAAAATATTCGAAATCCGAAAATTTAATTAGAACCAAACCGAAATTTAAATTTTGGTTCGAATTTTTGGATTGGATTAGATTGAATTTTTAGCAAATTTTGAATTTTCGGATCGGATCGGATCGGTATATTTAAAATCCGAACCAATCCGAAATCCGAAATATAATATTTTAATATATTTTTTTATTATATATTTTATTAGAATATATTATATTTTAATATAAAAAACTCAAATTTATTATTTATATTTTAATATATTTAATTTTTATATATTATATATATTTAATATTATAAAATAATAATAAAATATAAAAGAATTAAAAAAATTTTAAAAATAATAATAAAAATATTTAGAATTTTGGATTTTTCGGTTTAGTTTGGATTTTCTAGTTCAGATTACCGATTTTCGGATTTCGGTTATTTCGGTTCGATTTGAATTGGTTTTTTCAAAAATTTCGGATTTGACAAAATCCGAACCGAGAATCCAATTCACCCCTAATCAAATTCACTTCTAAGAAATTTATATAGGCACGAGGCTCTATATTAAATATTGATTTTTCTGAGAAAATAAAATATATTCCCTTAATCACAATTCAAATTCAAAGTATTATTTTTATTCCTTCAATTTCAAACTACTATTTATTTTTTATTTTAGAAAAAAAGTAATCATACACTAATATTAAAATATTTTTAATTTTTATCTAAATTACAAATATACCATTAAAAATATACACATAATTATTTTATACATAAAGCCAAAAGACAAAAATATCAATATATTAAAAATTATGTTGAAAAGAAAATTGTGGGCAAAGAACCGCTTATTATTTATAGATTTCTCAAAAGTCGAAAATAGTTCTAACTCATAACTCTATTTTTGCAATATTATCACATTTTTTTCAATTTTTGAAAAAGAGATGATATTAGGGTGTGTTTGTTTGAGGGTTTGGATTTTGGGTTGGGATTTGAATAGTAAAAATTGAATTTGAATAGTTGTACGATGTGATATAAATAAGAATTGATGTGATGTTTTGAATGTAAAATTGATTTTTAGTATAATATAAAAAATGAAAAATAAATATTTGATTTGATATTTTTGGAGGGAAAATTTTGTGGGAATAGTAGAAATCCCACAAAATCCCCTAAACAAACACACCCTAAGTAATTTCTAACTATATTCTCTATTTTTGCAAGTTACACTAATTTATTTTCAATCATACTTTATATTTTTTCTATAGTAAAATAATATTATCTTTATATTTTATTATATATGTTTTTCATAAAATTTTAAATTTATAAATAAATCTAATATTTTATTATTTTTATATATTTAATTTTGAAAATATTTTAAATACTACATTAATAAATTAAATTATTTTTTTATTATTTAATCATAAAAAATAATATTTTTTAAAAATAAACAAATTAACATTTTAATATTATTACGTAGTATTCCATCGGTACCAAACACCTTGCAACATTTTATTTTTGGTATGTCTCCAACACCTTGCAACATTTTCAAAATAGGAAATAATTAATTATACTTAATTTCTCCCCCACACTTTATCCTCTCACATCAACCAAATAAAAAAATAAAATATATATTTCTCTCTCTATCACATCACCTAATTTATAAATTATCCTATTTAATACTATCCACATAAAAACTCGTACCAAAAGTAAATGTTGCACCTTGCTTTGGACGGAGGGAGTAATATTTATAAAAATATAAATAAAAACATATAATATAATTTGATTAAATGTAATAAATACAATATATAAAATTAATACGGTCTCCGTGCCATAACTATGTATCAATTTGCTTTTTGCATTTTAGAAATATTAGTGTTGATGTAATTTTTCAACAAAAATAAAGTAAAATTCAAAGATATAGAAAATATCCTTAAACTTGATTAATTAGTGCCTGAGATTAGGAATCTCTAAACACTGTATGGTACAGAAAATAAACTGGAAAATAAAAGACTGAAATTTAAAGTGGTGATCCCCAAATCTGACTTTGCTTTGTTGAAGTTGATTGAAGATGCCTTGCCAAATGATGATCTAAATCCTTAAATATTCTCTGAAGAAACTGTGCTGAAAACCGTCGCCCGAACGGTTACAACGTCTCCTTCCCAACCGTCTTTCAACCCTTCTCCTGCTGACACGTGTCCTCAGCAGACCAAAATTATCCCTATATTTCACTCTTTGAGCCGACTACAGACCTTCCGCCCTTTTAGCCCGACTGCCAATCTACAATAGTATGGGTCCGACTGCCAATCCTCCCGACTTGCAAACCATCTGACT